TTTTTGTCTGGACTACTCTGAGCTCATCTGTGGCGTGTGGCTTCTTCGGATAGAACTGCCTGATACCAGGTTTATTAGCTCTTCTGTTGCTCACGAGCTTTTACCCACATCCCTAGTTCCAGACCACCCCCACCATTGCGCCAGACTTCTCCGTCAATATGGAGAGCTACAATCCTTCCGATGATCCAGGGCCCTCTTTCTGCATTGGGCACCATGAGCACAACAGACTGGTTACCGTGACCCCTCGGGTCATCCAAAACGTACATGAGAGTAATGTTGGTTCTTTGTCTTACCTGTAACATTACCTTCGTAAATGCTAACTTGATTATAGTATGATATGATGACTGTCCCCATCACGACATCCCACTTCCACTCGCGGGTTCTTGGTCTACTGTCCTCTTATTTGGCCAATCTGGAATCCCCTACTTACGATGTTGTTGGAACCATGGGTACTACCCAGAACACTCGGCCTATGGTCGTTCCGCCGTTCTCAAAGGCAGACTCGTATCTCACCCCGAATGATGCAACCAGTCAATTGGTTGGTGTGATCAGCAGCTGGATTGATCTATGCTCACCTGACCCGTTGATTGCGGACTTGTCCCGACAAGTTCTGATGTTGGAAGTTGCGTATGCTGCGTTTTGCGGGATTGGATATCTTTTGATTCCTGGCCCAAAGTTGCATCACGGCTCCTTGCATGCGGAGGGTGTTATCTACTACGCGCGCGCAATTCAAGATGCCTTGGACCTCGGTCCCTACATTCAGTTTTACATTTGGCAGCAGATGGTTGACAACCCAGAAGCTGAAGTTGACACAATGGGCGACTTGGCTCCTCTTGCTCGGGCAGAATACCTGGCGCCAGATGAGGAACCTTCACGCAAGGTTGATCCGTTTGGAAGCTGGGAAGCTTGGGATTCAATTAGAAAGACCTGCAAATACCACACAAGACTGCTCGTTGGTATGAGATCACCCCTCCTTTAAATGGCCCATCGCCATTTCACATTATCTCGAACTAAAGCTAATATGAACCACAGCTCTTTCTATGCCAAAGCAACTGCCATCTCTGTATGTGCAATCTCGATGGCATTCGGAACCAGTGCGTTTATTGACGATTGATGGCTCGACGTTCCTCAAGAACCAGAAAGGATACCCAGTCTTGTCCAAGGCACACCAAGGGTTGATTGCAAAGATGATGCGTCTTCGAACTGCGCCGTGGATTATTCTCTGTGGTGTTGGCCCTATTCCTGGACTTGAAAATACCGAAGACCCTGATACCAACCAGGCTTCGCTGTCTGGATCTGACTATCCAAGTCTGTCACAGGCTGGCAAGAAGCAGCACCACGACCCCACTCCACACCTTTCGTATATTCGCAATTTGCAGCAGCGCCAGCCCCCGCGAACAGCGATCGAGAGGTTCGGTGTGGGATACCAGGACTACTTGCAGGCACCTCTACAGCCGCTGACAGTCAATCTGGAGAGCATCACATATGAAGTATTTGAAAAGGACCCCATCAAATACGAGTGGTATGAGAAGGCAATCTGCAAGGCGTTGAGAGACTGGGCAGACCAGAAGAAGGCCACGTCCCACCCGGATGGAAAGGTGATTCTCGCAGTTGTGGGAGCTGGTCGTGGCCCGCTAGTCACTCGCGCACTGAAGGCTAGCGCAGATGCTGGAGTGGAAATTGATCTCTGGGCTGTGGAGAAGAACCAAAACGCGTTTGTGTTGCTACAGCGACACAACGATACAATCTGGGGCGGCAAGGTCACCCTGGTCCAGTCAGACATGCGAAGCTGGAAAGGACCTCTGGTCCGACAGCAGTCGGCCACGGCTGCTACAGGCTCTGTTGGCGAACCCCAGGGCTCGGCTATGTGCCACACCCATGTTGATATCCTGGTCTCGGAGCTGTTAGGCTCATTTGCGGACAATGAGCTTTCTCCAGAATGTTTGGATGGGGTGAACGACGTGATCAACCCCGCCCACGGCATTTCTATTCCTGCCTCATACTCGGCTCATTTCACTCCGGTTTCCGCTCCCAAATTGCACGCTGATGTTATGCATCAGACGGTATCCAACCCGGCCGCCCCAGAGACCCCATACGTCGTGATGCTTCACGCCATTGACTTCCTCTCCACTACGGATACGCCTGCCAGTGTTGAAAACTCCAACCCCAATAATGGAAACCGGGCATCCACCCCGTCCTCGTCATTTTCCACTACTGAATTCCCTACTCCCTTTGTGCAGACCGCCTGGTCCTTCTCTCACCCGAACCGCCACATTCCTCCCCAGTCTCCTATGCAGTCCACTATCTCGAACGCCCACAATGTGCGCCAAACACGTCTGGCCTTCCCCTCCCAGAACCGAGGTGTGTGCCACGGTCTGGCTGGCTACTTTGAAACCGTGCTCTACGGCGATGTGGAGTTGTCTACCAACCCGGTGACCATGGATGCCAAGAGCGCAAACATGATCAGCTGGTTCCCCATCTACTTCCCCTTGAAGGTCAGTTTCCTAAAATATCCGATCTCGTCTCTCCCTTCTTTTCTTTCTTGATATTGACATTTCTTTCCTAGACCCCTCTTAGTGTCCCCGAAAATGGTGAGATTGTCGCCACAATGTACCGTCAAACCGATGACCGCAAGGTCTGGTATGAATGGATGGTCGAGGTTTATGCCCTTGAACCCACTGCGGCATCTGCCAGACCCACTCCTGTGAGCTATGCGCGGGCTGGGTCTCCCGGCATAGAAAGCCTGAAAGCCAAGGAAAATACCGCGAAGCAAACCCCCCGTACTGGCTATCGCCGCGTGCGGGTGGGCATGAGCGACTTGCACTCTAGCATCAAGGACGGCTGTTTAATGTGAAATTTATTAGCATGAGTTGAATAAAAGTTGTTTAAGCCATTAGCTTTAGTAGTGCTGACGATTCAAATTTCCTTTCATATCAGGGAGAAAAAAACCACCGAAAAATCCTTCAGACTAACGCCTGAGTCCACACAAATTATGTAGTACAGAGTAATAGTCAAAAGATCTACATGGTCCCAATAAATCCCAATGCTACTCCGTACTCGTATGTAGCAGTTAGGGTAAAAATATTTCCTTGAGACATATTCGGGCCGAGCAGGCTAAGCTTCATTCCGATTTATTGGTTTTCATGTGATCGGAATAAATCCGATCTCGACAGACATATATCACTCCACCATGTCATTGTCCCGATTCGGAGTTCATTAGTCCCCCGCGATCTACATTGTCTTACTGCAGGATCGGGTTGACCGGAAGAAAATTCAGCTCCACCGATGCCCCACGGTTTACGACCGATTGGATACAACAAGGGGCGTGATCTATATTTCGTCGATCACAGTATGAATCCGGAATATCCTAGCGAAACTACGTGAAATTTCTTCATCACATGGAACATCCATGGATCAGACATTGTGACATATTGGTTTACACGATGGGAAAATGGCTTGCGCAATTGCAGAACCCCATCCAGGAACTAAATGGACCCCACAGTTGTAGTCATACTATAAAGCTGCCAATTCCCCGCGGGTTGTGTCTCCAGTCTCGACAGGATACCGACATTGATCACAAGCCATAATGCGTTTCTCGTTCTTCACGGCTCTATCCGCAGTGGCTTCGTTGGGTCATGCCCTCCCAGGTAAACTGCAGGCTCGAGGTATATCATACGCGTTGTCCAGTGTACATTGACTGCGTGACTGACATATCATCAGATGTTTCCACGAACGAACTGACCCAGTTCGACTTCTGGGTCCAGTATGCTGCCGCCTCATACTATCTTGATGTCTATACGGCTCAAGTGGGCGCCAAGATCGTTTGTTCGAAAGGCAACTGTCCCGATGTGGAGAAAGCGGGTACGACTGTGTTCTACGACTTCTCCAAGTAAGCAACCCCAAATGGAATCCATACCCAAGATGATATACTTACACACAAACAGCACCACCATCACCGATACTGCCGGCTTCATCGCAGTAGACCACACCAAGGCAGTGGTTGTTCTCTCCTTCCGCGGGTCCTACTCAATCCGCAATTGGATCACCGATGCCTCATTCCTATACACAAACCCCGATCTCTGCAAGGGATGTTTCGCCGAACTCGGCTTCTGGAGTTCCTGGAAACTTGTCCGTGACGACGTCATCAGAGAACTGAAAGAAGCCGTCTCCCAGAATCCGGACTACGAGCTGGTCGTAGTGGGCCACAGCCTCGGTGCCGCCATCGCAACTCTTGCTGCTGCTGATCTCCGGGGCAAAGGGTACCCATCGGCTAAGCTGTACGCATATGCCTCGCCTCGCGTGGCGAATGCGGCTTTGGCCAAGTATATCACGGCGCAGGGAAACAACTACCGCTTCACTCATACCAATGACCCGGTCCCTAAGCTGCCGTTGCTGACTATGGGCTATGTTCATGTCAGTCCTGAGTATTGGATCACATCGCCTAACGATGCTACTGTCGGTACTTCTGATATTGAGGTTATCCAAGGAGATGTCTCATTTGCCGGGAACACTGGAACTGGGTTACCGTTGCTGACGGACTTTGAAGCGCACATCTGGTACTTTGTGCGGGTTGATGCAGGCAAAGGCGATGGGCTGCCATTTAAGAGGGTTTAATTTTGATCAAGTGCCCTCGATTTTGATATATTATATAATAGCTAGGCAACGATGATATGTATAAAGAATGATGACAGATCTCCGAGTTATGAGCAAGGGATAATGTAGTTGAACAAGGGGGAAAGAAAATTAAAGTCACAAGTCCTTCGAAGCTCAAGCACAAATAAGGTTGAAAGATAAGCAACTCGCTCACCTCCGGACCTCAGGAGACGTCCACTCGGAGATCCGTCGGAGTTAGACTAAAAAGGCGAAAGTGAGGCGATCTTAGTGGTTTCTGGGTGGCCCGTTTAAGCCCAGCAATATATAGTGGATATCCCCTGTGCGGGGTTATTTGGGTAAGGGGTATAAAACCCCCGACGTGAACATTTTGGGGAAATCAATTCAAAATGGTTTTATATACCAAGCTTTTATTGGCAACATTGGCGCACTTGGCCACGGCACAATTTGTGCCTGCGCCAACCGACTTGATCACGAAGAAAGGACATGCCGGCATCAATGTGCGATACAAGGAAGTGCCAGCTGGAATTTGTGAACAAGACCCCAATGTGAAGAGTTACTCTGGTTACGCTGATGTTGGTGAAAACGAGCATATCTTCTGGTAAGCATTCCCGATAGAGCTGAGCCCGAGGCAGCGACTGACTAGCACAGGTGGTTCTTTGAGGCTAGAAATGGTGACCCTAAAGATGTATGTTCCGACGGTATTGGAACATTTACACAGACTGACAAGGATCAAGGCACCACTTACGGTCTGGATCAATGGAGGGCCGGGATCGTCTTCAATGATTGGGTTATTCCAGGAATTAGGGCCTTGTGGAGTTGATTACGACGGAGCCGTATACAACAACCCGTATTCTTGGAGCAACGTGAGCAATATGGTAAGTTTGCCTTTTTCCAAGATTGTTTGCCCTGGCTTTAGCTGAACTGTCGCCAGCTCTTCGTCGACCAGCCTGCTACCGTTGGATTGTCTTATACAAGCCCGATTCCAGCATACGAGGATGATGATGGCAATATTGTCCAATTGCCCAGCGAGGAGTGCCCCGATTATGCACAAAAATATGGAACATGCGGCACATACTCCAAACCAGACATCGGCCTAGTCCCCAATACAACTGCCAGTGCGGCGCCGAATATGTGGAAGACACTACAAGGGTTTATGGGAGCATTCCCCAAGTATTCGAGAAATGGTATCAACTTCGCCACTGAGAGTTACGGGGGGCACTATGGCCCAATCTTCAACGGTAAAGACCCCGATCGCCCCTAGATGCCACTGGCACTAACTTCACACCAGAGTACTTTATCAAACAAAATGCTAAAAAGTCGCACAACAAGCCCCACGACTCGATCAAGATCGATCTTGAGAACGTCCTTATTGGAAATGGCTGGTTCGACCCGCTGATTCAGTATCAAGCGTATTACAACTTCTCCATCTTCCCCGGAAACTCATACGACTACAACCCATACAACGAGTCTGTACAGGCAGAATGGTACAACAACCTTTACGGAGAAGGAAACTGCGTCGATCAGACTCGGGAATGTTACGCGACCGGTCGAGATGATATCTGCTCCGCAGCCGATAACTTCTGTGCTTCGAAGGTTGAGTCGCTATTTGACATCTACTCAGGACGCGACGAGTATGATATGCGAGAGTTGACGCCCGATCCGTTCCCATACGCCTTCTATGTTGAATATCTCAACAGTCCTAAAGTCCAAGCTGCCATTGGAGCATACCAGAATTTCTCAGAGTTCTCGGGGACCGTGGGAAATGCCTTTGGAAGCACAGGCGACGACGACCGCGAGTCTGGAACGATCGAGGCTGTGAGGAAGTTGCTTCAAGCTGGAGTACAGGTTTCGCTGTATTTCGGAGATGCGTGAGTCCTTCCATGACGTGAGATGACTAGATAGCCCACGCTAATTCGAGGTTTAGTGACTACAACTGCAATTGGCTCGGTGGACAAGTTGTGGCGGAGGAGATCAATGCCCAAGGGTATGAACACGCAGGTTTTGTGAACATCACCACTTCCGATGGTATTGTTCATGGACAGGTTCGTCAAAGTGACTTGTTTAGCTTTGTACGGATTTACGAGTCAGGTCATGAAGTGCCTTTCTACCAGCCATTGGCTTCGTTGGAGATGTTTGAAAGAATCCTCTTGAGAAAGGACATTGCGACGGGCAAGAAGCATCTGAAGCCACATGGCGGTTATCGCACACTTGGGACGCCGACAAGCGACTACCGAGAGGGTAACAGCACAGTGGTCATGGAAGTCCTTGATAGCAGTGCGACTTACAACACCACTCTCAACGGACCGAACCCAGCGAAACCATCTGGCTCGGCTTCAGTGAGATTACGCAGACAAGGTAACTGAGAAGTGCGTGGAGAACAAAACATGTACGACTAGTCTAGCAAGAGAAGAGTGATTTATCTTACAAGGTTTACTTCTGGAGTGATTATGCTTGAGTTTGTTGTGAGATTTGAGTTGAAAGTTAAAGACAATTGTGAAAAGCCCACCCATTTCATACCCGAGTACATTGACGCCGCGTAAAACAATCCCAGATTCAACTCCTCCATTTGATTCATTCCATTCCATGTCTCTCGGAAAGGTTCAATGTAAGGCGGCGTGATGACATGAGTAGCGATCTACTCGGCCAGGTTTGCCGTGTCGCTGGTCTTCTCGGTCCGAGCAGACTCCCCAGTCGGCTCAGACGCAGCCTTGGGGGTAGCGTTGCGTCTCTTGGGAGGGCTGTCGCTCTTGTTGGGGGTATCTTTGGCTACGGGACGCTTGCGAGTACGCGATTTCTTGGCTGGGGCACCAGCGTCGGCGGCCTCAGGCTTGGAAGCATCCTCAGACTTGATAGGATCCTCAGACTTGATAGGATCCTCAGACTTGATAGGATCCTCAGACTTGGTAGGATTCTCAGACGTGATAGGATCCTCAGACTTGATATCAGCCTCAGACTTGATAACAGCCTCGGGCTTGGAAGTGACGATCTTGGTAGAAGATCCTTTACCAAGCATGGCTTGCAGGCGACCCCTGGCGCGATAGTAATTGGTGGTAGCTGAGGATTTTTTAATACCAAGGAGACCGGCGAGCTTGTCCATGTCGATCTATGAATCAAGTAATATTATGAGACAGATCTAGGAGGAATATGTCCGATAAGTACTGAAGACTGACCTTTCCCTCGTGACACAGGCTAGCATAAATCAGCATCCGGGCATCGGCCTGTTGCATCTCAGACAGCGGGCCATCAAGCTTGATAGAAGACGACATCTTGTTTGATTGCTTGATGAGAGCGGTGAAGCGAGTGGATAAAAATGATGGATGGGGGCGGGTGTGGTTGGAAGAAGCGACAGGGAGAGCGATAGGGAGAGTCAGAGATCGAAAAGTGAAAGTACAATTTCGAAACGAGAAGGGACACAGGTGGCGGTGGAATTTGCGGCAACTACGCTGAGAATATTCGTTCTGGATTCGTTCACACGACAGTTCTACATGCTATTGTATCCCGGCTGTCAGTTCTCTCGCTCTTTTTCTGAGACTTGGATACAATATGTACAGCCTTTTTCACATGTTATATCAACCTTTTCCCGCTCCTGTCTTCTCTTTGGTTTGCTTTTTTGGCTTAAATTAAGTGTAGTATCTGTTCCTGCTAGTTCAATAAATGATCATCCTTTTATCGCACACATGATGTTCTGATCCTTCTGGTATTTGGAACTCGCGAATGGCCTCTGTGCTGGCATATGCATCGTAAAAGATTGTATCGGTTCATACAGTGAGCAAGACCTCCGATATATTCGCCAACATCCCTCGCTGGTCTGGCCAACCTATTCTTCCCTTCGAAATGTACCCTGTACGAGAGTCGATTAAGGGGAAAGATTATTTAAGCCCTCATGCTTTTGCTTGGTGGTTGTAATTGTCCTCTAGAACATTGCAAAGCTCATCTATCTTACCTGGTTATAGATTATTGAGGACCCTCGATAGTCTCCAACCTAAGACACACCATGTTCATGAAGCTTCAGCAAAATGTCGGACTTATTAGTATCCCCTTAAATTACTCTAACTGATGGTAGGTGGTTTCCATCGTCCATCCACGTAGATTCACCTTCCTTCTGATTTATGAACCGATAACATCATTATTCTCTTTTGATTCCAATCTAATACAATTTGCAGTAATGTTATAGACCTGTCACAAAAGGATGATACTATTTTAGAATCCTTTACTATAATCCACAAACAATCGTCCAGATGCCCAAAGCAACAATAACGATCCCGGTAATATGCCGAACGAGTACTGGCCCGGCTAGGCCTTTCCCTCCAGGGAACCTCAAGCCCCGTGGTCGGAATTTTCTATTTCAGTCGTCGCCTCTTTCGTTCGTTGATGTTTGCAAAACAATCCTTGTTGGTGAAAGCTTGGCGTATTATAGGTTCATTGGGGGGCATTTCGACGAAACATACCCAAAATTATCTGCGGAGATCACACCAAGATCCCCAATGCTATTGTATAGATTGTGTATATGCCCAGGCGGATGGATTCTGTAGATTACATAACAAAGGTTGAGAAACCAGAGTGACTTGGAATTATATGCAAATGACACCCGTAATTATATACTTAAGCAGAATAACCATCTGTGTGTGTACGTTGTGTTTTTGATAATCTTATGATGTTGCTGTTTAGTAAATAACAGTTCTAAGGTCGTACATGTGGGTATGGCTCTAGATGAAAGAGTCAGTCTCATATGAGAACTAATCCCATTTACCTCCTTGCAGTATGTCTTATATCTGGACTCGAAATTTGATCTGATTAATCATTTCATAAATTTCATAAATTTCATAAATTCCCACAGTCAAGGCGAGTGGTTCTTTTTAGTATGGCTGTGCCTTTACTGTGAACGTGATATGGCGCACTGGGGGTTAGAGCCTACCGTAGCTGTTGCAAGCCTGAGCCACGTCAGCCTCAGCACACGATATATAAACTCCTAGTTCCCTCTACTCTCTGTGAATCATTCTGGGAACCAGACGTTCTGTGCAATCTCGTCAGTCCCTGGCTGCATCCACTCCTCGACGAGGTTACAAGTGGAAAGCCCTCAAGAGTTGACAATGGACTACGAGATATTTGCTTGCATCGGTGCGATAAGTCGACCAAACATAGGCGCTCTTTGGACTGGAGCAGTTGTAGGCGGGCTAGCCCCTAAAATCATTCAAAAATCAATCCATTCGTTTTTCCCTGGACTGGCTGTCCTCAAAGCTTCATGGATACTCCAAGCTTTGGCCCATACACGCATGGAAATCCTGAATACATCTCAAGGCCAGATGTATGGAGCTTACTACACCTTCCTCAAAACGAAGATGAGGAACTATTGCTTAACAACAAGTCTCAAGCGCCGTGGGAACCCTGGGGGTCATCTCTACCAAAGGATTGCGCGCTTCAAGGTACTTCACACTTGAAGTGCGCTCGCCATGAGTACCAATACCACCATTGGAATTGGGACTCGGAGGAAGGCCCGATTTTCCGGGATCAGGGGCTTTCAGCAACCCCTCTTTAAGCCACAATTGAACATCCTTTCGACATGATTGATACCAGGGAGCATAGAAGGTTCCCAAAGGGGACCTTAAACAAGTTTCCGAAGATGCAACATGGTCTATTTTCCTCTCGTTGAGAATCAACGGGGAGCGTAAACCCTCGGACACTGTCTATCAAGATGAATGGATTATCAGCCTTTGGGAGGAAGATAACATGATTGGGGGCAGATGAGGCTAGTGATTGAGACTCGAAGGCGCTTATTGGTCAACTTGAAGGTCGAGTGAATGCCTGGCTGAATTCAATTGACTGATAGAATTCGTATGTCAAATGTGGCTTGTTTTAACCCTCGTTAACACTTATCGAACTTGACAAACTAAATTAATGAGTGAATAAATTATTTCAAGCCCTATGCAGGGGTATACAACATAAGTTTTGTGTCTCTTGTTCAGAGTCTTACGACACAACAGCAATGCAGATAAATCTTATAAGACATTTTAATCTAATTAACTCTACATAGAGCCGTGGATAATAATTAATAAACAAATGAGGTACGGAGTACTCCGTCCTGAATACAACATAGACCGAAGCCAAGAAGGTAACAGTTCCAAACATATTGCACGGCACCTGTGACAAGCGGCTGGAATGCTAGATTCTGTCCAGAAGAAAATTAGCAGGGATTGAACAGGGATTGATAATAAATTGCTCAAAGTGGCGTTTCCTACACAACTCGATGAACAGGCATGCGAGTCTGTGATAGCTTCACAGTAAGTGGGGTGTGATTCACATTTACACGAATAACACGACTTCTTGGCAAGTAAATTTTAACATCCCTGCAAGTGCAATGTAACTTCCTTTTCATTAATTTCTGATTAACTGCATGTGGACTTGGTTTCAAGCCAATGATATCTATTATTCCGGCAATCGCCTTCAATCACCAGCTCGACTCTGAACGCCCCCGATTAAAGTTAACCTGGGAGTTCCACGTACACAACATGCGATACCCGCCCAAACCCGTCCAGCACATGGCCTTGAGCCTCTTTGTGCATCTTTTCTGATTCACTATCGCCGCCATGCATCCGGAGTTGAAAAACACCTGGACTCCTGGGATCAATGTCTTGACCTGGTTTATGCTGGTGACGGCTATTCTGAGTGTCTTCACACGTTTGGGGACGAAATACTTCATTTTTCGGAAGTGGACACTTGACGATGGCCTTGCTACTGCTTCGCTGGTGCTTTGTATTGCGCAGTCCATTGTTGTCTCGGTAGCGACGGCGAATGGACTGGGACAGCACCGTGATATGCTCTCCGATATCTCACTTGAAGTCATAATGAAGGTATGAATAAGATATACCTGTTCTTGAATCATTTCTAATGAGTTTGAATCACTGCAGGCTGAATACGCCGCGACCATTCTATTCATCGCCAGCATTTGCTGCTCTAAACTATCGCTTTTGGTCTTCATTCGCAACTTGACTCCCGCATCCTTGGATCGCCGCTTTGCGCTCGTGCTGGGAATATTGATTGGACAATGGACGATTGTTAGCATTTTCACGGCCGCATTCCAATGCGGTGTACCAGAGACATGGAATTATTTATACGGAAATTGTTTCAACCGAGTGAGTGGCTTGTCTATACTTGACCACGGCAATCACTGACTTTATACAAGGCTGCGTGGTGGAATTACCTCGGCATCACGAATATCTTGACGGAGGCCGGAATAATGGGCCAAGCGCTGCTAGTTATCGTTCGTATTCAGACCGATTTCAGCAGAAAGGCTAGTTTATCTAGTGTATTCTTGATCCGAGTCATGTACGTGCTGAATCCATTCATATTGCGAGAATTCACTAACAAAGATGGCACAGCGTAATTATCGCAATTATTTGCCAACTGGCTTACGCCAGCCAACACCTTTCCTCCACCGATTCGACCTTTGATCGCTGGGCCGTCACGATTTCTACGCAAGTGACTCAAACCTTAAGCATCGTCACAGCGTGCTCTCCCCAATTCAAGCCTTTCTTGGATAACCTTCGGTCATCGGGAATGGGTTTGGGTATGACGAGCTCCAACTACGCCAGCAAACACAGGACGTATGCCATGAGCACGTACAAGCACTCCCGTCGCACCCAGGGCACCCAGGAAAGCGAAACTCACGAGCTAGTTTCGATGCCCCACCAAGGGACCCAGACTGTGGTGACATCCACTCGGGACGACGACAATGAAAGCCAGTCCAGTCGATCTAACATAATTATGGAGACGCGGACCTGGACCGTGACCGGGGGGTTACAAAATTGATTTTGGTAGAATCATAAGATTTGATAATTGGATTGGGGATCCTTCGACCCACCCTTCGACCCACCCATGTACATATTTTATATTGCTATACATTACGCTTTTCCTGTTATAGACTTGCACGAATAACAATGCACGATCGGGTATTGTCAAACCCACCTCAAATATAATAAAAGTCAAATCAAATTCAGAGGAGCCTACGCTCGGTGTATCCGACAAACCTAATTTCCACTTTGCTACTAGTGCCATTTACCGGTCGGCTGCCGGGAGCGCCTAGCGCTCCCGGAACTTCTTACATCGCTTACAGAGGAAATACCGAGAAATTAATGCCACATAATTTATGCCTAGATTCATTAGCCGATCTTTAGACCTCGTGCTACCCCTGCTATATTAGCGTCCAGCAATTTCTCCAACCACATGCAAGTATGTGCAGACTTGATTGCGCTAGTTTCAAACCTTTTGCCCCTTGGTCCTCGGACTTCCATGGGAAAAGCCTGCATTATTCTCTTTTGATCTGGGGATTTTGCTTTTTCCTCGGCAATCATACAGTCGGCAATCATTCAGTATGCTGTCTAAATATTCAAAGCAGATGTCTTCGGGGGCGCAGGAGATGGACAATCTATCAAGGAAGGAGCTTGATGATGCCAATCTCGCCCGTATGGGCAAACGCCCTGTCTTGAAGGTAGATGATCTTGGAAAAGGCGCATTGAATATGGACTAACAGAAACAGCGCAACTTTGGTTTGATGTCAATGCTGGGTTTCAGTTGTACAATTCTGATTACCTGGGAGGGAATTGTTGTGTGAGTGCTGGCGATAGACATTAAGCCCGAGAAAACGTTAGCTGACACTGTGAACAGGCTATTCTTACAAGCATACGCAAAGTAAGAGACACGGACGAGGTATTGGCCCCGCAGTGCTAACGGTTACACAGTGGAGGGCCAGCTGGAGCTGTATATGGATTCCTTTTCGTTTGGGCTGGTGTTGCAGCCACCTTTGTCGTTCTATCAGAGTTGGCATCAATGTACGAGATTATGTGTCTCTATCCCATGTCTATTGAAGCTAACCGGTTAACAGGGCACCCACATCTGGAGGGCAGTACCATTGGACATCTATGCTGGCCCCGCGATCGTGCATGAAACTCATGAGCTACCTGACAGGTCAGTAAAAGATCCCTAGAGTTGTGCAAAACTAAAACTAACTCAATTCACAGGTTGGCTTACTGTCATTGGGTGGCAAGCCACATTCGCAACCTCATGCTATTTGGTCGGCACCTTGATTCAAGGCTTGATTTTACTCACAGACAATACATATGAGCCCAAGAACTGGCATCCGACTCTTCTATTCTGGGCCGTCGTGGCATTCTCCGTCGTCATCAACAGTATTGGAGGAAAAGTTCTTCCTCGATTCGAGGGCATGATCTTGATCATCCACATCCTTGGCTTCTTTGCCATTCTTATCCCTTTGACTTACATGGCCGACCATGGAACCTCCAAGGAGGTCTTTACCCAGTTCCTTAACATGGGCGAATTCCCGTCGCAAGGACTGTCGTTCTTTGTCGGAACCGTCGGCTGTATCTTTGCATTTGCCGGTGGTGACGCTGCGGTTCATGTGCGTCTCTCCATCCATCTCCTTCGAAGTACTTAAACATTGAGGCTGGAACTAACCCGAATTCTAAATCTCTAGATGTCCGAAGAGATCACAAATGCCGCCATCGCAGTCCCCACCTCGATCATGCTGAGCGTCTTGATTAACGGATCCTTAGGCTTCGGCATGTTACTCGCCATGCTGTTCTGCAGCGGCGATCTTGGATCATCCCTTAATTCGCCCACTGGATGGCCCTTCATGGCGATTTTCCTAGAGGCAACAGGCTCTGTAGCCGGAACTGCAGTGATGGCTTCAATCGTTACTACCATGGGCGCCACCACCTCCGTCGGCATGTTGGCGTCTACTTCGCGCCAATTCTGGTCCTTCGCTAGAGACCGCGGCATTCCCGGCTGGCGATTGTGGAGCCGGGTAAGTTCCTATTTCTAACCCCCACCGCACTGATCCAGATCACCCAGCTAATTGCGAATATCCACAGGTCACCGAGGGCTCTGCCATCCCCATCTACTCTGTTTTGGTAACATCCCTGATTGCCTGTCTCCTCGCGCTCATCAGCATCGGCTCCCCCGTCGCCTTCAACGACCTCTGCTCAATGTCCATCTCCGGCCTGTACCTGTCATACATGGTGGTTGGCAGTCTCCTCCTGTGGCGCCGTTGCACGGGCGGAATCAGCTCTGCTCGCAGCAGCAATTCCGACGTCATCAACACCGCCGGCGCGAAGCTCGTCTGGGGCCCGTTCCATCTCCCCGGCATCTGGGGTATTCTTATCAACACCTGGGCTTTGGTTTACATGACTATCGCTGTCTTCTTTACCTTCTGGCCGTCGTCCTGGGTGGTGAGTGTTGAAACTATGAACTATAGTGTTGTGGGGACTTTCGGAACCATCATCCTCAGTCTCTTCTACTACTATGCCCGGGCAAGAAATGTTTATACTGGACCTGTCTTGGAGCATATCCTGTAAAGCAGTGTCTACGGGTTTAGGGGTATTTTGTGAGTTTGTGCTTGACATTGTATATAATTTTGTATATTTTTGGATATATGTTGAGTTTCGCGGCCTTTTGGTCTGAGCAAGAGATAAAAGCTTGTTGAATATATTCGCGAATCAAAGTGCACATACAACTTTTTACGATAACCATCTCATAGCGCAATGACGATCTTTGTGCCATATAAATCGGAATTTAGGCCTCCTGCATGGGAAACTGCTTAACCATACTTTCCAAGACAACCTTGGAATATATACATAAGAACCACGTAAGAAAACGTCAAAGCTCAATGGGGTAACCTAGGTAGGTAGGAGCCACGAGGATCAGGGCCCATTTTTCGGATATGAACCGAAAACGTGGACCAAAACGTGGAAAGAAAGTAAGAAACTTAAAATTACCTCCCGCATCGGGACCAAGATTCGATTTCATGCTGGTGATCAGCTCATATAGTCAGCTATCCAAAACGAGATATCCAGATGAATACCAGTGTTATAGCCAATACGTTTCTGACACCGAGTTGTTTTCATTCTTCAACAAAGCATGCAAGAAGATGTCCTTTTCGAGATATATTCTTTGACATATAACCTGTAAGCATCCATCCTGAAAGAGTCGAGAATCTAGACAACATTCGGATACCCACATACCTGAAGTCACAGGACATCTGTTTCAAAGACCAAGAAAAATGTAGATATAATATTAATCCTTTCAATTCAGCGGTGTGTCAAGAGGCAACTCGGTAAGCGTGGTGGGTATGACAAGAAGGCGTTTCGCCTTGTTGCCTTATCGAGGCACCAAAACCAGCACCAACAGCCACATGCAAGGGATATCACAAACGGCGCGTGAAGGAGCGTCGGTGCAATCAAAATGTGTCATGTGATTGCGCTGTGACGCCGGGAAGCCTCTTGTAGATCTCGATAGATCCAATCTGCAAGGTTCCACGCCTTGCAGATCATTCAACGGGACGCCTAGCACGTGGAGTCGATCTTTGAGAGGACTACATTATTTTTGGTGTACATACTATAAAGATACATGTTGCAAGGGATGTGAGAATTGATAGATTCTTATTGATATCGTAAGTAATTAATAACAAGGCAGTCTTCGCAGATAGACCGACATCGGGATCTATGAAAACATGCAGGTAGTGTGTCTTTCCAGAATCTTCAAGTAAAACAGCTCAAATTAAATCAAATACAATTTGTCTTGGCACGACGCATTGTCATGGTATCATATCAGTAAAAGAATGGTATAAACGCCCCGAAAAATGGAGTCCAGGTATCAAGAAGCATGACCCAAAGAGTAGGAAGTTTACAAGAGGTCAGAAGATGAAAAGAGAGGGGCAAGAACGCTAAAGCAAATCAAAAGCCTAAGGCGTATCAGCGGATGAATAATTCTCAGCGACTGCCGGATGGCTGGTGGTTCATCTGCACGGGATGATCCTCGTATTGCAACTGATGTGGGGGAGGCCATAAACAGAGCGGTAATTGATCCTGGAAAAAAAAAAGAATTTATTAACATTTGCTTTTCATTGGGAACGGTTTCCGCCACTCACTGTGCTCTCAAGTTTTGTCAAAGTGGGGTCGATATCGAGCTCTGAGCTCCAAATCGTTGGGTCCATCTGCTGAGGCGATGAAAAGGCTTCGGGCTTCAGGATGCTCCGGAGGTATTGATCGATGGCAGTTACCATCTCTACTGGCATGCCAGATGTGGGGTATTGAGGGGCAAAGGAGTCGCTCGCGACGGGTGAGCTGCAGATCTCGTTTGTATAGGTTTCGTTCGTGTAGGAATAGGGGGATGGGTGATCATCGACGGATGTGGAAGACTGGCTCTGGCCCCTGGAAGACTGGGGACATGACATTGTGGAGTCCATGCTTCCCCACACGCCGGAATAATCGGCGGTGTCCGCTTGGAATGGAATCGGGGGTGAGTTGCTTGGTTGCGACTGAATTTGTTGTTGCAGGCTTAAGCGAGGAGGTGATGGGTTGACGTGGGTGTATGATGTGTTTTCCTTTGCTGCCGAGCTTGCACTTTTATTTAGATTAGTTTGTGGATTCGATTTTGCAAGTGTTGGGGAGTTACTCACTGCCGACCCAAATGTTGAGTCAAGTAATCCGGGCGATGGAATGCTTTTTGGCACCCTTCGTACGTGCAAGTGTATTGCTTTTTAGGCTCGTGGCTCAGCTCGTGTCGTCTACGGTGTTCGGCTCTGGTGAAAACCTGTATGGTGATAAGCGAGATGATTCATTGGTGACACTTCAAGGGTACGCACCTTCTGACATCCAGGGTGCTCACAAGCATGGACTCGCTTTCCCTTCATGGCTTTGCTGACTCGGTGGGAGTTTGTGTGGGGAGGCGAAGAGATATTCATAGGTGGACTGGGATACATTTCCATTTGGCGCGCGTTGTTGTTGGCCATTGTTGAGGGTACGGGAGTAGCGCCGTTAAGGTCAAATTGCAACGGAATCGAGGCGCTATACTGAGTGTTGAAGGTGGACATATTGCAGGCGTGTAAAGGCAATATACTGTCGTATGATTGATGCGGCTCAATATGCCATTCGGGACGAAGTTATACGGCACGTGTAAACGATCTGAAAGTGGTGGGAGTTCGAGTGGGGAAGACAAAGAGATATAAGATGAAAAATAAAGGGAAAGGGGAAAGGGGTTTAATAAGACTTTTAGTGTCAACAGGTCTATGGGTGGGTATGTCGGACGGTCTCGGTCGTATCTTCAAACCCTCCACCTGCATACAGGATATGCCGATCTGGTGCCTAATTAATAAAATAATCAAGAACCAAGCTAATACCGAATAGTCTGTCCAAAAAACGCCTGAAACGACCCCAAAGAACGCCTTATAATTTCACCTAGCAGGGATGCGCTGGGCTAAAAAGGGAATGGAGCACTGTTCGGTGAATTTGGACAATGACGGGGGATCTTCCTAGTCGATCAGAGCCTCAGCCACCTGGATCGGTCACCCACGTAGCTCAACTGGGAATCTTACGAAAATCTATGCTATTGGGTGATGCGCCCCACTAGTCGTTTACGGGTCAATGCAGCCATCTCGAAGTTCTCTGCATCTTTGAATGTCGCATATTTTCCAGCTTTTTCTTCGAAAAGGAGTCTCGCGCATTAGGAAATGCAAACTATAAGATTCCGTCAAGCCCCTCCAACATTATAGGTATCCAAAGAAGTGTTTAGTTTCGACAGTGGGGCGATCAGTCGGCCTGATGATAGATTTGATGTCGATCAATAACGAACCCAGGGGCGTTTGTCTTCATTTCCCCCATCGGGCATGAGGCATGGTAAACACGGTGAGGTTAAAGATGTCAGGCTATGCAAGTATTTTTGGCATCTTACACGTGGATCATTACGGTGTAGAGTGGCATGTTGCAGAAATCCGGCAGGCTGAGTTGAAATGCATAACCAACATCAAGATATATCTGTGATTGGTTCACACCCATTTTATGTAAGTTAAAAAAAGAAAAGAAAAAAACAGAAAGGTGCAGGTTCACACATTCCGAGGTCGATCTACACCCGAAATGGTTGATCGACTCCCGACTTTGCACTAAAGAGGCTCAACACGCCCGGGTGAGATCCACCTGTCTTGGCGTGTGTGCATATACGCCTTGGCCAATCATCTGCTTTTGATGGATCCACCTCGAGCTTGGGCGCCCGGGTGCTACAATCCGCAACATACAACTTCTAGCAGAACTCTGATTTCCTTTTGGGTGCAGAAATCCGGGCGTATTTGCTTCACTTTTTCTTTCAAAATGGGTCGAGAGCCATAATACCCTCACGTTCCTCAAGAAATGAGGCCCGCCGAAATACAACTTGGAGTGTTACATCGCCGAGAAGCTGGGGTGTTAGTACGTGGGGGCCAATAAAAATCTAGATGCCTATCCATTCCCTAACTGCAACACCAATATAATTTGTAGGGCCACTGTAATTACCAACGAGCATTCCCGCTTTCATGCAATGCTCGGGAGTCGGCAAAATTATTTGGAATTGGAACATTTGAATTTTTGTTCGGGCGTTCTGTGCTAATTAAGCCAACTCTTTTTCTCTCCACTTCCCCATCAGAAGGTTCCAAGCAATGGTCAGTGCACATACATTTGACCGTTCGCCTTTTAAAAAATTTCCCGATATATTTTTGTGGAGTGGTCATATTAGCCCATCCATGGAAACCTTACTCTGAAAATCCAGTATCATCCGAGATTAAAGGATGGAATTTGTCCTCTTCCCCTATTTTCGGGGCATGTTGAGAGCCTCTAACCCCGACAAAACGCGATATGAAACCAATGATGTCAATGTAAGCACCCCGGCAAAAGTCTAACCGCAGGCTTCGGCATGACTTACATGCTTACGGAGTACATGCTCTAGCCCTTGGCAGGGGTTGATTATTTTCGTATTCCACAGCCACGTTACTTCGCCCATGCTAATTCGGGACTCGGAGGTCGGAGATCAGCATCTAGAATTGTGACGTGGACATCAAGTGGGACTGGATATAATCTCCAGGTGACTCTCTCCCCTGTCATAAATAGTATACCGTTGTCACTTATAGTATGTATTACCTGCTTTAGATAAGATCATTAATCTACGGGTAAATGATGCCCTCTCGGTACGGAATACGGAGTAAGCACCTTGATCATAAAGTATTTTCCTCGCTTACTTTTTTTTCCTTGGCGTCAGATGTCTATTCGTTTGATTGATTGATTCAAGTCTTGTTTTAAAAAACAACCAAATTTCTTTCTCCATTCAAAGTTCCGATGCGATTCAAACCTTGGAACCACCCACCTTATGGGGCTGAACGATCCCATGGATACACACGGGTATACACGAGGTTTACCCGGTTAAGATAAGACATATGAAGGTCGGCGTACTAAAGCTATCCATTACTATGTACTATCAATTTAGGGAAGGGGAAACGTGCCACGTGCCGTGGAATAAACGTTCTAAAGACGCGGTGCTCGATCGGGGTTACAAGCGATTGACTATCTTCTCACAGAAATACTTACACAAAATTGGTAGGAAGGATAGCCGACCTTCCTCTGCAATGTGTTTTAGCAAGCTGAAGGTGTTGGATAATCTCATCTCCCATTGTTTTACTTGCAGACCGAGGAGCTTACTTTTCAGATATGGGGTGTAAATACCCTGCTCTTTGCTATATTGAACAGCAATGATTCTTCTCTCTCTTCCTCCCTTTCGCCAGTAACCGGAACAGAAGCGTTCTCCATCTTTAAGTGAACAGGGTTTTGAAGGTGCTGCATTGAATTTTGCGAGTTCCCAGTAAGTATTTTGTCAGAAACAGACATCTCATTTTCAGGATACTTGAGATTTCTCTCATAATATTAACCATTCCCATTTTGATACGGGGTCCATTGAGGGGTTGATTTTCGATGTCGAATAAGTGTTTCTTCGAGCATTTATCTAGCGGAAGTTCTCTCCAATTTGTTGTGTAGTATATGGCAACCAAATGAGCCCGGAACAGGTGATGCGAAATATGTCATAATGGGAAATTGCCCTACTACCCAGGCGCTTCGCTTCGCTGTATTTAAATCTTTCAATCTGTCGGGTCCTTCTACATGCCTAATAACACGTAGGTTTACACCTAAGTGCTAGTCCCTCTCTGTGCTTCTGCTTGTAAAAAGTTAAAATTACTACATCTTTCACATGTCTCAATACCATATTTAGACAAATACCGCGTTTCGTTAACCCCGTAAGTTATTAGTGTAAAACATGTGAAACTATATGGGGTCTAATGCAACTTTCTGGATATAGGTACTTTAATGTGAAAAATTATAACATCTTGACTATACTACAGTGTAGACATGCCTAACTTATCTGTATTAAGCAGCATTCGTGACAAGGTGGGCCATTTGGGCCGGATCTCCGGATCTCCCAGGATGAACGACTTTATTTGATGTAGTCACGCGACCAGGTTGGGCCTTGGAAGTTACTGCTCATTTTCTCTCTATCATGTATTTTCTTGTGCTTTTACCATGAATTGTTTAATGTCCTTTTCTAGTGAGTTTGTGGATCTTGTCAAGACTAGCCACTCTCGTGTTTCTTAGTGCGATTGGTGCTAGTTTGGTAAAATACTAGCCTTGGATAACGACTGTAGCTGTAATCTTCCCTTTCCCGGATGCTCCGGAATTCCAAATTGTGGGGTTTCAGCCGAATGATCCCTCTTTGAGCCTCACGGTCCCTCCAACAATGGACCTTTCGCTCTGTAAATAGTTCCGTTCCTATTCTTCCTTCATCCTTGAACTAACAATTTCCGACATTTCGTCACATTTTATTGCATATATTTCTTCATGATCCTGTCAGACAAGTTAAATACCACAACGCTTCTAGTCACCCCCGTAGCTCTTATTTTTAATACTAGCTCAACGTCCCGGGATTTCGTTTGCCTTTATCGTCGCCGTAACCCGAGTAAAACATTTGAAAAAAGAAGGATAACCTCCAAGCAAAGATCTATGCCAATAAATTAAAATGGATGTGTCATGCAAGTGCTTTCTGCTTACTTCCTAGGTACATGTGATCTAGGGGCCAACTCTGCTTATCCTCAATAGATGACCATTCATTGTCTTGTTAGGCTCGCCTTATGTGCTACCTCGTGTTGTGAAAGCTCTTGGCTTTGCCACGACACCGGTTTAATATGGATGCAGACTATGGCCCCTCATTCCTAGCATCGCTCGCCACGTAGCCATGACTCCGAACATACATGGATATGCCCTATAAGAAGAGACCGACATTGAAATTCATAGGGGGCCTAAGGCGACCCTAGACTTGTATTGATGCGGAATTAATCTTGAACATAGACTGTGTGTCACGTCGTAGATGTATAAAGCCTTGGGGCCGGGCACGACTTCGTAAAAGCATTTAGCAAAGTCACGCATTATTTCAATATGACGCGAGGTTGGCTAGCCTTGTGCTTACCTCTACTATTACTCTTCTCATTTTATTCTTTGGGCATTGCTGCTCCTGTCGAATTTGTTCGACGTGCAGATGGTGAAGACTCGAAGCCATCACTAAGGATCCTCCCACTGGGTGCATCGATCACTTGGGGACTCCTATCCCCGACTGGTAATGGATACCGAAAGCATCTGCGTGATCAGCTTCGCTTTGATGGCTGGAACGTAGACATGGTTGGAAGCAGGTCTAATGGAGACATGGAAGATGACGTATGTATTTGACTCTACGATGACATGTCCGAGTTTTCTGACAACTCCGGGATGCCATGTCTAGGACGTCGAAGCACGCTCTGGCGACGTTATTACACAAGTCGAAACTGCCGCAGCAAAATCAGTCGGCTATAAGCCAAATGTGGTCATTATCAACGCTGGAACGAATGACTGCAGACAGGGAGTTGACATACCAAACACTGGTACCCGGATGGAACACATGATTAAGAATCTTGTCGGCTCGGAGGACATGAATGATACCCTGATTGTCCTGTCTACTCTAATTCCGTCTACCCAAAAGCTGGTAGCAGCGCATCGAGATGAAGTGAATAAGCAATATCGTGACTTGGTAAAGTCCATGCAACAGAATGGTGTCAATATTGTCCTAGCAGACATGGACCCTCCCGCCCCCAATGTTGCTAATGGTTGGATATCATGGCCTGAGGATTTTACCTCTGAAAATGGGGCTGTGGATGACACGCACCCAAACGACCGTGGATACGCAAAGATGGCATATGTGTGGTACAGAGCAATTGACGATGCCTATGCCAATGATCTCATTTCCGAGCCAGTAGATACAGGCTCCTCATCGGGAGGTAAAACATGTGAAAAGACACCTGGCAATGGTATCTATGCTGGTGGCCTTACCCAGAAGGGCAGTGGTGAGGATGACGGGATCTACTACCACTCAAGCGAGAGCATGGGTGTTGTCTATTCCCTATATGGTGAGAAGGACTTCAGCGAAAAGATATTCTTTGCCCGTCTATATGACCAGGAGAGAGATGACATTCTCGTCTGGCACGAGTCCGAGAACACTGTGCAGTATCAAGTCTACAAAAATAATGGGGGCTCAAAACTGTTTGACAGCCCCATACTTGTCAGTGTTAAAGATAATTGCATCCCAAGGGGTGTTCATTTCATTGATATCAACGGTGAGAGCAAGGCAATGTCTTTCATGGCTAATACTTTCTAGCCAATTACAGAAAGCTAATGAGTCACAGGGGACGGTCTGGATGATTTTGTCTGCATCGGTACAGATGGCACGGCGTATGCCAGTGTCAACAACGGTGATGGGTCTAGCACAAAAGCCCCGACATTCACCTCTCTTGGAAAATGGAAGGACAGTGAAGGCGATCAGGAAAATGTCCGACTTGGAGACGTCGACGGAGATGGAAGAGCAGATTACTGTATTGTTGCTAGCAATGGTGATATCACCTGCTGGAGAAACGGATGGATCGGTGAGTTCTATACAGAGCTGTACATTTTTGATAATCCTGGTGCTAAATTTCACAGACGATCTTCCGGCGTACTGGCAACCACTTGGCAAGAGATTTATCAACAAAGAAATGGGTGACATCAAAGGTGTTCGATTCGAAGATATCAACGGTGATGTGAGATACAATTATTCCTTTTTCATCTGCACTCCACCATCATTCCTTGGCTCCTCTGATCCCTTCTCTCTTAAATACCCACGCTAACCTCAATAGGGACGCGACGACTGGATCTGGGTGGACGATGATGGCGCAACGACCACCTACACCAACTCCCGTAGCTGTGCCAAAGGAAAGGAAGGGGATGGTCTCAACGTTGTCTGGCGTCAGGGATTCCAGAAAGGTCAAACTTCTGGACCTACACACTCAGGAATGGGAGGCATCTCTGAGTCTAGTCTGCGCGAACAGATCCATTTCGCTCGAATCTACGGAGAACGCCAGGACTTCGGCCTTCTGGGGCGTCAAGACTATGTTTTTGTCGAAAGGGGAGAGTTCGTGGACGAAAACCTTGGTTTTTCGTGGGATTTTCATGTGTGGAAGAACGTCGGATCCGGAGCGACCAAAATCAAGGGTAAGTCAAGTGTGCTAAAAGGAAGGCGAGAGAGAAAACTATTCGTTTGCTGACCATAAATTGGCAACAGCTGATGGCAACCGATACTGCAACATGATGGGCCATGACGACGGGCGTATGGATTATGTCTGGATCCTTTCCAAGGGAGATATGCGCATCTACCCCAACAAAGGTCTTATAAACCTTTCCGATTCTAGTCCCAGCTACTGGGATGCCAGTTATGTCATGTTTGACCCCTCCAAGCTGTCTATTGACAAGAATCTTGATCGTCGTGATCTTCATCTTGTCGACTGGGACGGTGACGGTGCCTGTGATATTGTTTGGACCGACCCAACCAACGAAAACCAACCTCATTTGTGGCGAAACCGGATCAAAGACACTGGAGATTTCAATTGGGCATACACAGCCGACCCAGCACCGCAAGTCCGCTGTTCGGAGAAGAGGGGACTAGGCTTCTTTGATCGACCTGTTCACCTAGCTGATATCTCGGGTAATGGCAAGTCCGACTACCTTTGTGTTGAAAAAGACGGACGAGTCTCGGGGTATGTCCACACCAACGATGGATGGGGTTACATCGACCAAATCAAATCTGCTGAAGACAAAGACCGCCCCAACCTGCAGTGGGCGGACGTCAATGGAGACGGCCGCGCTGATATGCTCCACACCAACAAGTTCAACGGCGATGGCACAGTTTGGTATAATCGCGGTCGACGAGACATTGGTGGCTCTAAGTATTGGTGGGAGAATTCTGGAGTGAAGTACCAAGGCACAGTGGAAGGATCCTGCACTTACTTCCCCGATTTGAACGGCGATGGCTTTGCTGATATGCATGCTATCACACACTCGATAAATAATACAGCTGAGACCTGGTATAATGACTGCAGTGGAAAGAACCATTTTGGTGATGATGGCCCTATCGAGGACCCAAATCTTCCAATCATCCCGCAGTAAAATGCGCCACAGGTTTATTACAAGGATGGTAGTTGCCCGAGAACAATGATGGCCTTCCTTGATACCGCAAGGCCATTCCGCTTTTCGAAAATGATCCTACCACTGCGGATAGTTGTGCAATCTTCGATGATTGGATTCAACTCCGCGAATCGACCGCGACGTGCATTTCAGAGAATCGCATGCCGCAGGAATGGGGAGCCAAACGACCTCGGGCAACACTTGTCGCGTTGGAGGCAACAATTGTGGAGATATATAGAGCACCTGGCTTCGTCAGGAAGAAATGTACATTCACGCATATTCGGGCGACATGACCGAGCGCGAAGCTCGGCGGTTGAAGTTCCACACTCGCTCGTGTGGTATGGCTATTTACCGATATACAGCGACGGATGTGATGTTGAGCTCGGGGCAATTCTCTGCATGGGATCGAGGCTGAAGAGTGTTGATAAACGCCCTACGGCACATCTTGTATTTCTTATATTACATTTAGAATCAAAACTTTGTGATTCGAATTCGTGTCATATTCAGTCTCCTGCATATTATTATATTTGCAAGTGTCTCACCAGCTCGAGGCTATGAGTATCGCGACTTCAAAAGTATATACATCTTCGGATCCACAGTCCCTCTGCCGTGATCCTTCAGTCATTCCCTCCCAACGCATTCTCATCTCGCGCCTGTCCCATGGTATCTCATATATCAAACAGATCATCATTTGAACATTCATCCCCCTAGGAAACTATCATACTCGTCGTCATCGGACTCCGAGCATGCTGTCACCTCCTTCCCACGGGGGATCGGATGAATACCTCTCTTATCCGACCATTCCCCTGGATACTCCGCACCCATGAAACTATCGTATTCATCGGTCTCCGGCAATGCCGTTAACACCTTGATATAGGGAATCGAATTAATCCCCATCTTGTCGGACTCGGACTTCGTCGGCTGAGCATCCAAAAATGCCCGGAGTGACTCATCGTCAATCACTATACACGTTGTATGATTTCGTTTCTCTCTCGAATTGACCCAGGACTCAAAATGAGCACGAACTGAGTCTATCGGGGCTTCGTCGAACTGGGCCGGATCGGCCATGATGACTGGACGGTGTTGGGCCCAGATCTCGTGATATGCAGTAGGCTCTGCGCAGTGTAGTTTACTCTTCGGCGTCGAAGCGTATTCGGAAAATAATTCGTGTTTGATGTAGGAGTTGAGTAGATCGACGATCTGGGAGAAGGCAGTATCGGACTGAGGAGTGTAGGTGGTGCGATAAATGACATAGCCCCATGTCGCTTTGCTTCTCACGGCTGCGTGAAGGCGTTGGGTGCGCCAGGGTAGCCAGCTGAGATTCATTCTGATTTGAAATTGGAATAAAGTATTAAAATCCAAGCAGGAAGAAAGGAGACGAAAGGAAATATGAATAGAATAATGCTGACGGTGTCTTCGAGTTATTTATTCTTTTGCGCTAAAAAGGCTGATGCCAAGAAACGCAGCATGTATTGTTATCAAGCTAACCTTGGTGGTTCTAGTTGAATCAATAACGATCTATCATACTAAGGTCTGTGGAAGCCAGCCCACAGCATTAGTATGTTTACCTAAATAAGTTCCTTCTGAAATAACATCTCTAAACCATAAAGCCAACTCGCCGAGATGGATAATGACAGTAATACAATACTACAAGGTTATAAATACACCATGTATTATACGCAGTATTGCGGAAATGGATGTGATGTCTCCATATCCCCATGCGTTTTAACGCTTATCCACATTCAAAAAGGAATATGAGGTCTAGTCCGACTTCAGAACGCTAGGGGAGAAAAAACGAGGGAATGTACGGAAATCGACCATTTTTGCAACTGCGTGTAGTCCGGTGTATTATCATCTCGCATATTTGTCAGCAGGTCTGTCAGCGACTTTGTTTCGATTCATAAACGGTAAGAAGACCTTGAAGAACAATGATTTCATGGCTAGCTGAGGCTCTGCATTCGAGAAATCAATCGCACGCGACACGCGACCAAGAAATCCCGCCCCCGGCTCGGGTGGGGCAGATGATGGGGGCGGAAAGGTTGTAACGGGTTAAGTAACCGTGCCAAGCCCCAAACACAAGGGGGGCGCCCTACTGGATCACACATTTTCACAGGATAACAAATTCTCGCTGTTAAAGCAACTTCCTATACAGTTATATACCACACATACACTACTTGAACATGAATATAAGATTGCTCAATGTGGCGTGAACTCAATCTGACACTCGTGTTCCTGTCTCCATGATTAGCGAGTCTTCAGAAACATAATAGCTGAACATACCCGTATTTGGCTACAAGTGTCATCATAGAACACCTCGTAGCGACCTGTGATACCAGGGGAGACGGTACCGAAATCTCCGATTGGTGTGGTACCGTATTTTCGATAAATGGCTGCGACCAACGTAGTCATTTCTGCCATTGCCAGACTGTTCCTTGTTAGCCATCTCTCATGGTCACAGGTGGAAGTCCTATAGAGAACTGGGAACATACTGCATGCCAATACACATCCTTCCTCCACTGGAAAATGCCCAGAACCATTTCTTCATATCGACCAAGTTTTCGGAGGGATCCAACCAGCGATCAGGATTGAATTTCGCGGGGTTTTTGAAAACCTCGGGGTTACGATGGAGCGAGTATGGGGCCATAGAAACTACCGTCTTGGGTGGGATTGTGTAGCCATCGATTGTGGTTGCCGCAGGAAGTGAGCGTGGCTCTGATCCCGGGAGAGGTGCGTAGAGCCGAAGTGTCTCTTTGATAACTGCATCAAGGTAAGAAAGCTTGTCGGTGCTTTCTACTTTGGGGATGCCATTCGAATTGAGCGAGTCTTCGGAGATATTGCAGACTTCCTCAATAAGCTTGTCTTGGAACTCCTTATTCTCTGGTCGGGAGAGTGCCCAAATCAAGAACATCAGTGTATCGCTGGTGGTGTCAATGCCTGCCAGAAGATGGTCTGCACATTCTGATGCAATATCGAGATCATCGATTCCATTTAGCTTTTGGGAATGGTGGTGACTCCACAGTCGGGATATCAGGGCTGATGTGCTCGCTCTGTCGCCCGCAGAAGCACTGGCATATTTCTGAGTGGCTTTCATCGCGTGCAGTCTGATGCCGCTGTAAGTCGTTGGCAGTTGCATCGGGTACAACCATTTCGCAATGCAACCACTAAACCCGGTCCGCGAGTAAAGCCATTCTGTGAAGTGAGGAAAATGAACCGCATACCATGATAGCTTGCGGCGGGCAGTATCGATGATATCTCCAATGAGCTCGCGATCTTGCCCTAGTCCCTCAAGACATGATGTCTTGCCGAAAGATCCGTAAAGGAAGTCGGTGATTGTGTCCAGGGAGAAATAATGCAAGGTAGAAAATATCTCGCTTTTTCCTCCATCTCGCTCCAACAGGTCCATATACTGCTTGACCTTTTGCTCGATCATTTCTGCATTTTGTCCTTTGAGCATCACAGATTTAGCGTAGGCGTGGGCAAAGAGCTTCTTCCTTTCTCCGTGCTGCTTCGCGGTCGCGAAGGAAAACATGTTTTTTCGACCATAGACCTCAAACATGTGGTAGAAACCGGTTCGCTCAAATCCGCTTCCCGCACCGTAGATCGCACGCAAGGCCGTAGTGCTGTTGAAGCTCACCTCACTGGGGCCGACACGAACGACAGGTCCATATTGCTGGTGGAGGGAATTGATCTTTCGGGTGCGAGTGCCTTTGTAGTCCTCATAGGCTAATTTGGCTTTGGTCAACGCGAAAGATTTTGGACCGGGGATTCGCGCAAGAGGGCTGAACAAAGTGGAAATGGAGATGTGGTAGACAAAGAAGGCTGCTATGAAAGCAGCGATCAGGATCCACGTCATTGTTCAATTGTTACACAGAAGGTAGAATGAGAAACGATATTTCAAAATGCATCATGGTTGTCTTTATAATGGGCTTGTGTGTATTCTCGAATCCGATAAGTAACGAAGTGAGTCACTATCTCCGATGTCTTCCGCGAAAGCGGCAACTGGCAGCGAGACTTGGAGAGCGGGGTCTGATTTTCCTCGGAGTTGGAGATTTTGTGGAGACACTTCGGAGTCAAGATATGTTAGCACATTCAGTCTGTAGTATTTATATGTCCAATTAGACCATGTAGATTACCTACACCGTGTGAACCTACCAAAATTTTCCTCGATCTCCAGAGTCATCTTGACCAATCATCACCACACAATGTCAAAGTTACCTGCACCGCTACAATCAAACCTGACCACACGGCTGTCAATGCGATGGGCATCAGAAACACCCTTCGAAACTACCGACACACTGGTGATAACGGTGGACGAATGGTACGTTGATCTGAGGGTCGATAAACAAAGCGGCAAAGTCGATTGGGCGCTCGCCGGAGAATGTATTGAGGAAGGCAAAGATCCACGTATGATCTAATCGAAATTTCCGACCATCGATGGTACATCACGTAATAAATCACTGACTTGCCACAGGGCGCGTGGTGTTCACGCATGAGATTGACTCGCACCACAATTTCAACGTGAGCAATCCATGCCCATTCATCCCGCTCCCCGATGGAAATGTTCTGGAGACTGGGACTATGGCTCGACCAGATGTACCCGGAGCACCGATGACAGATTATGAAGAAGTGTGGAGGTATCTTCCGATTCGCGAATGTGCGGAAGGGTCAGGGCGTGGCCTTTCGTGGATCTTGGAGTCTGACGAGGGCGTTCTGGAAGCGGGTCAGCACCAAGTGACCAAGATGTTTCTAGCGCAAATCGGGGGCTCATATTTGGTTCTTCATCAGAAGCAAACCCATGTGGTTAGGCAAACAGCCCTTGGAGAACGGGCTGTGGAAATTTCCGGGGAGGAGGTCAGCGCACGAAGAGAAGAGTGGACGGATGATCACTGGGAGACAAAATATGCGTTGGGACCAGACTGTGATGGTTTGCCTTCAATGACTAATGGATTTGATGTTGAGATGAGAGGGCGTAAGAGTGGCGAGAAGGTCACCGTTGGAGGTTGCGACTTCATTGTGCGGGCACATGTGGAAGGCCCAAGGAAAAATAGATATTCTCGTCTCTAGGTCGGAAAAAGGTCGGAGAGAAATATAAAGACTTTGGTTGCCATCATGGTTATCCCAGAATACAGCATATATTAATTGGATCACAATGGTTGCAACTACAATCTAGTTAGATAATGGCATTTCTGTTCGGGGATATTGAAGGAGGAAAAATAGAGGGAAAATATCCATTGAATAGAATTCACATCTCAAAGGGACATACTATGCATAACATTCTCTATACATCCTTCAAATATCTCAGACACTGTCCTAGCCACAATGTGATTAAAAGCGAATATAGAGATCACAGGATCAACAAAAAAGCTGCAGAACGCTGTTGAGAGCGCCTCCTATGTCCCACCGAGAATGTGTTGGCTGATGTTCAAACACTCCCACTATGCTTGCTGGTGGTAAATCACATTCCCACGATCAAAATTCGTCAGATCAGTGCTACTAAACTTCCAGGCTGGCGTCTTCCGCTCGAAGAGAATATCAAGTTCCTCGAACGTCCTGCCCTTGGTTTCTGGTAGGCACAAACACGCCCAAACAATCACCCCAATACTAAGTCCGCCAAACAAAAATCCAATCTTGCCACCCCAGTTTGCCTCAAGTGGGCTCATTGCATAGGGAAGAGCAGCTGTAATAACAAGGGAGAAGATATGGGCGAACGAACATGCCACACCCATGGTCTTTCCGCGGATTGTTGTGCTTGGGATCTCAGCAATCAATGCATAAACAAGCGGACCCAGACCGAAGTTGTAAATGAGATAAAAGACAAGCAGCATGGAGGACTTTGCGTAAAGAGCGCCTTTATTGGAAGATGGTGCGAGATCCAAAAATCCAATCAAAAACATCAGGGTGGCAGTTGCACCACAAGTCAAAATATAAGGGAGTCTCCTACCCCAGATTGACAATAAGGGCCATGAAATCACGTTGCCGACAATACCAAGCGCAAACAGACCAAGAGAGAGGTCAAAGGCCTGATCTGTCGATACACCCGCCAGCTGGAAAAAGTAGGTACAATATGAAGACACAACGTTAACTCCGCAGAAGAATTGCCCACTGTAACAGATTGAGCATATCAAAGTACGTCGGAAGTTTGTACCCTTGAAGCAATCAAGGTAGGTGGTGGTGGATACACACTGCTCCCCCATGATAATGGTTTCCTTCATATGAGCCAGAGTATCGTCGAGATCCTCAGTGTATCCAGTACGCCTCAGGGAGTTTGCAGCCTCGTCGTATCGCGCTTTCTTCACCAAGAACCAGGGTGTTTCAGGGGCAAAGAACGCCCCAAGAATGAAGAGCACAGGGAAAATATATTCTGTGATGAAAGGGATCTTGTAAGCCCATTTGTCGGGTCGTGTTTCCGTTCCGCGCAAGATCCCGATCGCAATAAATGACCCAGCCACCTGAGCAAAGTTGTTGGCTGCCAGTCCGACACCTCGAAGACTAACAGGGAGAATTTCCGAGATGTATGCCGGTCCAAGAACTGGAAAGCCACCAGTGAGGAGGCCAGTAAGGAGGTCGCCGGCGAAAATGATGCCGGCAGTGTTACCCAGAACTTCCATCAAGAGAGTTCCCAGAGACAGGGTAGTGCAGCATAACAGTGTTTTCCTGGGTCCGAAGCGATCGACGCACCATCCTGCCCAAATTGGAGCCACCAAGAAACCGATGATAGGTGCGTAGGGGAATGCGGATGTCCAAGAGGAAGCGAGAACGTACGTGCCTGACCCAGCAGGGTGTTCGTAACCAAAGTCTTTTCGGAATTGTGGGACACCGACCAAACTGCCGAGGATTGTTGGGTCATAACCAATGACAAATCCAGGGAGAATGAAATAGGCCGCCCAGAAGACAGCACTCTTGTGTTTAGAAAGGCCTTGTCGTACGGTCAGATCATGTTCTCGTTGAGTGGCCCTTTGTGAGCTCTCAATCAAGTCATGCTTTGGATCTGGTGAGATATCTGTGGGGGGTTGTGCTTCAGGGGCAGCCATTTTGGGTGGTTTCTGTAGCTCAAACTACTAGAGACAGGGGGTCCATGTATATATTCACCGTTCTTATCCGAAACCCCCGTGTTACGTCGTGATTGGGATAAGGACGCCTGCCTAATCAAGCATATCTTGTGACATTCCTTGTAGATATGCGTGCTAAGCGGGTACTGACCCCGCATTGTAGGAATATAGCGCTCCTTTAGAGGTATACAGAAATGATAGTAGCCGAGCAGATACCCTACCCCACAATCCTGGGATATTCCTATAACCTGGTTGAGAATTTATCGATCCTTTATCGTTCCTCGTCCGTTGCCTCAAATAAAGTGAATACTCGCACTGGTATAATGTGGTCTTGTTAAGCCGGCGGAGTCGCAATGGCATTACATCTCGGGTCGATAAGTCTTTGGGTCTCTTTTATATTGGAATGGCGATGGTTGGCTTGCCTTGCCCTGGATGGCATTTACCTTTATCTACGGACGAGAAATTTATATAAAAAGGGGATGCTAATGTGCTTATCTCCAGTCCTCGACGGTTGGCTCACTTGCTTGTTTGGCTCACCTGCCTATTTGGGTAATATCTTGTTATCCGACATCCGACAGCTTATCTGCACATGTGGTCACTTTGGCAGCGGACTTCCGATGATCCAAATCGGTTCAATGTTGACTTATCCATTTCAGGCTCGCTTTAGCAGAATTCCCAATTACCCTCGCCTTATCTTCCTTACCACGTATTTGCTCGACCTGCGGAAGACCCTACCATGGAGCATCTCCCAGAGCGCCATGAGCACGATGAGGTACCTGGAACTATCCTGCTGGTCGATATAGCTCATGACAGCAATATATCTGGTCAACGAAAAGGAATAGTTTTACAACCACAACCCAGCACAGATCCAAACGATCCACTTAATCGATCACAACGATGGAAAAACCTCAATATCGGCATGGTATGTGTGTACACCTTTGCTATTGGAATATGCACAGCTGCACAATTCTCCATCATGACACAGATATCCGAATCGCAAGGAGTCAGACTTGCAGATCTCAATCTGGGCACTGGGTTGATGCAGTTGATGCAAGGATGGGCAAATCTTTTATGGCAGCCTATCGCCATGACCTATGGCCGCCGGTTGGTCTACCTTGTGACCATTATATTCTCGATAGGACCAGTTTTATGGGTTCCGCTGGCTCATGGCGCTAGCCAATGGTACGCACACCGCGTGCTTCTGGGATTATTTTGCTCGTCCGTGGAGTCTCTACCGGAATTGTCTGTCCAGGATCTCTTCTTCGCCCATGAACGAGGAAACTATATGGCCCTGTATACTTTTGTATTGTTCGGATCGAACTTTATTGCGCCCTTTCTTGCGGGGTTCATAGCGGATGGCCTGGGCTGGGAATGGGTTATGTACCTTGCCACAATATTTTTGGGCATCTGCGCACTGATCCTATTCTTTTTCTTGGAGGACACAATCTTCTTTCGAAACACAACCGAGACCGGGGCCCAGCAATATGAGATTGTTCCGCCGGATGACAATGGAGAGCCAGGGTCCACCCCTACCGAGCGACCCGAGACTGGACTAGCCACAAATATGAAGCCTCGTCGGCAGAGGCTGGCGTTGATTACAATGCTACCAGGTCGTCCAAGTCATAAGCAAATGGCATTGAAGAGCTGGCAGGCATTAAAAATCCCCTTCTTCTTTCCTAATATTCTCTGGTGCGGTCTCCTATACGGATCGAACCTAGCCCTTTACAGCGTGATTAATGCGACAATCTCGAGTATACTGGGATCCAGTCCCTACAATTTCCCTCCAACAATGGTCGGTGTTGCTTATCTGTCCCCTTTCGTCTTCGGTGGCGCTGCATCCGTTTGGGCGGGAAAGATGTCAGATTCTCTCGCAATCAAACTGGCCAAACGCAATGGGGGTGTCCGGGAACCAGAACATAGGCTCTGGGGCCTTCTGGTATCCGCGCCTATCGCTGCAGGGGGGCTGCTCATGTGGGGAGTAGGGGCCAGTCAAGGGGCCCACTACATGGTTCTGATCCTCGGAATTGGCATCACCACCTTTGGGGTCGTTTGCGCAAGTGCGATATCATTGGCGTACGCCGTTGATTGTTTCAAAGAAATGGCCGGTGAATCCTTTGTTTCCATCAATATCATCCGGAATACAATAGGGTTTAGCTTTAGCTACGCCATCACGCCGTGGATTGAATCCGTAGGTCTTCGAAACTGCTTTATCTCGGTGTCGCTGATCTCATTCTTTTGTACTTATACATTCCTTGGGGTGATTGTTTGGGGAAAGTCATGGAGGAGGATGTCCGCGGAGCGATATTGGGAATTTGTAGCCACGGAGAGAGAGATGGGCCACGCTTAGTGGCACTTCAATCTTCTCCAGTTTCATACAGTGAATATATATTCTAGCGATTACTAGATGGAAGCGTGAAAATATGTTGATAGTCTACATACAGATTGCATAGGCTTGGGGAAAAGCAAGGCCAAATCTGCATCTCCGCAGAAATATCCAGAGTGAAATCGAATTATCAACGGCATTCCTCAAATCGATATCCCTCGAAATTCAGACCTGAATCCGATTTCCAGATCAGGAAAGTGATTATTACCGGATTAGGAAACAGAGGCCTGTGCTGAAGCCGACCGGCTCGGTTCCCCGCCCTCGAGTGGATCCATGGGTTGCGACCCCAAGGCGAGGAACAATCTTTTAGTACTGTAAATATTTCCGTGATCTATATCCTGTTTTAACTAGATATTTCTCTTTATTATTCATTGGATTGCCTCACAAATCATTCGATTGGGAGCTCTTTATGTTGTACTTCGTTCTCGCTGTAAAGACTACGGCTTTCTCCTAGTAGACCAAATAGATCATTTGAGCAAGACTAAGATGGAAGGTAAGATCTTATGATATAGTATACCATAGAAGGCAAGATGACGTGGGGATTGGGAAAGTTGTTTGAAAAGAAGAATGTTCATTGAATTGCATCACGAGGAGACTGATCTCCCAAAGGAAACTATGCAAAAAACACCTATTCGGTCTCACCGAGCGCCTCCCGTCTTCCAATGCTCTTGGGATCCAGATATGGCCGCTCTCCAAGGCCAACAGCACGGTGTCCAGTGCGCGGGCCAAGTCCCTCATAATCATGAGTCGCTGCGTGGTATACCGATCGGTTATCCCAGATAGCTATAAAAAATAGTCAGATAAAGCTGTGGCAAAGTTTCGCGAGGGATCATACCAAGATCATTAGGGTTCTGCCAGCGATTGCGCACCTGAAGGTCGTGGTTCTCAGCAATGAGGGTCACGAACCAGTCGAGAAGGTGACGGCTCTCCTCATCGGAAACATCATTGACCTTCTGCACGTGCGTGCCAACGGCGAAGACACTCTTCCAACCGGTGACGGGGTTGGTACGGATAACGGGGTGCTCAGCTCGGAGCTCTTCTCCAACGTTCTCTGGCGCGCCACGAGGGCCAGGGTGGACCGAGAAGTCGTTGCGCTTGGCGATGTCGTTGAAGCCGGGCTGCGCATAGGTTGCAGTCAAGCTCTCTAGGAACTTCTGGTAGGGCTTAGAGATACGATCGTAAACTTCGTATCCGGAGGCCCACAAGGTGTCTAGAAGAGAATTAGTCTTTCTGGACCATTTCCTAGAGAGTATACAAAGGTGTCTTACCACCACCGGTTTTCGGAAGCTCAGTGAGACGCAACAGGGTGTAATCGCTAGGAATTGGCTCAAAGGTGATGTCACTGTGCCACTCCTTGCGTGCACTCTGCTTGCGCACGGCTCTGTCCTTGTACAGCTTTCCTAGGCTTGCGGAGCTGATCACGCTAATCTCATCATCCTTGACTGCGTGGTCCCGGGACGAGTTTGCTATCGGGTGGATATGCAGTCCAGATGTGCTTGGCTTGCCGGTGAGTTCACCCAGTCGTTGAACAAGCTCCTTTTGCAGGTCGTTGTCCAGACTATCCTGCTTGCGGAAGAAGACAACTCCGCGTTGCGAGACTAAGATGCCATGTCAGCTTTGTCTTCTACGTCCAGTCACAGATATAACTAACTGGTTAGAGCAAGCTCTCGAAGCAGGTCATCGGAATTCGGGGCGCGCAGGAAGTCCTTCAAGTTGGCATTGGGGAATTCGCGTCCAATGACCGGAGTGACATCGAAGGACTCAAAAGCATCCAGGGTTCCATTGGACTTGATGGGCTCACGTGCGAGACCAGTCAGTGTGATCTTGTCCTCGACGATGGGAACCACCGTAGGTGCGGTTTGGGTAACAGCAGATGCCATGGTAATGGTGTTGGATAGAGTATTGATTGCTGGTTTGCGTTGCTTGCTGATGCTGAAAGATCAAAGCTGGGACTATGAGGCCTGTCTTATACTTCGCGACATCCAGGATGCTGCCGACTATCCGCTTGCGACATCTGTTGTTGTGCACAGCCCTTACTGTCACAACCCCGCAGATCTGGAACGTGGTTGTCGCACAGTTAGAACGAAAGCACGTCTTTTACGTTGATCCTCTTATCAGATAATAGTCAATTTGTGCTGTCAAAGTGGAGATTCGTCATTTCCCCCGGATATTGGTTAACATCTCGCCATCTGGAGCTGTCACGGTGATGGGATCATATTTACTGGAGGTTGCGCAACATGGTTGATTATAAACGACACTATACTTATAGGGGGTAGACCAGAAGCTTCGTCCAACCAGATCAATCCAAATTAATTGCATCGATGACTTAGTTTAAATTAACTACTCGTTGGCTAGTTCGATGTACTTTACATTGCATGCATCTACCCAAGCACGCCATGTGCGGTCCGACCAATAGCACCAAAAATGGGAGTATCTTGTTTTAGATCTGACACTTCGCTTAAATGAATCAACAGTTATACCTAGCATCATTTTGGATTATGCAGCATAAGCAAAGTCAAAATTGTGTTCATTGCTTTGATATCCAAACTGTACAGAGTGACCTCCCTGCATTAAAGGACTAATCCCGGCTCCTCTCGTCTTCACATGTAATTCTGCCAATGGTCTGATTCTAAGCGAGATACTCAATGGGCAAATCTGAAATCAAGTCGCTTATTCCCTTCATCCTTAGTGGTTGCCACGTATTGCATCTTCTCGTTGTCCGTCATAGCGTTCCATTTCTTATCCCGGCTTTGATTGCGCCAGACATAGTACATCTTTGTCAACAAATATATGAAGATATTCGAGACAACAAGTCCCACTAGAGTACGATTGCCTCTTCGGTAGCGCGGAGCATCATCTGAGCCAAATTAGAATACGGACAATCTTAGAAACGGAACGGATTTGATGACCAACCAGCGCGATAGATATTGGAAGCGATAACTGACGATGCTTGGACACACATGTTATACATGGCGGCCGAGACTGTCCGGGATCGGACAGTGTTCGAATTGCGGGAGTTCCAGTTAACTTGAATAGCATGCGCTGTAATTTTGTGAGTCATGATATCAATTATGAAATAGATATGAATAGGAGAGATTACCATTTGGATATGCCAGTAGGAGTGTCATCACTACCCACACACACCACTTGTTTGCGGTGTTAATGTCGACTACATATAGATAGACCAAAAAGGGAAGTATCCATATTTGCCCAACCATAGACACCAAGGTTAACTGACTGCTAACCTCCGAGACGTATGTGAGGAGTAGAATGAATACAATAGACAGCGCCTCACTAGGAATGACCAGGAGATTGGTCACAAAAGTGTCGAATCCGAGGCCTCTCAGAGTAAGAGTCAGATATTGCTTGGGGGTCGTTACTGGTGTTTGAAAGGTAAGTCCAATAATGTATATCGGCCAGAGATCATAGTCCTTGAGACTCTTCCAAAGCAACTTGGGTGTAATAGGTTCTCGATTGTGCATGGATCCTTTGCTTGGGTCATCACGAATTACTCGATTGACAATGATGATTTCCTCACTGTGGATCCTGTCAATAACGGACAATAACGGATGCAAGGTTTGCAAAGGAAAGGGACATAACGTACCGCTCAGTGAACCAGCCTGATTTACCCCGAGACCAATTAGCAGTCTGACATGGTCCAGGTGGCATCAAAACATATGCGGATAGACCAAATAGAAGTGTCAGAAGGCCCTGCTCTTGATGTGAGTAATGCGCCTTCTTTTCGAAAATGACATCAGCTGCCTACTCACCTCAAGTAAGAACAGCCAACGCCATCCCGATTGACCTTGCACACCGCGAAGATGCAAAAATCCGAAAGCTAGGAATCCAGCAAGAATATCTGCAATGTGCATGGCCGTCCAAAAGAAGCCGAGTCGCAAAGACAATTCATGATGTTTGTAGAAGTAAGACAGATACAATATCACCTTGGAGTCTGTTAACGGTGACCAATAAAAATGACGTGAGTAACTTACATCTGGGATGAATCCGCCTTGCAAAATACCAAGGAGGGCACGACACAAAAGGAATGTTGTTTTTCCATTTAACCCATACTGTGCCATAGCAACTGCAGACCAAAGAACCATTTGGGTAGGGATCCACCGATCAGGTCCAACCCATTTACTGAGCAGCTGGGAGGGAAGCTCGGAACAGAGGAATGAGAGCTTAAACACCGTATTACCAAGATTGTAGTCTAAAGATAGAATGTACTGGTTAGCTCTGAGATAGCATGAAATGAAAATAAAACTCTGATTCTTTATTCACCATTCGTGTTCATGTTCAATTCGGGAAGCATGTTGTCGGTTAGAGCTTGTGATAGATTGGACCTATCTAACTCCAAGCACACGAACATGATGCAAGTAAACACCATGATACGAAGATCAATTTTGCGAACCAACTTATATTCCTCGCTCCATGTCCACCGAGCAGATGGGTCGAATCGGTGAAGATTTTCCCAGTCGGCTTGGGGTTGAAATTCCTTCGCAGTGTCCGGATTGTCATAGACGGATGGTTGAGTCGCTACTGCGTCGGCATTATAGCCTTTACCTCGCTGGAACCAAAACCGACGTTCGTCTCCCGGTTCACCTAAGGGCTCTATATCAAGACTGGTAGATGACTCTGTGTCTGTCCCTCTCAGTGCCGAGATGGACTCATTCGGGCCCTTCTTTGCGGTGTATACAGTGGCCATCTTGGGAAGCCAAAGCTACTGCGATCAAATCGTGGGACTTATTGAACCTTCCTTTCTACCTAAGATAAATCTGAACCATCTAGGCTCTTCTTATACATTCTACAGCGCTGATCCCCCTGGTGTATTTTGTCTTGAACATAGTTTTACTGATAAGAGACCACTTGGCACTGGCTCGCATCATCGTGCCAAGTATTGAACAATTCTTCTGTTGTGGTGTGAGGGGTTGAGGGTGAACAAGGATTGACAAGGGTTGATACGGGTTGTTGGTCAGTGGGAATGGCATCTTGATGGCTTAATATCACATCATTCCGTCGAAATACACCACATCCCCAAACAAAAAATTTAGAATTATACACCAGTCCGCTACCGGGGGCTATGGAAGAAATAAAGTTGCTGACAACAACGCAAATTATCGAGTGCCTATCGGTAAGATCATTTACTATCATTAGTATTGGTTCTCTATAAAAACGTTGATTCATGAGCAGCATAGCACCATTGGGTAAGATATCCATCTGATAAACTTGAATCCTGAAACAATGGTTCAGAAATGAAAAGTCCCCGCTAATTTTTGTCGGTATTTTTGTGAGCTTGCCAATTTCGCTGCTAATCTCCTAAGGCAAGTCGTGGAGTTGTTTCGAATGATCATTCGCGATACAACAATGCTCTACATACGAGACTAGAAAGGTCAGACGGTTGGTCATGGTTAATTGGATTCACTTGAAACAAGGAATTTTGGTCCGCATTTATCAGTATTATAGCATAGGGCAATTGGTACTGACCAGTGTAAGGCAAGCCTAAATGAGCTCTTCCTTCAACACGCTATATTTATGTGTGTATTATTTTGCTCTGTTTGCCCCCAAGAGTGTGATATCGATATACAACCGCACAGTTGGATGGCAGCCAAACATGTTCAAAAGCTAGGCCTTCAAATAATATATCATGCTCGTGAAGTGGAAGCCTGAGGCAGAGAGCTTCCACATTCGGAAATGGCCCTAGCACCTCGTGTCCAAGTCGTCCATGGTGTTTTTCTCCCTTGATACTGCATATCCGACTTGGTTTTATTCCTCCTATTCAAGTCACTCATGCATTGTCAGTATGGTATTTCAGCTTATCAGTATGCAAGAGCATAAGGTCAGAAACTCGTCGGTGATACAACCTCATTCACCATGCATGCTCTCATTGACATCACTACTACGCCTATTTCACCCACGCTCATCACATCTCACAGGTACATAGCGCACCTCTATGTGTCACTACCTCGTGTATCCTCGTGCATCTACTACCGTTGACAAGTAATGTCTCACAATGCTCCTCATTAGCCACCATCCCACGTCATTTGTCGGGAGGCATAGGCATGTCACATCTCACAGTAGATAGCATCCAGACGGATGGGCAATCTAGAGGCTATGGATTGTCTTTGAGTTCAAAGTCCCCGAACTACTGTTCTTGGTCCATTGTAGGTACATCTTGATTTTAGCGCCCTGCAGGGATCCTGAAACGTCCCCGCCCTGTTTAGGGAATCCCCACCGTTGATCGCAGATATACCCACTTGCTCAGAAGCAGCAATGAGTGCTTCGTCTTGAAAGGAAATACCTCTGACTGGTCAGAAATTAGTCAATCTAACCTCCCTGAGAACTGAACAGCTATTGAATCAAGGTTCCCTTTAACCGCCAGGATGGGTGCTGACAACCTCGGCGGCTAGAAAAGTATGGGGCGGAAAAAAAAGACCCCGTCTATTACCTGACCCTTCCACACGTACATATGGGAGAAGAATCCGATGAAATAATTTTGAAGAGGGTTTCGTTCCTTGGGGTTCAATTCCCATCCCTCTTGGCGGAAAGATCATCCCTATAAAGCAATCGGCCATCAAAATGACCTCGAAGACAAATACTGGGTCAGAGAAGATTTCATCGTCGCAGGAATATCACACCCAAGATCAAACACCGGGATGGCGGCCATGTTATCTCCGAAGGAGAGTGTTGGTTGTTTTCGCGATCGTCTTCTGCATATTCATAGGGGCTCTGGAGACACTCAACCAAATCTCTCAAGCTCACAATGGCATCGCGTCTTCGGTTGAAAGTCGCCACTACTTTTGGACCTACGGACCTACTGCAATCCTCACCATCGTCGCCTTATTTTGGTCACGCGTCGAGTTCCAAGCGAAGCAGAGTGCACCGTGGTACTCTATGCTACATGAACCCCAAGAGGCAGAGAAGAGTGTGCTCTTAGATTACATATCCGAGATGCAACCTGTGTCTATATGGACAGCCTTGAAGAATAAGCATTTTACCGTCGCTGCTGGCGTAAGCTTGTCAATACTTCTCCGCCTGCTCGTCGTCTTCTCTACTGGTCTATTTTCACTCCAACAAGTCCAAGTTCAAAGGGCCAACTTTCCCATTCAGATCCACAGTAACTTCAACATCAAAAACTCTACACTTCAGGACTTCGGATTGCAGGCATACGACATTCTCAACGGCGTGCTTTTCCAAGACCTCCCCTTTCCCGAAGGCTCAACTGCAAATTTTGCATTTCAAGAATTCTCAGCATTGGCTCTTCCGTCTGATGCAAATATCACCGTACCAATTCAAGGCTTAATGTCAGACCTGGACTGTGAGCTTGCTGATGTGACGGTTAATCATTGGCCGGCAGTTACTACAGGCTATATAACATGTCTCGCCGACCTAACCACCCCATCATGCAATATCTCGAACGTAACACTTCAGTTTATGACCGATGATGTTCCATTTGGAGCGGAATTGCAAGTAGGACAGTGCGACAATATAGATGGTCCTGGGGGCAAGCGCGTCATGGCCACCATCCAAGAAGCCATGATCGTTCAGAATAAAACTGATGATTCTATGCCGTCCAATAGAACATTGACGCGCTCTGTTGCACTGATATGCAAACCTTCACTTCTTTCTATGACCCTTAAGGCGCAAGTTAAGGCATCTGAATTATCCTCGAATGCTCGGTTCGAAACTCTTGGCTTTCAAAATGCGACATTGCCGGGTCTAACAGCGGGTGACCTGATTTACCCGGTTATTAGTGGATTTCGCAACACTAATGGCTTCAGGGCCATTGAAACGCACCGGACGATCGCGGTAATACAGTCTGCTGAATCACAAACGTCAGAATATCCTGCTCAATCACAAGTGGCACTTGGCATGTGGCTGACAGGAGCAACCCCCAAGCTTGAACCTCTCTTTAAGGTTGATGTGCTTAAGAATGTAACTGTGTCATATTATCGCGCAATGGCCGCGCAGCTTCTGCATCTGGGTTCTCAACAAGAGAAAACGACATCATATGGTCAGGCAACGGTACATCAGAATAGAGTGCTAGTATCGCAACTACCCCTTCGAGTGATGGAAGCTTCTCTCTCATTGGGAATCCTGCTGCTGGGTTGGATGATTTTTCTTGCGTCGCGTGAGACATTGGCTCAGTGGAACCCGAGCTACATCGCTTCCATTGTAGCAATCCTAGCTAATAGCAAAGCTCTCCAGCAGTCTCTTCGCGGCACTGGGGTAGCAAGCATGGAGGATATTCATACTCGCCTAGTTGGTCGACGCTACTATTTGCAAAGCGCACCTCGAGGCACTGCAATTCTAGACACAAGCGAGGATTCCAATGAGCTAGACTTCAAGCCTACAACTGAATACGTCGCATGGAAGCCATTCCCGAGTCTCGCCTCTCGGGCTTCTGGCTTTGTCGTAATTGCCATGATCATTGCCGCCTTGGAGACTGTCCTGCACCTCTCTCAGGCAGGGAACGGCATAGGAGATATTGCCTTCAATGAATACGTGCACTATCTGTGGACAATTATCCCCGCGTTAATTATGGTGTTAATAAGTATGTTCTACTCAACCATGGATTTCAATACACGGTGTCTTGCACCATACGCTCGCCTGAAACAATCTACCGGTGCCATGATCAAACACTCTTTGGAACTGAGCTTCATGGACACCCTCGGACTGCATAACATTGTCCTTGCAATTCAATCGAGGCATTTTTCGGTGCTAGCAACCACATTAGCGACTGGGGCTGCCTTCTTTCTGACCATCGTCACCAGCGGTTTATACTCAGCCACTGATATCCCTCGACATATCGGCTCAAATTTTACACAGAACGGCAGCTTTCCAAACCCTAAAGCCATTGCCCCAGCTGCTTTCAACATAGACGAATATGCTGAGGTCACGGGAATTGTGACTGCTAAATACATTCTTCAAGACAACCTCACATTTCCAAGTTGGACATGGGACGGCCTCGCGCTCCCAGAAATATTACCACACGCTATATCGGGTGCAAGTTGGGCAATGGAAAGCTCCTACGTAGACCTCCGAGTGTCTGCACTGAGAGCTGCTCCTTCCTGTCGGCTCCGAACGAGCGCAGAGCTGAATCCAAACATTACCTTGGAAGATGGTTCAACCGACAAATTTAGTCTGACCGTTAATTTGCCTCGTCTGTCTTGCTCATATAACACCCCGAAAATGAATTTCACGCAGGAATTGTTCAGCGAGAAGCCACTTGAATCCCAACACTTCGGATACTCGGTACAGTACCCATGTTCTAAGGAAGATCCCATGCTTCCTTCGCCCATTCTCTGGACAAACTCGTACATCTGGGGACAGTTAAGCAACACCTCTGTAAAGAGTATCATGGCTCTCACGTGTATGCAATACGCAGAAACAGTCGACACTTCAGTACGCTTAAAGTTGCCAGGACTAGAAATTGCCAAAGACCACCCCCCAGTACCCGACGAGTCGACCGCAAAATTCGTTCCAGATGTCTACGTGCCGATATCTGAGTGGTGGGTCCTAGGTGATCGTGAATCATACCCCATGACAGACGCTTTCTTCCATTTCTTAACTGTTGGAAAGTACGGCATTCCAACCGAAGACCTTGGAGCTCCAGGGAAGAGCGAAAAGGTTATCAGAGCAATCAAGCGCCAGATACGGCTCATCACCGCTCAGCAATTCAACTCTTACTCTCGTGGCACATCGAATGAAACAGCATCTCGAGCAAACCTGGTCGGGAATATCACGATGCCAAATCGACTGCGATTAGTTCAGGATGCCACTTCAACACGGATCCTAGAAGGAATCCTTGCAGCTATGCTTGTATTGGGTATACTGGGCTCCGTAATGATGAATACGGATCATGTTCTGCCGAAGAATCCATGCAGTATCGCAGCTGTTGCGAGTCTGTTGGCAGATTCAAAGCTTATAGATCGACGTGTGTTGGAGATGACGTTGCCAAACACCAAACCCCTCCAATCCACCTTTTTTGGCAATTGTTGTGCTTATTTAGGCTGGAGGTATGGGGAAATTAGCCCTGGGTCGTTGGGTGTATGTGAGGAAATGGGAGGCCACGGCAAGTTCACGATATATCTTGACTCGGAAGACGAATCAAGCGGATGGAACATGTTCTAAAGTGTGAGGTACGTTCAAATACATAGACTGATTGACATCTCCATGGAAGTATGACATATATTATCCAACGTATGTGTCACTTATCTTTAACCTTAATGAATTGAGAATTCCTATACACACAAATGTCTATATTACTTCGGATGCAGGGCCAAAGTCTGATACTCAGTAGCGAACTAGGCTGCTGGAGATACACTGGCAACCAGCACAAACAGACTCAAATAAGGTAAAGGATATTAGGAGACAAAGGAGGAATCATCAGAAGTACTCACCGGATAGCGCCTGCGCCAATAAAACCGATGCAAGAGATTAACAATATCCCGATGATGCTCCACGTTCTGCTCTGCCAGTTTCAATGCTACCTCTATTTCACCCAAATCCAAGCCCCTCTCATCAAATACCTCCAGAAGCACCTTAACAGCACCCGCATCATTCTCTTTAACCGCAACCGACAGCACATTCACGCCCAAAAAGTCAAACAGCGGATCCGCCCCTCTGTCCAAGAGCCGTCGCATAACGTTCTCATCCTTTCCATACGCAGCCAGGAACAAAGCAGTGCGACCCTCCCAATTAGTATCATCGATACTACACCCATTCTGCAAGAGGAAATCAAGCACTCCCTCAGGATCTTTCTCGGCTCTCGCGGCCCGATTAATTAGGCACCCCGCATTATCACCTGCGTGGAGATCGAATCCCATATCCAGAAGCAGACTCGTAAACGAACTCCCGCCTCTACAGATCGCGAAATCGAGGTATCGCGTCGCGGTGCGATCGTCGGGTTCGGTCGGTGGTGTCAGTAAGCCCCGATCAAGGAGGAGGCGGAAGACCTCCTGGCCACCCAAGAGTGCGACATGGAATAGCGATATCCAGGCTGGTGCAACTTCGTTTCCTGTCGGTAGCGGGTCGACGACTAGCTCTAGACCCTCGGCATGGTCGAGGAGGATGCGGAGCGTCTCGGCATTGCCCGACCAAAGGATGTCGGTAATGAGCCTTGAGTTGTAGAAGGGGCGCTTGGTTGGGTCGGTATTGTGGGAGAGGAGAAGGGAGAATAGGGGTGGGTCGTTGACAACGATGGAGAGGCCTTTCCCCGGGAGTTCGTTTGGGTTGGCGCCGTGGGCGAGCAGGGTTTCAGTGGCTTCTTTGTGGCCTCTTTGGAGTGCGCGGATGAGAGCTGGAGGTCTGTCAGTTGGTAGTGTGATGCTTGCGCCCCGAGAGAGGAGTATGTCGATTACGGCGGGTTGGTTGAACTCTGCGGCCCAGGTGAGGGCCGTTGTCGGAGGGGTTAAATAGGCTGTGTAGGGGTAGAAGATACGGTCGTCGGTGACGCGGAGGTCGGGGTCGTAGTTGTGTTTTGTTAAAAGGTCGGTGAGGAGGGTGGTGCGGCCGGTTATTGCAGCGACGCAGAGGAGAACGGCCTGTTGGTAGGGCTCTGTGGAAGACTTGACGTAGTCAAATCGATCCAGTAGGAGGTCCAGGATGTCGTCGTATCCTCCCAGTGCTGCACGAGATAGTTGAAGGAGGGGCTTTTGGCCGTCTGGATAGGATGGGTTAGGGGTTGCCCCGTGCTCGAGTAGACATCGCACAATATTGATGTTACCGGAAAAGGATGCCCTGCAGAGCGAGGTTCCAGAGTATCTAGTGGTAATGTTAGGGTCTGCTCCACGGGAGAGCAGGAACTCCACGACATCAAGGTGGTCTGCTTGCGCCGCAAACGCAAGAGGGGTTTCGCCGTTCTGGTCTTGCGGATCGATCGGACTCCCCACGTCAGCTAATACGCGGACAATATCTAGATGGCCGTGCTCGGCTGCGAAATGGAGAGCGGTACGCTTCTCGTAGTTGTCTGTGTGGAGATCAGGACGTACGCCGTATTCAAGTAGTAGATTGACGACGGATATATGGCCGTACGATGCCGCCATAGAGAGCGGGTGTCCCTCTGGCCTGTCTTCGGGGTCTATTTGATAACCAAGAGGGTTTCTCCAGTCGTCAACGGTAGCTAATGGATTGATGCCCTTTTCATATAGCAATTCTATTATCTCAATGTGCCCGTGAAGGGCGGCCAAGGCAAAGGGCCGCCAGTGCTCGAACTCGCAGGCGTCTGGCGGGGCACCTGCTTCCAGTATGAGTCGGGTGGTTGAAGCTGACCCGTTAATGGCGGCCCATTCGAGCGTGTATCCCCCGTTTAGCCGGGTGACGCTATGTTTGTACAGAATGGGGTTCAGTAGTCCATGCAGCCACCGGGTGGTACAGCATAGGGCATTAATATCACTCCCGTATTCAAGGTAGGAGATCACGAGTAAAATTACCTCGTTGGGCAGATCGAGGAAGCTCATCTTCGTGAAGTATGACCCTGTTCTGTGTAGATGTTGGACTAGGACTCGGGGCCTGGCAAGGCTTGTACGTTGCAGAAGAAATGATCCCGCGTCTCATTCAGCTTTATCTTCTTGGGTTTTCAGCTAAGTTGAAGGTGATATGAATGTAGATGTCAAGTATGTCAATGTTGACATCGAGTCTACAACACAAGTTGACCATCCACCCGTGGATCCGCTGTCATTGGCCTTACATAAGCCCCAAGTCCCCCCCCCGGGCGCCCGAGGGCTGCCCAAGTGCTTCGAGACACACGTGACTCCACGTCCTGCGTTTATTATCGTCATATAAAAACAATTAACCAAATATTCGATCTGTTAATAAAGGCGGCAAGGCTAATCATCCCATCGCGGTTTGCACCGATAACGGCGTTGGGGTCATTATCTTAGCGTCAAGCAAGAGTCCCCGCATGATAGTTGTGGAAAGAGTCTGCGAGACATTTCTCATCGATCAAATTTCTAGTACTCGTGCAGTTATTTTATCTCGTAATAAGATAGTACCCAGCTGGCACTGTAGATCTAAAGCTATAAAGAGCAATGGCTACCCCAGTTCCGCCGATGCACAACTTGTCGAAACAATCTTCAAAATGCGCTTCACAACTTCCACACTATCTCTTCTCTTGCAGGGTGCTGTTGCTCTGAATGTTGGTCCAGAATATAGTCATCCGATAGAAGGTTAGTCACGTAAGACAATCCCTAAGTCAACATACTAAACAGACAATAGATCTCGACGTCGATCTTCCATTTTCTCAACCGGTCACATTCGCCCACTTGGAATGGCAAAGATGTCTTGCAGCATCTCATAATAAGGTATGTTACCAAAGCTGCTTCTATCTACCCAATAATTTCATCAAGACCTGACTCGTGCAAAAGCCCCTCGACATCGCCATTCTCGGCTTCCCCTACGACACCTCAACCTCATACCGCCCCGGCGCAAGATTCGGCCCTCGAGGCATCCGCGCAGGATCGGCGCGTGAAAAGAAGGGACGCAGCTATAACACCGTGTGGGAGGTTGACCCATATGATGAGGGACTTGAAATTGTGAGTGCAGTGCATCTACATCTAAGTGCAATTATTGAGGTCACTAATCCATGACCAGATCGATTGTGGAGATATCCCTATCACCCCATTCGATGCCGCACACGCTTTCAAACAAATGGAACAGGGTTACAGGCAGGTTCTCTACCACCCCACATCCGAGGGCAACTCATGGGAGCACCCGCGTATTGTAAGTCTGGGTGGAGACCACTCGATTGTCTTGCCTATCTTGCGTTCGTTGAAACACGTCTATGGACCGATCTCTGTTATTCACTTGGACTCGCACCTCGATACTTGGGATCCTTATGAGGGTTACACTGGAATTGCATCGAACCAGTCGGCTATTACGCATGGAACATTCTTCTGGCATGCGAGTCGGGAGGGATGTATTGCCAAGGGGACGAGTGTGCATGGAGGACTGAGAACCAAGCTTTTCGTAAGTGGTGTCTGGCAATCCTCTTGTCTGGAATTCGTACTAATCAAATATTACCAACAGAGTCCTAAAGATTACGAGATCGACCAGAATGTTGGATTTACGATTATTGAGGCCCACGAGATCGACGATATTGGCATGTCCGGGATCATTGATAAGGTCCGGAGCGTTGTCGGAGATACTCCGACTTATCTTTCTATCGATATCGACGGTAAGATTGGCCTTTGCCCTGTCCAAGACACATAAGAGACTAATTTTTTCACTCAGTTCTCGATCCTAGCATCGCCCCTGCAACTGGAACCCCCGAATCGGGTGGCTGGACCACTCGCGAGTTGAAGCGGTTTATTAAAGGCCTCGAGGGTGTGAATCTTGTTGGTGCCGATGTGGTAGAAGTTAGCCCTCCTTACGACACCGTTGCAGAGACTACTTCTATCGCTGCTGCGGATTTGATCGTTGATATTCTCGCATCTATGGCGAAATTGAAGACAGGTCCTAAGTCGAAGGCCCCAGCTTCAAAGGATGAGTTGTGAGCAAAGCCTGACGGATGTTCCAAACTTTGAGTTTTCAGCTATGTATGAATCATGCTATATGAGACTTTCAAATCGGCAAAACCAATTTGCCGGATTGTTTAAGAGCATCCCTCCAGTTAACTACATTCTCGTCTAAATTCATGATGCTCCAGATTTCCTGTATAACTTTCCATTGCCTCTTGAAATTGCCCATTGAGTACCCCTGCACTCGCTCCCACCATTCAACCCAAGGCCGTCGATCGGTTGCCTCACATGCAGCAATGAATGCAGGCCAGGACATGGGAGCTGCGCGCTTTTCGCCGTATGAGTATGCGTCTTTGAGATCTTCGGCAAGCGAAAGGTTCGTCCAGATGGCTCCTACTCGCTGCTGGAGATCCACCGGATTGGAGTTCTCGATTGCTTGATAATAGAAAATCACGATCGCGCTATGAAATGCTAGGGCTTGGTAACGTATTACCTCTAGCATCGTCGGGTCCTCTAACGCAATGAGATCGAAAGACTCGAAATCTATATGCCATGAAAAGATTTCGTGGTGCAATGATGAACATGCCTCTAGCAGAAGTGTTGGCATTTCAACATCCTGGTAGAAGGCTAGATATTCGGCTAGCTGACAGGTCCTTTGTAGCAGATTTCCCAGATATGGGGTAATCCCATACATGTATTGGATGTTGGTATCATCATCATAAAAGTAAGGCTCCTCAAAGAATGGACCTTCTGTTGTCAAGGGTCTAGGTTCTAGCTCATGTGCTGTCGTTCGAGCCAGGAGACTTAGAAAATGGCAAATACTGCTGATCTGCCGGCTGGAGTCATCGACCACCTCGGAGACATTTGGTCTTTGCAGCTGGCGACAACCCTTGAGATGGATTGGGAAATCTGAATCTTCGCCCGTCATGGTCTGATTTGTTAGATTCAATAACATTTTATAACATGGAGCGAAAGCCACCTACATCGATCGTGACTAAGGAGAGCATTGCCGTCAGGTACATAGTATATTGCCGGGAGTCTTTGGGTGCTACGAGTGCAAACTTGAGTGCCCGTAAAGCTTTGGCTCGATGCTGGAGACCAAGATTGTGATATTCTCTCGAGCCGCCCATGACATTCCGGAGGTGGAATGCTGCCGATGATAATATACTGTGAAATAGTGAGATTGAGACACCCGACGTGGACCCTGTATTTTGAACAAGACATAAATCATGGCATCCCTCGAGAGCGAATGGGAGATATGTTGTTCGCCAAGGGTTCCTCGGGTGGAAGACTGGCTGTAGGAGCTCGGCGACATGATTTTTGTAGTGATACATAAGCATGGACGTGTTGGAATCTTTGAATAGAGGCGCTGATAGCTCGATGTGTGGTGATGGATGCATTTTAGGCGACTTTTTTCTCGAGTATGATAACCTTGGCGAATTTGGTACATGGGCTAACAATGACCCCCAGTTTGGGGAGAAATCTATTTCATGTATATCTGTATCTGGAATGACAGTATCATCCGGAATTGTTTTAAACAGTTCACTGGACAGCTCGGGGTCCAACTCACTAGGAATGATCTCAGAGCTCCAGTCCTGGGTCTGATGACTATTTCCTAATGAAGCGTGGGGTTCTGCAAATTCATTGTCGCCATGTTCCCATTTGGAGAATATTGCAAAGGGCCCTATAGTGACGGTACGCGATGGTGTTGAAATTGAGTCGAGGGAGGATATGATTCGGTTGATCTCGTCCTCCGAGATGCTTGGAGTGGTGGATTGTTCTGATTAAGAATGTCATCAGCCAATGTGTCATTCCTTTGAAAGAGAGCCTAGACTCACCTAGTCGGATCTGTCTGCGTCGCAAACCATGAAGATCCCGCTTCTTATCTGTCATCCAGCACAGATTCACACCGTAGCCGGCGCATTCCAGGCCGGATTTCTGGCAGACTCCACATCCATTTTGTTGACGCTCATCGCATTTGACCTTCCGAGACCTACAGGTCCAGCACCTATTTTTGTCAGCTTCAACGGTATATAAATGATTAGATATACTTTGATATTACCCTGTAAATGTCACCGACTTCTGCTTTGCCTGGCGAAGACGCTTGGTTTGTTTTTTAGGAGGTTTCACGGGCCCACGCATGATATCGTTGATATGGAGCTGGTTCTCAATCTGAGCAATGTTGGTCAGTCGCCGTTGGTGGTCGTGAGGGGGAGTATCAAGCAGACCAGCGTTATGACACAGCATGCATTTGGAGTAACGCCAAGGCAAGTGGTCAAGAGCTCTATGTCAAGCTTAACAGTGACAATAGTGGAGCTAGCCTCAGATACGTGGGCCAGTTGGAAGAAATAGATACAAGTGATAGCCGGGGGAATTTGCCCATCCCGTTGAGATGTCAATGTTCTCCCCTCCAATGCGGGGTTCTATAGGGTTTGATTCTATGACAGCCCAATAGTTCTTATCTATGGCTTATCGATATGCCCTATCTTATCTCGATAAGTGGGTCTGGCTTGGCATTTGAAAGGGGAAGGAGCCAGCGAAAGGGTAAACAGGACCCTACTATTAGTTTGTTAATATTGCTTCAAGATATTATTCACAGTAAGACCAGTGGCAAAAAAACCAGTGAATGTTCCAATCTATCTCACTACAAGTGCAAGTCCACCTGTGGTCCCGTATAGTTCCCTCTTTCGTGTACCCACCACAGCGCCACTAGCAACGTCAATCCACATGTGATCACACTAGTATAGTTCATTTCTTCCGGAGACGTAGGGCATAAGGGAAGCAGTAAATCACAAACGAGGCGGCGATGTACATGCATGCCACAGTATTGACAATAGAGCCAACTTTCCCCATCCAAAATGGACCAGGGCGGATGTTCTTGCGACCTGTTATCAAATGTGGGAATATAGCGAGGAAGTAAGAAAGCGTTGTGAGTAGCACAAACGAGCCAATAAAAGCCTCGAACGCAGTATACGATCCCACATAAATTGCCCCAATACATGTCAGAAACATGCCGCATGCCAAAGTTGCATACAGTGGGCTATGCCATTTCGGACTGATGGCCCCAATGTGTTTCGAAAACGGTGTTGCGTCGTCACGACCTAGGACATAGAACGTCCTTCCTGCGGTAATATAACATCTAATCGTTGCACAGAAAATGGGTGCGATCGTGAGCGTAAGAAGTCCAACGGCACCTGCTCGGGGGCCGGTTGCTTGTAAATAGATATCACCCAGAGGGGAAATCGAAATGGCGTTCACAATAAGAGGTATATCAGTGACAGCATAGAACATAGAGATCAAATAGCAAAAGCCGGTTGCGAAGCCAATGGTCACTTGGCAGGCAAGTGCCTTTGGGATATTCCGTCTTGCACTAGTTGTAGTATCAGCAAATAAACGGTCTGTGAGGGAACGACATGAAGTACTCAGGAATCTCTTCTGCAATATGCGTGACTCAGTCAATGGCACCGATTGCAAATGCTCCGTTCAGCATGCCTTCAAGGAATGTGAATTCATCCGAGTAACCAGTGACATTACTCCAGTCTTTCCAAACAAACTCATTTGATGCATATCCAGTCCCATTCCTGCTTGGAATAATAGCGCAGACCAAGACTGTAATACCAAAACCAGCAACAATCAAAAACGATCCGATTCTGCTGATGAGCGGGAGAGCCCGTTGGCAGAACATCACCGTAAGACAGCACAGCCAGGAGATAATCAGATAGCAAACAAAAACATGCCAGCGCTGTGGTCTGACATCTCGGTGATAGAGTGTGTAGGAATAGAAAATCATGCTTCCAGTCATAGAACAGTTCCCTGCTACGGCGAATGTGCACGCAAGGCCATTCAGCCAGCCTGCGAACCAGCCGCACAATCTTCCATAACGAGAGCCAGCGGTGATAGTAGCCCAGTGGTAGACTCCACCAGATGCTAGAATAGCAGAGGCAAGCTCGGCAAGTGATGCGGCAATGAAGCAGTAGAAAAAGGAGACAGTGGCGCTATCGTAGATGTTAGCCTCAAGCTTTGACGAAATTCCGTAAACTAGTGGGCCTAAGCATTTTCGGTGGTGGCTCCAGTCGCATAATCACTCAAAAGGTTAAAGCTCTTTACCAGTACAGGCGTGACACCAGTCCCAATGTCATCTTTAGCTGAATCGTGGATGGAAGACTCGATATCACCAACATCTTCTTTAATTTCGAACTGTGCTATGGCAGTAGATATGAATTACTATGTAATCAAAATGTATACGATTCATATTTCGACAGAAATAGCTTTAGATATATATGCTCTTTATTTATCTTTACACTTCCATCGCTCTAATATAACGGCCGATTTATCCTTTCAAGATATAAGATATATAAGAACAGGTCCCTGGCTCTTACTAAACAAACCTAAGACGCGATTAAACTCAACGATAGTATTAGCTTAGAGATACTTTTATCTTTTCGTCGTTTTTTAGGTTTACTATACTATAAATCAAAGTAACCTACAAGCCGATATATATTCGCTTACTCTTGCCATATAAGTTCATTCTAATAAGACATAAGGAGAAATCCATAGGTACCGTGGTGGGATTTCGCAGTCCTACAATATTCCGGTGGCAACAAGCTATCAAGACGAACATACTATTCAGATAGCAACCCCGCTCTATTAAGTCATAAAACAGAGCCTCGGAACAGCATCGACTGCTCGCTGGCTGTTACCGCATCTGCACATGCTTTTAGGCCCTGCAAATTTCCCCGCAAGAAGTTTTAACCCCAGTTCATATACTTAAGGCCATTCACAAATATAAAGCAACATGCATCTTACGCTTCTCTGGAAGAATCTGAGACTTGCGATATTCAAATTCCAACATGACTTCCTGTCTCAGCACCCAGTCTGTCATCATCACAGGTGCCCCTGCACCATTGGCAGAGGCGTTTCGGGCTTGTTCCTCGGGTGAGATTGGTTACTTAATGGAGAAAGTATATACCCTAACATCTACAAAGGTTCTAAGAACAAGACTATCGCAGTCAACCTGGATCATCTGATATCTAGCAACTTGGCTGAAGCACAGGCTCAGATTACTGCTTTCAACGCTTTCGACCAAACCGATGTATTTATTATCGACACCAGAACTCAGGAGCCCTCAGGGCAAGACGCCATTTGGGAGATTCCATTGAGTGAATGGGATCAGGGACACACGTCCATGAGCTGCCAGAGGAAAATGTTGCTACAGGTAAAATTATTCCTTCAGCATCGATTCCAGGCCAACAAGGCAAGGTCTCTTGAGAATCAACCAGGGCACGGTTTCTCTATTGTCGTCCTCGGTTATCAAGATCTCTTTGATGTCTCACTCGAGCACGTTATTTCAAAGCTCCAAAGAGACGTCTCACGACTTCACCCAGATGCTTCCGTCAACTTCCTTGATCTCAGCACCTCACACGAGGCCTCTACCCAGTCAGTCGTCGCAGCAACAGGGATACTAGTCTCAGCGAAGCCCGCCCGTGGAATCATTTCTCTCGCCGACATCGCTAGTGTAAAAAGCAAGGAGAACAACGAAAGCCATAATCCCATTAACCAGAATACCCAACTCTGCCGAAGCCTCCCTCTCCATGAGAAGCATCCAAAGGTCAAAATTGCTTTGTCCTTTGACTTTGACGCAATCTCCGCCTTCCTGGGAACGGGACATCATCCAGACAACAACATGGCAGACTACAGCACCGGCATATTTGCCGGTCGAGTCGGTGCGAATCGGATCCTACGCATGTTACAAAAGCACCAAGTAGCCGACAAAGTGACTTGGTTCATTCCAGGCCACACAATGGAAACCTTCGAACCAACCGTCAAAGAGATTATCCGGTCCGGCGCCGAGATCGGACTTCATGGCTATTCGCACGAAGGCGCCTACCAAATGACACCCGCTCAAGAGCGCGACGTGCTAGTGAAGTGCATGGAAGTATCGCAGCGACTAACGGGCAAAAGAGTGCGAGGTTACCGCGCTCCCATGTACCAACTCCGCGAGACAACAATCGAGCTTCTGAGAGAATTTGAATTTCTATACGACTCTTCTTTGAGCCACCATGACTCACAGCCATATTTTACACCTAGCGATCCGCCGATTGAAAAGGTGGATTTCTCCCAGCCGGCTAGTGCTTGGTTGCGCCCCACGCCGCTGGCTGCGGCGAATGCCCGCCCTGTCAGCCACCCACTGGTAGAAATCCCCACTGGATGGAATAATGAAGATATGATGGCACTACAGTACTTCCCACATCTCGATAATAGCCATGGACATGTTGATGCGCGAGTTGTTGAGCAGAGATGGAAGGATATGTTTTTGTGGTTGTGGGAGAATGCCCATGTTGACGGAGGGGATGGTAGTTTTGTTTTCCCTATCTTGATGCATCCCGATACTAGTGGAATGTCCCATGTGATAGGGATGGTTGATCGTTTCGTGGGGTGGCTTCGGGGGTGGGGGGATGCGGTTCAGTTTTGCACTTTTGAGAGTATCACACAGGAGTGGTTAGAAGAGCAACTGAAGGCTTAGATAGATTGAGTTATGGATAATATATTTCGGATCTAAGCAAATACTTTACTTTATTTAAGAGAAGCCATATTACATCCTCGCCCATATAGCGACTCCACTGCCCTTTCGTTATACTCTTGCGAACTTGACCAACTTGGATAGAATCAAAAGTGTAGGATAAGAGTATATTGGAGAAATAATCCGATTGGTTGATAAGCACCTGACTCGCTAGCTGTTGCCTCATTCAAGATAAGCATAAACATGCCACTCCTGAGCAGTTTATATAAACCCGTGCTAACCCGACAAAGATGTATAGCGAAATCATAACGGAAAAACTCCAACTTGAGTATCCAGACGTATCCTACATAATGCATCTTGCTATTCCTCCCCCGCCTATTCGCAATCCCGAAAAGGGGTTCAAAACATCCCCAAAAAAGACACGAACTGGCTCAGTCTCAACAAATGAGACCGCATCTTTAAAAACATTTCCCGAGGACTCGTTAAAAAGGTCATTTCGGAGGTCCATTATGAATGGTAAGTCATGTATGTGTCATTTCCCTACCCGCGCTTACAATATTAAAGCCTTTGCCTCTCGCACCAGAACGTGAAGACAGCGCGAACGCGGTCATTGATTCATTTGCTTTTTTTGTTATATACCTGGGCTGCTACTGGAAGTACTCCCATCTCGATCTAGCAGCGTTTTCATTGGTGCCTGTTGCTATCATGTTCATATTTAAACTACGATCTTCCCTATCCCAAACAAGATCTATGTTCTAGCATTAGTGCGAATGATTCCATTTTCAGAAATGAACTCACCTTCTCAATATATCGCACGCCTACGAGGACACTCTTTCGCCCCTACAAGACATCCGCGATGCGCTTCTCTGCCAGGACAAATACATCGAAGCTGACGCAGAAGACCGGCAGGTTTATAGGGCACGCCGAAGGGCTTTGGGAGAACGCCATCAGGATACTCGCTTGATCGTTATAAGATTAACAAAGCTCCTGAATACCAAAAGAGGTATGCTGAATATCAACAAACAATTCGATAATTTTGCGCTGTTTTGCCTGTATATTCGTTAGGCCGTTTTATCGCGATTGAGTTGAGAGATACATAGGCTGAGCGATATTGAATCGTGAAGTTATGATCCTTTGAATTGTTCGTAATGATACACTGAATCTCAACTGCACCCGACTCACACAATGTTTCAATACCGGCCAGCGCGATTAATTAACTCGACTTGAGAAATCGCTATTCGTCCATGAAAAATGAGCGCGTGACGCTTCGTCAGGTTCAATCACCCGTCTACCGCGCATGTCACCGGTCCCAGCAATAGTTGTCTGGATCCCAGTCATACAGTTCATACACCTCGTGCTCGCAATAGGGTTATACTGCCGCATAACTTTGAACACTTTTGAGACTCGGCGTTCGTTTTGCAACTTCAATCCCATCTTCAGCTATTACAAGGTACAAGAACTTTCGCCCGTTACAATACTCGCGATCCGTTCCGGACATTCGCTGGGAATCTTAGAGACTGAGGTTGATGATGATACTCTCAGTTCATGATGGCATGGCACTGTCACTCCTCGAAAATTGAAGAACCTCTGGGCAGATCGTATACATGCGTAAGCATAGGGATTTCAGCGAAGGGATTTGGAGCGCCAGCCGAGGATAGATATGTACAGAGGTGGTCATTTTAGATCCCCAGGTATCAATGACAAGATGTGAGATCTTGGGGGCACCCAGGACATTGAGAAATGGAGTTGGGTGCCATGTTGAGGTATAATGCGGTCGAGTAGAAAGGATAGATGGTTATGGGAGAGAGAAGTCCAATAGACCAAACAGTACGCCCTTTAGGGACAAATCGAAAATCCTCTCTAAGTCAACCCCTCAATTCGTATGAACAGGGGGTATCATCTCATTCTGTCACCTCAATTTCCCTCAAATTTCTGAGCCTCCTTTTTGCCCCATTTACAAAGTGCAGCCCAAATTGAAACATTCTTAAAATGGACTCTATCGATGAACACTGGAATCTCATGTCTACGGCCACAGCGTCACAATGCCTTCGGCCATCCCTACATCCTAATGGAAGCACTCCGAGGAACCGTCCTAAACAACCGAATGGCCCTCTCAATACCCGACACAAAAGGAAATTCGCCGCCCAATTTGCCGGCCATATGCAGGAACTAAGCACCCTCCAATTCCAAAATCAGCTCTCTCATACACCTTATTCTACATGTCCAGCACCTGGATTAACCCCCTATCACCTTCACTAGGATACTTTTACCTCTTAGGCAAATCCCAAACAAAAGGAATCCACCACGACCACCCCAACCAAACAGACTGACAAGCCGCAGCCTGGTTCCTCGAAAAATCACTAACATCAATGATAATCGTTATAGAAATAAGTAATATCGAAAACAACTGGTATTGATAGCTGTTGAAGCTGGCAGAAGCCGAATGCATACTATTGACATCAAATGCCAATAAATCACAATTCCCAGACGAAAATGCAACGATACATGACATTTCAATTCTCAAAGAAGAGTAGGAGGATTGATATCCGGTGAGAGGGTAGTTTGTTTCACCCGCTCAAGAGTCGGGACCGTGACAGCGCCCTTGGCAGAGTCAGCCGCCTGATCACTAACAGCCGAAGGATTAGGCGACGGGCCGGGTGTGCGCTCGCCCTTGTTCTGGCGCTGGATGAGGCCATTTGTGATGCCGAGCACGGAGTCGACGATAACGGCGTCGATGCCTTCCGCCACTTGGTACTATTACGGATAACATGGTGAGATGGTTGTTTGGAGTTTGCGTGGAGATGGAAAGTGAATGAAGAGGAATGGAAAGAGACTTACGTCGACGTTGTTGCCATCGTTGTTGAGTGTTCCGTAGGAGACACAAACAAGACCGGACTCCTTGACGATACGGACCAGCCGCGGGCAGAGGACTAGTGGTTCGGCCTGGGTGACGATTCCGAGGAGGTTCCACCGCGAGGCGAACCGAATAGCCTCCTGCAAGCTACTGGCGCGGATGTCACCGACTGGGGAGGCGCCTGCGTCGCTCAGGAAGAGGACGGGGATGGAAGGTTGCTTGAAAGACAGCAGTAGACAGATATCCGGGTTGAAGCTGGAGAATAGAATGTCGCGGCCGCCTCCCATATCGTAGACCTTGGTCAAGATGGTGTCGACGAAGGAGTTTAGTTCAATTGCGTAGGTGTCCATTTCTTCCTCCTCGCTCTCGTGGAGCATGGGATATTCTAGCGATCTTGGTTAGATCGACGGAATAGCTGTTCTTAGGGATGCGGTAGTAACTCACTCAGTTCGATATTAAATCCTACAGGTTTCGGGATCTTTGTGAACAACTCTTCCAATGTGGCGAATGGTGCCTGGATGTGTTCGCCGCGGGTGTTACCCTTGAATCCCTTCTTTTTGAAGTCGCGTGTGTGCTTGATCTTCTCGGTCAATTCGGCGGGGTTGTACTCGGAGCCACCAACAGACATTGAGCGCTGGCGTGGACCATACTCAGATCCCTCGCCGACTTTCACGGATCCGGGTAGGGCATGACGGTAACGTCCGATGCCCAACTCGAGGAATTGATCGAGGGTCATGGTATGAACAGGCGCATCGATACCCGTCTCGCTGACTAGGAAGTCGTGGTAGATGACAGGCACGTGGTCTTTTGTGAGCTGCACATCGAACTCAACATATGAGGCACCTAGGTTGGCCGCGGCGATGAAGGACTCTACAGTATTCTCACCCAACTGCAATGAATTGCGGCTGGCCATGTTCTTACCCAGCCCACGGTGTCCAATGACCATGGTTGAGGTCATCGAGCGCCAGTAGGTCTGGTTGCCAGTAATGGACATTTTCGGGTGCTTGAAGGGGGTGATGACAAGGAAGTTGAAAGTCACAGACCCAATCACCTCAAGGGTATTCGCGGCAACAATGGGAACAGTGGAATCACCCTTGAGATTGATTCGGTGCGACCCCACGGTGGGCTTGATGCTAGAAAGCAGAGCGACACCCCGGCCAACGATCTTCTCCTTTGATCCTGCGTAGGTGGGGACAAGGTCGAAAAGTAGACGCACCTTGCTTGGATCAGTGGTGTGGAAGACGATTGGCTCGGTTGAGATATTGTCCTGCACAGGCAAGTCAATCACCTCCGGCTCACCGTGAGCACCGCTAGCTGTGACCACCATCGACAAAGACGTGTCCAGCTGGGTGGCGTGCGCATTCTCCATCGGGATGCGGTCGAGGCTGACTGTCTCAAGCGGCTTGCGCATATCCATAGTTCCCAGACTAACCAAGATCATGCTCTCATCGGTCAGATACCTGTGTCCAAACGTCTTAATAGGTTCACTAGTCCGTACGCCAGGAGTCCCAGAAGTTGGGCCTGGCGCATTCGACCGGCGATCAGTGAGGGACGACTGAGTCGGAGGCGAGGAGGACTCGGAACCTGGGAGGGTTGGAGTGGACGACGAAAAATCGAGCTCAGTGGTAGGAGGCCCGGGGCTAACTTCGGCCAAGCAGCGGGCAATGTCGAGATGGCCTCGCAGGGCCGCGTGCTCCTTGGCCGTCCAGCCAGAGGAATCGAAACGCTCCACGTCCGCGCCCGCGGAAATTAGCATTTTAGCCACACTCAGACACCCGTCCACACAGGCAATGAAGAGCGGCGTCCAGCCATATGTGGTTTCGGCTAATTCTATGTCTGCCTTCTGGTCGACGCTGCCATCGAGTAGAATTTGTGCACACTCAGCATGGCAAAATCGGGCGGCAACGTGCAATGCAGTCTCTCCCTGCTCATCCTGATAATTGATATCCACGCCAGCCTCCACCAAAAGCTGGACAATATCAACAAAGTTGGCCTTGGTCGCTAGTGCCAGTACTGCACTAGACTTGGAGACCTGTTTTCTGATGATGCTCCGTTTCCGCGAGGGATACTGGTTTTCGGAATCCAAGAGACATCGGGTGGTTTGTGGGTGGCCGCCTACAACACTCAAATGGAGTGGGGCCCAACCGTCATTGTCCTGCCAGAGAGGACCGTCGATGCCATTACTGACATCGAACATGTCCCATTCCCTGAGGTGCTCAATTATGACTTCACACACTACCTTGAAACCGTATTGTGCTGCATAGTGCAATGGAGTGCGTCCTGAAAGGTCTTTGGCCATCAACGACTCACGCTGATCAGGGCGCAGTGCGTCCAATAGGAATTGAAGGTGAGTAACAGCCGGATCATCGCGGCCCAGCTGCTGGGGCATGTGCTCCTCCTTGACTATTGCACGCGGTGGTTGGAGGGTCGGAGGCGCTGCGGGCGTAATATAGCGGGTGGTCTCCGGAGGGAAGTTAAGCACCATCGACGCCGCCGGCTCGGAGTCACTTGTGGGCTGTTCACGGCCCATGGAGATGACGAGACGGTGAAGACAGTTGCGTCTGTTGATATCATCATCTTCCTCTAGAGTGTCCACTCGGTTCAAGAGAAGGGTCAGGACAGCGCGCGAACGGTGAAGGATAGAGCGTTGAATCAAGGTTCTGAGAACCCTAGGATAAACCGTGTCCCCAGCTTCATCGGCAGAGGCCTTCAAGGTCTCGAGTAACTCGAGCAAGACATGAGTATCATCCTTGCGCAGTGCGTCATCGACGGCAGTGAGGACGCTAGTAGGCAAGTTAAGATAAGGTCTAGCTGAGCCTCGCTTCAATGAAAGGGAAGAATGGGTGGAGCTCGCGTCATCGGGCACCTTATCTTCAACCTTGGACTGGTCGGCAATGATCGCCATCCAAGCATTGATGCGCTCCTGCGATTGGAACACCCGTTCGTTGGAGGCGAAAGGAGTGGGATCGACCTTGGTCTCTAGATAACGCTTTTGGGCCTGCGCACCGACCTTCTTGTCCAGCTTCTTGGTGATTTTGACGAATCCACGTCGATTGACTTCACCATACCATTGTAAGCGGCGCAAGTGGTACCGCAGATCCAACAGGGCCTCGCGCAGGTCATGCCGATCCTCGGGCTCCAGAGGATGGCGACCCTCCATGGAATAACCGTAGCGATCCTCGAGTAGCTTCAAACGGCGGGCGAACTCGGCATATTTCTTGTTGTAGAAATAGTCGACATCTTCAACATTTCGGTCGAGGCTATAGAAAAAACCTATAAGCACCATAGCCTGGTTAGAAAAGTGCCCCAAGTCAAAATCGTAAATTCGAGGCTTTATACTTACCAGCCAGATCTGGATCTTGTCCCGCTTTGATCTGCTCCGCAGCAGACTTGATAAGCTTCTTCAGGGCCTTGTACTTGATGTAGGAGGTGCTCCACTCGGGAACGGTGAATTGGGACAAATTGCGGCCGAACTTCATATTGGCGAGACCAACACTTCCACTAGAATTCAGTTCACGATTCCTCCACACTTTATCTGCACGTTTTCAATGTCGGGGGTGGGGTTCCAGTCGGAGGAAATTCGGATTTCAACCTGAGTGTCACGAGGAAGCGATCAGGTGAGCGGGCGAACGCAGGCAGAGGAAATGAACCACGCCATTGGAATGTGTAGGGGGGATAGGGGAGGTAGAAGGTAGAACAAAGAGACAAAGCTAGATGCACTCGACCTTTGGGGAATGTCGGGGATATGGTCGGGGATATGGAAGGGATACTTTGCACACCTAGAGAGAGAGGATGAGGATAGGTTGGGAGAACAAAAGAGCGTTGGGCTAAGAGGTTGTAGGAGAGAAGCCCGTCTAAGCTGAAGGCGAACGGGTTAGAGGTGTGCGTACTAGACTGAAGGTGATTTGTCGACCCACGGGGGTGTTAGCTCCACGGTACCGGTCTTTATACGTTTACGAAGTACTATGTAGTAATACTATATCAGACTATAGCACAATTTCAGTACTATATCAGTACTATCGTATATTTTACAATTGCGGTGTAGAATTCCCAAAGCTCTAAATTCTTAGGACTTTTTGTCCCACGTCATACAAATGGGGCCTGAGGGGAATTGGACTTGGCCCCCACATACGAGACCGGCTAGTTCTATATTTGCAGATTTGCAGTATCTCTGCTCTGTGACTTTCAAAGGGGTCAAATACCAAAGTGCCCAGGAATGTAAAGTTCTTAAAAGCTTGAATGGGGGAGACTGGAGAGCTCGTGACCCTTGAACTATAGAAAAGGCTTGGAATATTGATCAGGCGTTCAAGGGGGTTAAGCCACTCATAATTCTAAAAGTCATTGCACTCTGGAAATTCCATCCCGCCTTAGGCGTAAGAAAAAAGCAACCATTAAAATCCGTCGCTCATCAGGTCATCTCGGAAACATTAAAAAAAAAATCAAAAACTCCATTGGATCAGTCCATCCGACAGCCACATGCAAAATGGAAAATGTAAAAAAAGAAAGCGGTGGAAAAGGAAAGCGGTCACGTCTGCTACTGAACCAGCGGCTTCAATGCCTCTACCCCAGCCTGTAGCACCGCTTGGTTCTTGGTCTTCTTGAGACACGCAGTGAGAATATCAATTCCTCCTGCGGCGCGAATGGCGGCTTTGGCGCGGGTGCCGATATCACCTGTCGCGATGCAAGTAAAGTTGCGAACACAGACCACACCTCGGTGAACCAATGCATCGTCATCTTCCTGGCACAATCCCAAGAGCAGTTCAACGCCCCGGGGTCGGTCCAGGACAGCGGCTATGGCGGCATCGAACTCCGTCAGCATCGCAAGAGCTCCGCCCGCAGCCCGTCGCGTCGGAGCATCATCGGTATCGGTCAGAGCTAGCAAAATGTGAAGGCGCTGAGCCGCTTGCTTGGAGCCATCCGCGAACTTGATAACACCGGACTCGCAGGTCATCAGATTACAGACCAGTTCGCAGGCAGCTCGTTGAACTCGAGCATTGTTGGACAACAGGAGATCTTCCACTGCAGACCAGCCTTCTCGGACCATGAGTTCGGGTGCGGAATCGTCATGCGGGTAGGAAGCGAGGTTCGTCAGAGCTAGGAGACTTTCAAACACTGGGAGTAGGTCGCGAGGTTGGTCGGCGGAGAACGAGGCAGTTTCGGGCGATGAAAGGAGGGAGAGAAGGGGCCGGACGGCGGATGTAACTTGGGGAAATCCAGACGATGGGAAAACATGTGAAGGGTCAACGGAAATAAGGATGCGAGCCAGCGCATGGGATGCGATGCGTGTCGTTTCGTTCGTCACAGGCCCAGAGCTACTCTGCTTCGGGGCTGCAAGGGCAAGTAACAGCTTCACCGCGCCTTGCTGGGCCAGTGTTCCACGAGACTTTTGAGCCCTGCTCAAGTTTTGTAGAATCTTTGCCGTGAGCTCATTGGTAGAAGGCAACGAGATTCGGCCGCACTCAACAAGTAGAGTCATGATGCCTGCATCGATAACGGCGCCACATCGTCTCAGGACAGCTTCTTCTTCATCCCGAATATCGATTTCTGGTGCTGCTTTCACCTTTCCGGTAGACGGGTCCGCGTAGTCCTTCAGCTGTGCCATCTTCTTCTGCTCTTCGGATAGGTTGGGTAAGAATTTGGTGAGGTTTAAAAACGCCATCAAGCCGCCATAGAGGACGGATGAATCGCCGGTGTTTTGTTTCATTGCCGCAATGAAGTTTCGTAGGAAAACCGGGTCATTGGCAAGTTGATCCTTGACGGACGGCTTCACCGAAGTATAAGCCAATCCTTCGATTGCGTGGGAGTTGTGTTCAACCTTTTGTTCAGACATCAGTCCCATGAATCGATGAACCAGTTCAGACTCGCTGTCTTGTTCCAAGACCTTACCGTTGCCAGCCGAGGGTTTCTCAGGCTCGGATGCTCGGATCTTTGCCAGAGTCACTGCAGCTAATTCCGAGCATTCATCACTTCCATTGGTCAAGACATGTGACAACCATTCCCCGAATTTCTTTGAAACAGCCTCGCGGCACGGACGGCTAATGCAAGCTGCATTAAGAAGTTCTAGAACGGGAACTTCCACCTTCTTGCTCTTGGCATCTCGCGATGCCATGGGGAGGAGGAAGCTCATGAACTCATCCGACAAGAAGAGATTGGCAGTTGCAGAAGGAGACACAGGGAAGACGGCGGCCACCGCAGAGAACGCAACGATGAGATCGCTGACACGGCCTTTGTCAAGAATATTCATAATCAACGCCAAGAACTTCTTCTCGCCCGTCTCCTTGGAGACCTCGAGGTATTTCGCAGTAGCCAATGTGGCCTGGCTCCGAACTTCGAGCGGCAATCGATTGTCCAAGGATGAGAGAATCACCTCAAACCCTTCATCGTCGATCAGATGTTCGAGTTCAACGGCGTGGACAGCGAGTAGTCGAGTAATTCCCTTCAAAGAGCGGCCATCGAGATCATGGCCTGATTCCATCAACTTGGCAATGAACAGCTGGAAGAGTTCACCCTCGCAGTGGGATCGTGTTTCCTCCGATGTCCACACGGTGGGGTCCAACACCACCGTGTCCAGACACACCGCTGCCCCATCACCCCGGTCATAGATCTCGTCGAAGAATGTTGTGACAGAATTCTGCAGCTCTGTAGAGAAGTACTGCCGAACACTGATGTTCTGTCGCACCAACCCAGATATGATCTCATCCTGTGTCGTCGATAAAGAGTGGGGTCGTTGTGCGAGCAACAATTTGAGGCATTCCAAAGCAACAGTTTCTGGGCATTTCAGGCCATCGGTCCGGAGATAAATAGCAGCGTTTTTGCCTGCATTTTCATCTTTCTGTGTGGCGTATCGGCGGCAGAGATCGAGAAGCTGATGACCGTCTTTGTCTTCATGCTGAACTTTCAGAAATGCGGCTTTCACTTGAGGGTTTTCGGGGGCGATCGAAAGGGCTTCTCTAAGATTTCGAGAAGCAGCCTATGGAGTGAGTTTCATATCAGTATTCCGCTAGCTTTCTCTATTACAAGAAATGACATACCTCTCGGTGACCCGCGTCGACCAGTTCGACAGCCTCTCGGGCCAAGTTTACAGCGCGCTCTTCGCCCGTTGCTTGAACCATTGCAGGGTTGCGCGAGAGACCGGAAATGATGACTCCGGTTGTGGTTTGGAAGGTAAAGCAGAGAGAAGCTAAGGGGGTTTTTTTTTCCTCGAGGGGAGCGGAGAGATAAGGTGGGAACAGACAGCCGCTTTTTTATGGGGAAGGAAAAAGGAGGTGAAAGGAAAACGTATAATATATATTTTCTAATATTTCGGTTTGCCGCGTTGGCCCGTATGAATTCAAGAAATGACACCTTATACTTTTCCCCGGACATGTATGTAATAATAGACCGAGGGGGATCTTATTCCATTTCCTTCACGAATCATCATTATCAATTGGCCCGATAAGACACCAACCACAACGCCGAACGTCGTCACGTTGCGGATAAGAATCTACTCAGCTTAGTCCTTTACAGGGTTGCCTTGGTGTTACAATATTTCACATGTTCCAAGGCTTCCGGCGTTGAAATCCTATTAAATCCGGATTCCTATAGCAGTATAGATACGGTGTAGAAAGGCAACCATCCGTCTTGGTACTAGAGAATACAGTTATGCAATAGTTTCATCTTGGCGCGTTCAAGGGATATGCCAAGAGAGACACCTTGTCCAGTCTTCCAAATCGACCGAAAGCAGAACATCTCTCAACAAAAGATGCTCATAAATTCGAGGTACTTTCAGTCACCCATGGCTTCACAGTGTGGAGGTCAATCCGATTGGAGTGTTAGCTCCGGTCGAAGCTCCGAATTGCTTGTGAGTCAGTCAAACATCTCGAAGAGTCAAATCAGTGTTAGGATGTAAAAAAAGAGGACGAAATTCAAGTCTTGACGTAGGTGAAAGTTCTATATTGGAACGTGACATGGGAAACAGCTATAGCAGTTGTTATCACCCCGTGACTGGCTTATCGCTTGTCCCTCAATTAACGTGCCGAATACTGGTAGAGCTTGGACTTCAATTTTAATTCTGGCTGTATATACAGCAATCTCAGGATACCAGTCTAACCGGTCTGGCCCCAGTCCCAGAGAGTCCTAGCTCACAATAATGAACACCAGCCTCGACTAAACTCCCCGTCTCAACACAATGAATTCTGTGGATGCTTCGGAGCATTATGAGCTAGGAGCTACCGGTTCGTAATTGTCTAGTCTCTACAAGAGGATGAACTACTAGCTAACTAGATCACCATTCAGATCTCTCCCCCATCCCTCCTCACCATCGTCATCGACACAAATCCACACGCCTGGGCCCTCCTCGAAGGCTCCCTCCCTCTCTCCAAAGCAATCGCCAACATCCTAGTCTTCATCAACGCCCACCTAGCCTGCAACTACGCCAACGAAGTCGCCGTCGTCGCATCACATACCCAAAAAGCAGCATGGCTCTACCCATCCCACAACGCCCCCCGAAACCGCTCCGATAATGATGGCGACGTCGTAATGAACGGCGCAACCGCCACCACAACTCCTGAAACAAACAAATACCGCCCCTTCCGCCTCGTCGAAGAACAAGTCACCCGCAACCTCAAAGAACTAATGGACTCTACCACCGCCGACGATCTACGCGGCAACATGTCCACAATGCTAGCGGGCGCACTAACCCTGGCCCTGAGCCACACGAACCGACGCACACTCGCCTGGGCAGAGGAGCACGGCGGCGCCAACGCCGAAGACACAGCGGCCGATGGCAGCGGGAATGGGAGCACAGCGACGAATCGGTACTCGGCCTCGAACGAGGACGAACGGCTGCAGAGTCGTATCTTGGTCGTTTCCGTGAGCGGGTCTACAGACGCTGCACACCAGTATATCCCTGTCATGAACAGCATATTTGCCTGTCAGCGCTTGAGCATTCCCATCGATGTGTGCAAGCTCAGTGGCGATGCGGTCTTCTTGCAGCAGGCGTCTGATGCTACCAAGGGTGTTTATATGGCTCTCGCCGAGCCACGCGGTCTGCTGCAATATCTGATGATGGCATTTTTGCCGGATCAGCGCTCGCGCCGACATTTGGTTCTTCCAACGCGGGTGGATGTTGATTTCAGGGCTGCTTGCTTTTGTCATCGGCGGGTGGTTGATGTTGGCTTTGTGTGCTCCATTTGTCTCAGTATCTTTTGCGAGCCACCGCCTGGTAGTGACTGCATGACTTGTGGCACGCATCTGGATAGTGGGGATAATGCCAAGCCTGCTTTGTTGCCAAGGAGGAAGAAGAAGAAGAAGCGTGTCAATGGGGCGTCCGGGACGGGGACACCTATGTCGACGTCGACGCCTACGCCGGGTCCTTGATATCTCTTCCACAAAGGTCATATCGTAGGGGAAAAATAACCATTGGTGGGACCTGACTCTATTAATTTCGAGCTAGCATTACTCCCGGAACACACATGAGCTTGTTTCTATGAGCAACACTACAAGTAGCTGGTTTACAAGGAAATAATTTGGGACAGCTCTCATATTACTACTGTGAAACGAATAGGTACACACAGGGACGGAGGCCGGGACTTGTTGAAACATACTCTGATCACATTGTTGGTGCCCGGTCTCAAAGGAGACTGTTCAGGGGGGGGGGGGGGGGGGGGGATGAAAGAGCCACTGAAACAATCGCTTGTGTTGTCAGTATGTCACCATGTGAGTGGAACATTGGTGTCATAAGGCCAGAAAACATAACAGGGATTTGGGTACACCAACGCGGCGAACGCGAAGGGGATGGGACGAACTGAAGCAGACCCAGATGGTTGTGCGCTAAAACTACCTTGTCCATTGATGAGTACCAACAGACCAGAAGTCGGCGAGGCAAAGGGGGTTCGCTGCAGCATAGTTGTAGTTCTCATCGGGAGCGTATTGCAAATTCTAATTAATTAAATCATCTGTGTTCAGCACTCAGAGCTTACATTTTCAACTTAATAAAACTTACTCCTTATGGAAACCTGATTCGGCAACCTCCCTGGGCAATGGTTCCTCGCGTGCCTCGCGACATTAGACAAGATGGTCTGCTCGTATTGCTGGACATGGAAGCAATGGCCTGTAAGATATGTTTAGCAACCAGTCCTTCATAGCGACAATAATGAAAGACTCACGAAAGAGTCGGTGTTGTGGGCAAAGTAGAGTTCGATGCCGTAATTGTTTTTCTTCACAATGACCACTCCGAGGGCCCCAAAGAGAATGCTGTTACTCACGGCAGAGTGTTCTAACAGACAAAAGCAAACGAATGTCAGTGTTTGGGAAGTGTCAGCAGTGAAAAGAATAGAACGCACCATTAAACTCCCTTTTCATCCACCCCCTAAGAGCTTCTTCCTCCATGACCTGGGTAAAAACGCCGTTGTCGCCCATCTTCTGACTGTAATACATCCTTTGCGCGCATGTGCTTGCCGCCAGTGTTGAGGCAATGAGCTCTCCAGTCCCGGATGTAACGACTGCACAAGTGGTTCCATCTGGATCAGTTGGGTCTTGTGGAATAACATGAGTGCCAATGCCAATTAGGGCTGCAGGTCCAATCCGACCTCGGTGCTTCATGCCAATGCCACCAGAAGAAGATCCTGCTGCAATGTTCCCGTACTTGTCAATGGCAATCGCGCCAACAGTGTCAGTGATGCTGTCTTCCCCGTCTTGTTCACTATCAGCAGCATCTGAGCTCTCTGTGGTGATATGCTCCCCGTCTTGTTCACTATCGGGGGAATCAGGGCTGCCATCCCGAAATGAGGACAAAGGTGAGGCAGGTGGCTGCACAGGTAGATGGGAAGTTGAAATCTTGGCCCTTTTCTGATTTCCATGCTCCAGTGATGATGCCGGGCGCCCTTTCACATCTGCAAAAAGGTTTGGATTGGGCAGGGTGTTAATTTCCTCATCCGCTGCATGGCTGGTAGGATGGGCTTCGGGTTGAGAAGCACGCTCGAGACGTTTCAGGCGAGTGTCAAGGGGAGTCACTGGCCGGCGAATCCAGGGATCGAACACTTCGCCGCTGGTTTCATTTTCATAGTCATCAACCTCTGCGGCCCATACCTGATAACGCTCTAGGGCGACAGGTGAGATCAAGGCCTCCGAGGGTATGATCACCATGCCATTCTCCCATGCAAAATCCTTAGCACCTTCTCCGACCAAGAAGTTCGGTGGCACCCTTGACATGCCCATCTGCACATTGGACTTGTCATAAATCTTTCGAGCAAGCATGATCGGATTCTTGATATCTAGCAGGCTCGTTAGGCAAGACTTTATAAAGAGACACAACAAACTTACTGGGCACAGCTCCAGCTGCTCCACTTAACCCGTGGTGGTCGACAATCGAGGCGTCGCCCTCGACCACCCCCTTTGCGTTTAAGTTGCTCCCAAACCCTGCATTTGTAATCGGATTATCTTCAAGCACCATCAGCGCTGCTTCGACGGCGTCGACGGCGGTGCCACCACCCTTTAAGAATGCCATGGCCTTGAGCGAAGCTCTAATTCACTTGTTAGACTTTGTAACCATCAAATTTATGAAATACTGAGACTGACACTTCACAGGCCTTCAAATGCTTGTGCTCATTCTCGTGGCTGTGGAAACCCGCTCCAGCATGAATGAAGATGGCACAAACACCTTCGTTGCGGGACGCTTGCGACATATTAGGTTGTGCACGATTGACCGAGGTATCAAGCCAGGGTCAACAAAACGATGTGTGTAAAATCTAGACGCAACAAAAGCGTCACCGATTGTGCTCAAATATCAAAGTTGATATATCGAATCACGTATGTTGGGAATATGCAGTCTGCAACAAGATCGGGCTGAAGTGAAGATATGGATGCGGCGCGTAAGCTGGCAAACAAATCTTCGACGCGTCCGTGATGGGCTGGCCGATTGTTGATCAAAACGCGGTAGCTCTTTATGAGTTCTGCACTTGAAATTGTAACGAGTGACCGCCTGTTAAAAGACCACTGGAAACCAATGCTCTAATGCTATGGCAGACTGAGGCACGGGGAGTGAAGCGAGAGAAGACAAGAGTCTACGGGGAGACCATCCGTGTCAGAGTGAGAGAAGAATACACAGAATGAAGGGCAGCACTGCACATGTGCCACTCATCAGAAATGATATTGTTGGAATGATAAAAAAGTGAGAGATGATGAGGGTCTTAGGGATTGAGGATGTGCGAATGGATAGTCAGACAAGATTGCAAATATATGGGAGTATCTCATAGCACTGGTCGTTCTTGCCATTTTGGTGTAGTTTCACTTTTTACCTGAAAAATAGGCGGTAAAATTGGCATCACCTAGGCAGCATATCTTCAGTGGTTGCTTGTTTTCTCATATAGAGCCTGAGGATCTTTTTGATACTTCTCGGCACATGATGTTGACGTGTGACCCCTTAGGTAATCTGACCTCCGGGCACTGCATCTCCCCCCGCCTTGTCTGCCTGTCCTCTTGGTCTCTTGAAGTCAGGGTGATTTCGGCTACCAATTGAGATTCAGCCGATTCCCTCGTTATTGCCTCAGTCTATACATTGCCTAGACTTCTTTCAGCTCCTTATTACATTGTGATCGTGCCCAGGCCCAACCACCCGCCATGGCGTCCCAAACCCCAGCCGTTGTCATGGACAAGTAAGCTCACACCTACAAGGATTAAGAGAATATTTAGTGCTGACTCTATACCTTTCTCTAGCGGAACTGGCTATTCCAAGCTTGGTATGTGGTATCTGTAGTGATTAGGGAGCTCGCGATCACAGATTAGGCTGACATGCTATCTCCACTATTTCAGGTTTCGCCGGTAACGACTCCCCCTCATTTGTATTTCCCACCGCAATTGCAACCAGGGCTGCTGGAAGTGCCGGAAGCTCCGGGGGCCGGCCCCCAGTCGCAAACAAGCCCTCGTTCCTAGGTGCTGGCGGGGGTAGCTCCAACCTGTCCGCAAAGCGTGGCACGGAAGACCTGGATTTCTTTATCGGCGACGAAGCACTGGCTGCGGGCAATGGCCCAGGATATGGTGTTAACTACCCGATCCGACACGGACAGATCGAGAACTGGGATCACATGGAACGATTCTGGTCGAACTCGATCTTCAAATATCTGCGCGTGGAGCCCGAGGACCACTATTTCCTACTCACCGAACCTGTAAGACAACTGCGCATGCTACCAGCGGGCTGTTTTCAACATGATGAGACCTGACATTACTGGATTATAGCCTCTGAACCCTCCCGAGAACCGCGAGAACACCGCCGAAATCATGTTCGAGTCGTTCAACTGCGCCGGTCTTTACATTGCTGTGCAAGCAGTTCTCGCCCTTGCCGCATCATGGACGTCCTCCAAGGTGACAGACCGTTCCCTTACCGGAACGGTCATCGATTCGGGTGACGGTGTTACCCACGTTATCCCCGTCGCCGAGGGCTACGTCATCGGGTCCTCCATCAAGAGTATCCCGATTGCTGGACGAGACATCACATATTTCGTGCAGAGCTTGCTACGTGACCGTGGAGAGCCCGACAGCAGCTTGAAGACAGCAGAGAAAGTGAAGGAGGAGTACTGTTATGTCAGTCCCGATATTGTCAAGGAGTTCGCACGTTACGACCGCGAGCCAGATCGCTTCCTAAAGCACACCGTCACTGCGCCGAACGGGCGGAGTGTAAACATCGACATTGGATACGAACGTTTCCTCGCCCCGGAGATCTTCTTCAACCCCGAAATCTACTCGTCCGACTTCCTCACCCCGCTCCCCAATGTTGTTGACGGCGTCATCCAGTCCTCCCCCATTGACGTCCGAAGAGGCCTCTATAAGAACATTGTGCTCTCTGGTGGCTCTACTCTGTACAAGGACTTTGGCCGTCGTCTACAGCGTGATATTCGTCACTTGGTTGATGCACGAATCCGTGCCTCCGAGGCTCGTAGCGGTGGTGCACGGAGTGGTGGTCTCGATGTCGCTGTTGTCACCCACAAGCGCCAGCGCCACGGTCCCTGGTTCGGAGGTAGTCTGCTGGGCCAGACGCCTGAGTTCCGGAGCTACTGTCACACTAAGGCAGAGTATGACGAGATAGGTCCCAGCATTGTGCGGCGATTCGCACTGCTTGGTGGCCCGGGAAGCTCGTAGGGGGAAAATGAGTGAACCTTATCATTAGATACTTGTCAATCGATGTAGCTCAGCCTTGTTCATAGTTCGTTGTTTTATCTCTTTTCTTTCTTCCTCCGGTGGTGCTCTCTATTTTCTTTTTACCCAAAACGGCTTGGCGCCGGTGTTCATGGGCATTTTCTACAGTGGACTCAAAGCCAATTCACGACGTAGAGCAATTGGCAGATTGGCAGTCTATAGCTTGGATGCCTTGAAACGAAATCCAAAATGAAATGAAAATGTATTAAACAGCGTACATATCCACTATCGTCATCATGCATTTTTGGATTTTCCTTCCAGAACGCCATAGAATATGCAATATCGGGTAAATATATAGCCTACAAAGGCTCAAGACTATTACTTTTCAGACATTCCATCACTCAAACAGTCTCGGTCTGAGGGAAAGAGGTGCGGTTCAAAATAGCCACACCCTCCACATGACCGGTCTGAGGGAAGAAATCGAAACCACGGACGCTCTCAATCTCATAGCGAACATTTTGCTTCTCATCACCCTGCACCATAACAGCAACGTCACGAGCCTGGGTATGGACGTTACAGCTGACATAGACAACGCGACGCGGCTTGAAATCAAGCATCTGGCGCAGGAAGTCTTCTGAACAACCCTTGCGAGGGGGGTCAATAACCAGCAATGTCTGATCTGATGGGTATGGGACATCCTTGAAGAGAGTGGCCGCGTCGGCAGCAGCGAAGCCGGTGTTGGGAAGATTGTTTGCACGAGCATTTTCACGTGCTGAAACGATGGAATCGCCTCCAATATCGACACCAAGACTAGACTTGAACAATGGGGAGAGGGTGATTGTGAACAGGCCGGAGCCGGAGTACGCGTCCAAGAGGTACTTGATTGGCTTTGCGTCTTGGTCGTTGCCTGCTGGGATGGCTTGCGAGCGGATGTACTCTGTGAAGCCGGACAGGATTGAGTTGTTGTTTTGGAAGAAAGCACCTGCTTTGTTGCTGAATATATAATCATCGACGTACTCGAACGAGGTGGCATTGTTGTCTGTGACGCAACGCTTTTCTTCAATGTAGTTTTCGCGCTCAATGCGGATCACATCGCCTGTGTCTGCGTTGGGGGTAGCGGCAATTCCGCCGACAGTGGGAGTCTCTCCTTCGGTGGTAGGCGCGGCGTCTTTTGGGATTCGTGCGGTAGACTCGCGCATCAAGAGAGTGGCACCTCGCTTGTAAGAACGGATGTTCTCCGCAACTCGTTTCCTCTCGCTAGTGAGTCCGCGACGCACAATGTCTGTTCCAAGGGGACAGTCTTCGATGTCCATATCCAGTCGTCGGTTCTTGTATGTAAATCCAATCGGGGGGATCTGCGGCTCTTCGCCGTCTTGCTTAGAGCCTTTGCCGCAGCCACCATGTGCGAAATGTGGCGTGAGTTTTGTACGATATCCATATTGCATTGGCGAAGCAAATGTTTCTCCAACGGTAGGAACAAGCTCCGGGATCAACCCAGAGAAATTAGCATAGGCTTTCTCCACGATGCGCCGTTTGTGAGCAAGCTGGTCATCATAGGACATCATCTGAAGCTGACAACCGGAACACTCCCCGAAGTATTTGCATCCAATCAGCGCATCGTTTCTCTGGGGACCCGGTTCAACGACTTTAACAAAATCAGTCAAACTGTATGACAACGACTCGAAATGCTTGACTACTTTGACGCGCACAGTGTCTCCGGGGACGGTGAACGGAACAACGTAGACATATTTCCCATTCTCGGCGAGTGCCAGACCATCGCCTGTTGAGGAAAGCTCGACAACCTTGACATCAATCTCGGTGAACTTCTCGGGAAGGGACAGAGGCTCGCTGTCGCCATTGGTCTCAGCCTGCTCGGTTTCGTTGCGCTTGATAAGTTGGTTGATATCGCAAAGTAGGACCTCGTCGTGACCGCTGCTCTTGTTGTTCTTGTCGACTCTCGGCTTCTTGCGCTTGCCATCGAAGTGTTTCTTAGGACCGTTCTGCATTATTGCGGGGACTGGCGCATTCGTTGAATGGCGGTGGTAATATAATTTGGATGCTGGTCGCACTTGAAGGGCTGTTAGAGTCTGGGAAGACAAAGAAGAAGTCAACCGCCAAACAGAAGACCGTACTGCAAACATATAAGTTGCAAAGCGACAGCGAAATAATTTCTGGAACGAAAATCATCAAATGGGAAATTTATTAGAAACGCATCTAACGCGTCGCTGATTGGTTAGAGACTGACCGCCCGCAAGAAAGAAATTCATCCCGACGCTTCACCTCCGACTGGCCTCTTCTGCCTTTGCGTCCCCCAATTGTCTCCGCATTTCGCGTTTTTCTTTATTTTTAAAGCTCGTAACCGGCCTATATTAGGCTGGGGAGCTCATCGCAACGTCATCATGAACATCACACGGCCGGCACGATGCCTTTTATGCAGCTTCACCCGTGCTGCCACCCCGAGCACGCGAGTCCCTCGACGCCAGTTCCACCCTACTCCTGCGACTCTCTCAAACCGGAAACCCAAGTTCCCTAATGTCAAGGCTCCTCGGGTGGATGAATACCAGCCGTACACGGAAGAGCAGAAGGCTAAGCTCGCCCAGGAGTACTCGGAGGCACAGATGGCCGCCATTGAAGCCGGTGAAGCTGCTATCGACCCAAAGGATATGGCAGAACAGTTGAACGAACGCAGCGATCCTATGGCATTCAAATACATCGACGACTTCTCGGTGATTGAGCCCGGCATTGATCGACACCAGCGCGCTCCGGAGTCGAACTCGGATTACAATTTCAAGCTGAAAAGCGAGGATGATTTCGTGAACGATTTCGGAAAGTTCTTTGCTGAGATGCCTGATAACGCGACAGGTAAAGACTTCGTTCGGTTCGCGGACAACCTGCGCCTCACCCACGGCAAGGAGGAGAGCGAGTTGGCCCCACACAGCGCACTTGTTCCGGATCTCTTCGGACCCGGGGAGACCATCGATGAGCCCCGTGTGGAAGAGCAGAAGACAGCCGCAGAGAAGGGCGAGAAGGAGCGGTCCGCGGAGGCCGAAGAAATGACAGATGCCCTCAAGAGCCTGCTCCTGGCCACGGGCTACACGGAGAGCCAGGTCAAGGGCCTCCGCACCAAGACCCTTGTTTCACACAGCGTCACCAACCAGACTCGACTAGGAAAGGTCCGCCGTGCATACCGTCTTTCTATTGCCGGTAACGGAAATGGTCTGCTGGGTATCGGCGAGGCCAAGTCCGATGAAGCCTCCGACGCAAAGATCCAGTCGCAATACCGTGCCATCCGAAACATGCAGCCCATTCCCCGCTACGAGAAGCGAACCATCTATGGTGATGTCAAGGGCAAGGTTGGAGCTACAGAGTTGCAGCTGATGCACCGTCCACCAGGTATGTTTAGTTCCATATCCCCGGGCATGTTCTTTTTGCTAATAATCATAGGGTTCGGACTCCGTGTCCAATACCTCATCTACGAGATGTGCCGTGCTGCCGGCATTCACGATCTATCCGCCCGAGTTGGTCGCTCAAGGAACCAAATGAACACAGTCAAGGCCGCCTACGAGGCACTCATGAGCCAGCGTAACCCCGAGCAGATTGCTCACGCACTCGGCAAGAAGATTGTCGACGTGCGCAAGGTGTACTACGCAGGTAAGATCTAAGGCCCCCCATAGCCTTAACTTGCTGTTTCGCCCCAGCGTGTATATAATGCTTCTCCTTTCCTTCTTCTTGTGTCTTTCGCATGTACTTGTATAAGTTGGTTGTTAAACATGAACGGTCATCAATTCTCCAGTATTCTGGGCTATTCACAGCGTATCTGGAAAATCATATATCAACAAAGTTCTTTTGCATAAACACCATCTGTCTCACGCCAAAACGAAAACTTAGAAATAACACCCCGGGTATAATACGCGAGTAAACAAGAAAAAAAAAAAGAACTCTCAAACGCAATAGACAATGTTTATGCCTTCCTTACTGGAAGGTCATGTCTCCCTCCCCCTCATAGCCATGCTGATACTGGTGGTCCTGAAAATGCTGATCCTCATTCTGCTGTTGTTGTTGTTGCTCTTCATTCTCATTCCAGATCTGCTGCTGCAAGACAATGCTATAGACACTGGCCTTGAGCAGAGTGCATACAGTCGCAGTCTTGCGCTCAAGGAGACGAAGACCATCGAGGGGCATGGAGGCGGGGGAGCCGGCGAGGTCGGCGAGTTTATCAGAGAGCTGCGAGGCATTAATCAGTAACCAGTATAGCCAATATTGAGAGCCCAAGTAATTTCCAGCACGACATTGTATCCTTTCCCTGTGAAGAGATTGTCCCAGAAAGATAAAATCAAACAAGGTCTTCTCCACGTACCTGATTGACATTCCGCAGCAAGCGAGCGTATTCTTCCAGCACTTCCTGCTCTAAATCTGAAACGAGGGGGTTATCACCCAGAAGGGGGTTGTTCGAGCCCCGGCCGTGCGAGGCGTCTGCGTCGCCCATTGATTGGATTGGAGGGGATGGTTCCGCGGGGTCGACCTCGGAGAAGGAGTAATCGTTATCTGGATCTTCGGGCACGAAGGCTGACATTGTGATTTATGTTTATTTGCGGTGAAGGTTGTGGGTGTTGAGCTGCCAAAGCCGTGAAAGCTGTGTTGGGATGATTTTGTTTTTTCTGGGGTTCCGCTGCGACGCGTTCCCCAAGCTTACGATATCTACTGGGGTGGATTTTATGCCTTGGAACTTATTTCAACGTCATTCAATAGATTTCTAGATGGCCTTTTCAAAAGGACTCCCAAAAACATTTTTAATGTATATTGGGAATATTCAAATAACGCAGGTAGTGTAAAAGATGCCGTCCTATCAATAACATTCCTTTAATATGGTCTGACCACAAAGAATTGTCTCATATGAGTACCTCAACTGATATTCTTTTCTTCCAAAAAAAAAAACAAAAAGAGTCTGACCGCTGTAATAAGAACCCCGTCTCAGTTCCTTGGTGCCAAACCCCGTCCTACGGTTGATATTACCATGTCTATTAGAAGTTTGTTTTATGGGACTCTTGTAGGTCTAAAACAGAGTACATAAATTATTGATGTGGGCACAGTCTCTAGGATGTACTACAATATATAGGCTTCATCTTTCGCAACCCCATACGGAGAACTCCGTTTATTGTCCGAAATAGCAAGCACTCATTTCGTCTACAATATGGAATCTAAGCCCGCCCTGTTGAGCAACAACCAACCACGCTGGTTATTGGACAAACTGTGCGGCCTTAGAAGGTTGTACCGCGTTAGCGCTTTCCCAGTCGCGGTAGCCTGTCCGCACGTTCTCCGTACTCCGTATCCGTACCTATATCTAAAAGAAAATCTCGGAGAAAATTCAGCGCTCGGGAAAAACGCCCCTTTTGAGCAACTGCCACAGGTGGACTTGAAACCACTGGAACAGCTGATGTTGTGTACTATTCGCCCCTATTACCTTCCCCATCTTGACAACTGAGAATGAAAAGAAACCATATATCTAGTAGCATACTCCGTAGAGGTGGAGAGATCTACATGTGGATTGTTGCTTGTAGTTGACAAGTAACTAGTAACTAGAATTATTTAGAAGATTGATAGATTGGCTCCTGAAACACAATTGTTCTGTTACATCAAAAAGAAAGATCATCGTGTTACATGCTATCTTGAAGGCCTGAGATTGTCAACTCGGTTGCAACATAGTCCGTTATAATGTGGGAATTACCCCGTAGCTAGGACTGGATTGGTTGTAGCTATCCACATTTGAACTACCTGGCTGAAGGATTTTGAAGACTGAACCCGACGGGCGCCCGTTTTCTCTTTTTTTTTTTTTTTCCTTGGCTATCAACGATGCTATGAACAGAGCTGATCTTTGACTGGCAGAGTATTCTCATGGGTTAATAAAATTGGTTGGAAGAAGCTCTCGAGGAACTAAGCTCACAATTCGGCCCTAGTGACCCCCATTGTCGAGTAGGATGCAAGCCTTCTCAAATCGAGGGCGGGCTAGCGAAGTGCTGAGTGGGTCAAGTCAATTTATATTTCTGCCTCAGGTTAGGTAGCGTTTTCCAATTGATTTCGAGATCATTTCCCTAATTAGTTGGGAAAGTTTCGAGTGACACGGTTGACTGTGGGAACACATCCTTCACAGGATATGTGAAAACTCATGTGAGCTCAGAAATACTGTGTCTCATGCTCCAGAAATCCGCATTTAGAAGTGGATATTCTTTATCTGCCCCGTGGTGGCTTCCTGTACCACACACGCTTTTAGGACAAGTTCCCCTGAGAAAAGACACTGCCAAGAGTTTAGAGGTATTAGCAGACATTCTCTAGAAATTATACGGAGTATTGCCCCACGAAATGCGCAGGTCTTTTACCGCGCGGCGCGTCCCAGGACGAGCCACCTGCGCCTCTACTTTATTTAATTGGAAGCCTAGATCCTCAAGTTTCTGATGCGACATGGTCGCCTCGAATAACTAATTTAAAAACGCCAATTCAACTAATATGGACTTGCGATAAATTTGCCGCCCCTAACAACGGATTGACTCTAGTGTAGAAAACGAGCCTTGGCTTTGCGTTTTCCACTTTAAAATCATGTCCCTCCCGAGGGATGGAAATAATATTCGTTCTCTCATGTGGATCAGGGAAAAAAAAGGAGACACATTGCACGTCAAGTGGCGACGCCTTACGTAGGGCCTCGGAAGAAGACCAAATACGTAAGTGTCCTTAACTAGGAAGTTGGCGATAGTATCCAGGTCCCAGATTGCGGGGCTCGAGCGGTAATAGAGGGGCAGCAAAGGGAAGATCGGTTTTCTCTCGACAGTTCACAGACGTTTTCTAAAGTTATGGGGCCTGGTCCCTTGACCCGAAATATGATATAGAGTTGCCCCCAAGATATCCAAGATATGTTTTCCTAGGGTTTGGGGTGGACACGTGTCAAGGTTTTTCCAAAACTGGTTAGTTCCCTGGACGCTTTCCATCCCAAGTTTGGCCAAGAGAGGTTAACCCAAAGAGGTTAGTCAATATCTATATCTTTGCGAATACGAATCGCCACTTTTGGAAGATAATTGTTTGACTTTTTCAGGGGGTCAAACATTCCATTTTTAGGGGCAATGGAGAATGTTCTCTGTGGATTCTAATATTTAGAAAACGTGCCATCTGGAGTGGAGTAAAGGTTGGGATAGGGGAAGGCTATTCGAGAGATCTAATTCAATTTCCGACAGGGGCACCCAAGGTTTAAGCTTGTTTTAGCTCAACTTATCAAACTGGATATGCAAAAGTATGGTATAGTTGACTTGATACGCGTATGGACCATATTTTGTCTTCGCCACAGTGCCCACAAGCCTTGTCACACTGCCTGATGATGTCCAATAATACATTAACGCACCCAGACCTCTCCACTTCATTCCCCATGGAGTTCTCCCGTGTCCACATCTCGGTTGGACCACTTTACACTGCCCCTTTGTGTCTGTCCCCTGGAGAGGACCGGGATGTCTTGCGTTACGCTACGTTATGCACTAGGCAACTTAATAGATTAATGGATTCATGTGGGGGAGTAAAAAAGCAAAGAGAGAGAGGTCCGCAAGGAATTGCTTCTTATATCTGAACGCCATATCCTTCTTTCATGTCAATCCTTTTGATCTAAAAAAAATAACGGTCATATCTCATCGCATTCTTTGGTTAACCATACCAAATGGGCAAGATGTCTACCCCAGCTAGGGCTAGGGACAATGTATTCTCAAGACGCGAGATCGAGGGCATGCTCGCTGAAGGCAAGTTGATTATCATTGTCGACGGCAATGTCCTCAGATTGGATGCTTGGATCAGATATCATCCCGGAGGTGATATGGCTATCAAGCATATGATTGGAAAAGATGCCACAGATGAAGTCAATGCGTGAGTCTCCCCAGAGTCTCCTCCATTCTTGTTTAATTTCATTGCGCATTATACTGATACCCTTTGCAAAGACTCCATTCACAAGAAGCCCGTGACCGCATGAGCAAATTCCAAATTGGCCGGATCGAAGGCTACTGGGCCAACTTCCTCCCTCCCATCCAAGGTGGCAAATTCCGCCCATTGATCGAAAATGAGATCGACGAAGATCTAGTGAGCTCAGAATTATCCAGCGAGGAGATTTCAGCACCGCCATCGCCCATCTTCGAAGCCGAAGATGAAAGATTGGGCCTCAGACGCAGACTATCAGTATCAACCATTTCCTCGGCAGTCAGTGCGGTCCCTCCACCAACAGAAGACAAACCACGAGCCTACGTGATTGATGCTCGAACGCAAGAGGAGATTGAGATGGACTCGGCCAACTACCCTCCTCTCGACGCAGAACACCAAGATTACGTTGTACAGAGATATCGGGAGCTACACCAGCGCATCCGTGCAGCAGGCCTGTTCAAGTGCAACTACACAGCCTACGCTATCGAGATCAGTCGTTACACCCTCTTCTTTGGACTATTCCTCTTCTTCCTCCAGCGTTCCTGGTTCTGCCTATCGGCCTTCTTCCTCGGCTGTTTCTGGCACCAACTCGTCTTCTCCGCTCATGATGCCGGCCACATGGGTATCACGCATAACTATCAGATTGACACCACCATCGGCATGATCATCGCCGACTACCTGGGCGGCCTAAGCCTTGGCTGGTGGAAGCGCAGCCACAACGTGCACCACATCGTAACTAACGCCCCCGAGCATGACCCCGACATCGAACTGATGCCCTTCTTCGCGCTATCGCACCGCTTCTTCACCTCGCTCTACAGCACCTACTATGACCGCATCATGACATACGACGCCGTGTCCCAGTTCACCGTCAAATACCAGCACTATCTGTACTACCCCATCCTCCTCTTCGGCCGCTTCAACCTCTACTTCCTTAGCTGGGAGCACATCATCGTCGGACGCGGACCGAAACACGGCGCCGGTTGGTGGCACCGCTGGTTCGAGTTTGCTGGCCACATCTTCTTCTGGGCTTGGTTCGGCTACGGCGTGGTCTGGTGTAGCATTCCGACTTGGTTTGACCGTGTCGTCTTTGTTCTAATTTCGCATATGGTGACTTCGCCGCTGCATGTGCAGATTACGCTGTCGCACTACGCTATGTCCACTGCTGATCTCGGCCCGCTGGAATCTTTCCCCCAGAAGATGCTCCGCACTACCATGGACGTCGACTGCCCGCCTTGGTTGGACTTTTTCCATGGTGGTCTCCAGTTCCAGGCTATCCACCACCTGTACCCTCGTATCCCGCGACACAATCTGCGCAAGACGCAGCAGTTTGTTCGGGAGTTCTGTGAGGATGTGAAGATTCCGTATGCGGTCTTTACCTTCTACAGCGGTAATAAGGAGGTTATTGGTCGTCTTGCCCACGTTTCCAGACAGGCGAGACTCTTGGAGGAGTGTCGCAAGGCTTGTGCGGCGGATCCCCATATGCATTGAAGATGTTCGCTCTTTTGGAGTTGAGCTTTTGAGATACCCATTATGTAGTTTGTATACTTTTGCAAATTGGGATCGCTTAGAATTGTGATATTATATTGTACCCTGCAAGCGAAACATCCACATTTTTTTATATTAAGAAAAATTTCAACTATTTACGTACAACACCTGTTTTTCTGCTTCCAATAGTACTCTTCTAAACTCCAATTACACTACTCTATTCTATGGGGACTTCCTTTTTACTTGTAACCACCCTAGGTTTAACATCACCTTGTCTTTAGGAAATACCCTTTGGATAACCGTCTCTCCTTTGCAAACTGTTCTTTCCATGTAATGGACATCTACAAGGCGCAAAATGACAGGCGAATTTGCTTGAGATAGGATAAATAGACGAGATAAAAAGACCATCAAATAGATTGAAATGAAAGCCAAATGCAGAAATTGCTTCGAGTCTCACAAAGCATGGCTTAACAGGAGAGGTATTCTTGAAAAACAAAAATTTGTGAAAGCACGCAGTAATCAGTTGATTCATACAATGTCACGCTGAAGACGTAACCCGAAAAAGTGAATCCATAACGCCGTTCCGCTGCGAAGTAGGATGAAAGAGCAAATGTATAGCACAGTTTTCAGGTAGACGCGCAAAGAAAAGAAAACCAACAGCTCAGGGGTCTGACACAAACCATGTGGCAATGCCAACGAACGGTTCGGGGTCAATGCTATGTCGTACCTCGATTGGAGGTGCAACCAAGAGTGATCCAAGGCCTTAAGAAGAAAATGCAATATGCAAAGCAAGCGATGAGCAATAAGTCATGACAATGGGATGAAAGAAAAAAAAAAAGAGCTTGAATAGATCCACCAAGAAAAAAACCCCCCCGAAACACTCCATACACCCAGCGAGGATTGCAATGGAAGAATAATAGCATCTAAATACAGTCGTTAATGCATCATGGTCGTCAGCGAGCCGACGCACATCCGGCTGTTTTCCTCGTGTATCGGATAAAAGAAACAAGTAACAGAAAATGAAGAACCCAGGCTTTACATATCTCCCTCGTGGTGAAGGGTGACACTGTTGAACTCCTCGAAGGGATCGTTGAGTTCGCCATTGGGAGTTGCGAGGCCCGAATCCATTGGGACACCCTTCATCCTGGTAGAATCGGTACCACCGATATCTACGCTAGCGCTCTCTTTGACATTGCGGAAGTTCACCGTATCTGTGCCCGCACGACCCTGGTGGGGAATCATAGGCGGCTTCATGTGACGAATGAGCGCCCATTGAGTTTGACGGAAGAAGGGGTGAGTCTTAACATCAGAAGCACCAGCGCGGGCTCCTAGACGCTTAGTTTCGTCCTTGATCAGCAGTTTACGGATCAGGGACTTGCACAGGTTTGATGTCTGCTGCGCACCCGAGTGCTCTGGGAAGTTCACCTCATCTCGCAGAATGCTGGCAAATGTCGCGTTTCGGTTCTTGCCTTTAAATGGAGTAGTGCCGTACAGCATTTCGTAAATCAAAATGCCCAGGGTCCACCAATCAACGGCACTGGTGTGACCGCATCCCTTGATCACCTCAGGCGCAATATACTCCTCCGTCCCGACAAAAGAATTTGTTCGGAAATCGGCAATACATGACTTGGTATCAATCGTCGGCAAGCCTGTAGTGGAGTTGCCACCGCTGCGTGCGGGAATCATCGTCGGGGCACCTCCCGGTCCAGATTGCTTCGACAGATCGAAATCAGAAAGCATGATATGACCAGACTGGTGAAGAAGGATATTTTCTGGTTTCAAGTCACGGTAGATGAAGCCCATCAGATGGAGATATTCTAACGCGGCAATAACCTCTGCGGCGTAAAAGCGAGCTGCATCCTCGGAGATACTCTTGCCGGGCCGGGTTTGCAGAGCTAGAGATGCACAAGTCAGCAAGAAATTCTAGATATGTCGAATATGGGATCAAAAGGTAGACCCACTCCTAAAGAACTCGCCACCACTGCAGTACTCCATGCAGAGATACAAATAATCCTCCGATTGGAAAGAGTGATATAAGGTGACAATGAACGGGTGGTTGCTCGTAGCTAGAATCTCTTGTTCGGCCAAGGCTCGTTTAATCTTGTTTCGTTTGATCATCTCCTTCTTGCTCAAAACTAGCAGCAGGTCAGTATATGGCATCGGAAAATCGCCGGTATGTAAGAAAATCGTACCTTTCATGGCATACAGACGGCTCGATTTCTTCTCGCGCACCAGATAAACTTTGCCAACATCACCTTTGCCAATCATCTTTATCTTGTCAAAGCTAGCGGGGCCGACCTCCACATTTCGAACTTTAATGGAGTTTGAACTATAGGTGCGACGGAAAGAAGCGTTACTGCCGAAATCTGAGCTGAGTGAAGAAGGTACCGCCAGATTGTACTCCTCGCTGCTTGGATCTGCGAGGCCCATGGATCCGCCAGACTGTTCCACTAGGGGCTCCTTGCCTAGATCCGCTGTCTGAGGACGGTCACCCTGACCACTTGTAAATAGGCCTTGGGCATTCGGGGCAGAAGCCACACGTCGTAACTTGCGCGCTAATTCCTCTTTGTTTGTAGTGTTCGCCTGTTCTACTGCCGAGACTCCCGTGACTTGCAACTCAGGGGTGTCAGGGGGAGAGGATGGCACTGACCCATCATTGCGGTGTCGCAATGCTGGCTGGCCCTGGTGGGCAAAGTATGGGTTGGCTGATGCGGTAGGCGACATTGCATCGTCGAGTGGGTTGCCTTCGCTAGCAACGGTTGTTGATCGATTGCGGCCTATTCCAGGCAGAAACCGAGACTGCCGGAAAGCAGACTTCTCATTTTTGACCGACCCATGGCTATCCCGTTCCCGTTCGGTACTTCCAGAGGCGTTGGGAGGGGAGTGGCTGCTTGAACTGTTGATACGGAAAAAATTCTTGATTCTCGTAGGCAAGTGACCAGACTCGTTGGAGTGTTTTCGTGAGGGAAGGGAGAGAGCGGGGAAATTCCCGCGCTTCTCATTATTTGTCACCGCGGACGGACTGGAGGCGAAGAGCTGTGTCATATTGGGTGGGTCGTCGATATTAAAATCGAGACCAAAATGAAAGTCACTTAGGACCTGTCGAAAAGATGATTCCAAGGATGCAAAAGCAAGTGAGGGTGAAAGGGTGGTAATCTTCCAAATGTCAAGTGCCGGCTGGGGATATAATCGCGGGGGGGCAATTGTTAGTAAGAAGCGGTACTGGGGATGTCCACCCAAAGAACTGAAATGACAATAGCCACGAAAACTGGGCTCATGGATAAGGCGACATGTCAGAACAAGTAAAAGAATGAAGATCGAGAATTGAGAACCCAGTGGGAAAGGAGGAGGCAAGGAGGAATTGGAGTGGAGAAGGACGCGGAGGCCAAGGCTTAGTCATCTACAATAGCCCTGGGGCAGTGCTACGTCAGTATTAAGACGTGAGAAAAAGCCATAATGCTTATAAATATCATAAAAGTCAGCCAATATGACTCTATTATAACAATATTCTAAATATAGAGAAATCAGGAAATCAGGAAATCAGGAAATCAGGAAATCAGGAAATTAGGAACTGACAGGCAACGAAGTGTACCACCGCATAAAACTCCTCATTGGACACTGCCTAAACGCCTTTATCACTTTCTCGAAGCCTAACATGAAATTAATTATGTGGTTTTTGTACGTTGGTATAGTTTTCTCAAAAATCATTGAACTGGTTTAATACTATAGAATTATCATGAAGTATACAATTGTAAATTATCATTAAATGGTAAGCGAATTTGTACAATTTTGACTGTTATTTACTCCTAAACTTATATTGCTACTTGGCTCGCACAAAATACAGCCGCCGCTGCTAATGCTATTATCTGCATTAGTCATGGGCAGGAGTGATAGAACACCCTTTAAGCAAAATTACAATTGAGGTACTCTGACCGGCGTCTTTAGTCCCCAAATCATCCTAGTGGGCCAAGGGCTTGAAGGAGAGGACTATAGCCAACCCCCCTCGGCTAGTTAGACCGACCAGAACCTGAAAAGGCCTGAAAAGGCCTAGAATTTCAATGCCCTCTCCCCGAGTGCGATTAAAAATTCTGCGACAGGCAATGAGGAAAGCAGCAGGCACAAGCAGGCGTCAAGGTACAACATAGGGCCGATAGTTAGTACAAGTACAGAGCTATCAACTATATAGTTACCTAATTAGGAAAGTGGCTGAAATCCTAGGGGTGTAGTATTATCCTATTAAAAATGTCTTTTTGGCAGAATTCTTAGATATCTATTCTTTTTAGATATCGTTTAAGATATTTTCTTTCCCTCGGTTCTGGTAGACGTAGGTGGCGACATCCCAAGTATAAATAAATATCTACAAAGTAGGGGCCCACGTGATAATGAGACTTCATTCTGCTGGAGGAATAATCAATACATAACAATATCGTACAGATTCATGTTTCAATATCGTCTCCTCCTTCGAATTGAACTTGGTCCATTGATTTCCATCCTTTTTTATGCTTTTCTCTCTGCCTTTTCTGCTTTCATCATCTGAAACTTCGGGGATTTCGGGAACACTTGGGCATGGATTCCACGCAACACCATGGTTGCATAGTATCAACGGTAAGCATGAGCGTTGATTCTGCTGGTGTTCACAATGGGGGGTGCGGTATGTCTGAGGCTGGTGTCGATCAAGCGTGGATATACAGGCAAGTAATTGGTGTTTTGTTGACTGTCTGGCGCGTCGAAACCGAGAACTGTTGTGGCAGGTACTTCGTCTCTCAGGTCTTCAATCAGTCGCGATGAATTTGTGAGCGAGCGACGGGCGTTTCGGACATTTTCACGTGCATCATGTCTCCGGCGGGCATTCAGACTCGAAGAAATCATACGAGACCCAACGCTGCTGAGATCACCCACAGGTACATCATACCTCCGGCGGGCACTGGACCTCGAGATTACCCTGCTTGGGCTATTCCTGGACAATGGGCTATTCCTAGACAATGGGCTGTTCATGTCGAATGGACTGTATCTGCCGAATGGGCTATTCCGAGACAATAGGGGTGTATCCGACATGTCGTCTGGGTAATCCCCTCCGAAGCCGTTCATTGTCAGGGTGATACTCCCATTGCGGCTGCTATGCGTCAAATCGGCCCTTCACACATGCAAACGAATATGGATAGAACTTACCTGTAGTTCATGCCATCCTCTAATTGTTCGGCGAGAGACCGTCCTCTCCGTTCGCCGGATCCTTCCGCTTCACAATCACCCTGCACATCTACGACAAACACATCGAAAAGGTTCTCCAACACGTCAGTACTTCTGCGCTGTTGATCAAAGGAAAGTGCTGAGAGCATCTCTTCGGTCAACCCACGCCTGGGACTAGATTCTCTTGTCATCGGTTGCTCGTCGTCTGAACCGACCGAAACTGATGCGTCGCGGGGCTCATTCTGAAGAAACCGAAGCCCGTTCTGGGGAGCCCCATCTTCAGTTGGACGGCTCACTTCATCTGCATTACTGCGGCTCTATGGGTTAGTATTCTCCACGTGCCAGTGGGGAGCCAAGAACTTACGGGCTAAACATGAGGCTTGGCGTGGGACTCCCATTATTTACAGCGGTGCTAGCCAATTCGACGGCATATTCCTCATGGTTGACTTCAGCAATGGACTGCAATGGCGCAGTATAATTAAAGACGTTGTTTCGGCCGAAGTTCCGAGGCACAGTTCCGCTGATACGGTTTCCATTTCTTGGACGACGTTCTGTCCATGTCTCATGATGGATCGATGATATGATTCCATCGGTTTCCCCTTCAGAGCTCATTTCGGGAAAAAGGTGGATGCCCATTCGGCTGTCGGCGTCAAACGGCGTGTCATGACTTCCCGTAGGCACATTGCCGCTCCCGTTCACATCACGAACGCACAACTCCGACCTTCTATCAACCTGGATTTCATTGAAGAGTGAGGTTCTTCTGCTTGTGTTGTCATTTTCCCGATCACGAATGAGCAAGTCTGAGCTTCCATCAAGCTGCATGTTATTAAAGTTTGACTTGTTCCCGTTTGTGTGGTCTGTTCCATTGCTGCAGCTGTTTGTTGCTGCCAACGATTGCCTCTGGAATTCGATAGGATGGCCAGTGTTCGGGTCAATGATTTCGACTCCACGGTTGGTGCTAACACGCACAACGTCATTGGCACCATCAGTCGACAGATTAATATGTGAGCCATCTGCGATCGTTGTTTCAACTTGCTCTTGAATGTAAGTGGGGCTCTGATGCTCTGGATCAACGACAATGCCTTCTAGATCGTTGGCATTGTCCATTTCAATTGCCTCTGCATGATGCATTTCAATTGACTGTGTATAATCCATGAGCATATCATGTTCATCAAGTGCTCTGAGCACTCTTGCCCGTTCGTTGATGTTGTAAACACGCAAATTGTAACGAGCATCGCTAGGTGAAATCCGTGGATCCAATGCGATAGCTTCGTTAACTTCTCGGAGATATCTTTCATGGTACCCGAGTTTGCGTGTCAGTTGTGCCAATGCCAATGCCATGGTATCATGGCCGCACATCCACGCCACTCTTACATATCGAATGTAATTATCGCAAACCTGGAACATATCAAACTGGGACATGCACGTCAACGTCTGCGCAATTGCAGTATTCTCTGCATTGATCTGATTCTGGATCAAAGCCCATCGTGTCTGGTACTCCTCAACCTGAAGAGTGGGCTCAGGGTGTCGCACTCCGTGAACGAACTCTGGATCGTCTTCGTCTGGGGGTGCTTGTTCAATGTATTCAATATGTGAACTTGTACCTATTGTTTGGGAAACATTCAAATATTGTGAATTGACTGGGGCTGCGAACTGGGATGTGCTTGCCAGCAAAGGTGGCGGCAATATCTCCTGCAAGTTATTATCGGACTCTGTGGAGGAACGGAGGAAGGTCAGGTTCCCTTGTGCTGCTCTGTTGCGGCCATCAGTCACAAGTTGACCATCAACAAAAACATGTGCGGCAATGGCTTCGTCGTCATTCGTTACAGCCATCGGCGCAGTTGATGAGCTGTCAAGACGGAGTGGTCTCGGCGGCTTCATTGGCACGATTCTTCCCCCAGCCGTGACTCGCTGGTGTTTGGGGGAACTGTGCCTTTTTAGGAATTGAGCAAACCCTGCATCACTCGTGGAGAACAAAGGCTCGGATGGTTTCTTGCTGATACGATTCGGGCGATTCTTGGAGGTTTTCGATACTGGGTTTCTGTTCGGTCGCGATGACCTGGCTGACTCTCTGTTCGGCCGGTTTCTTGGATTTTCTGAAAGAATAGGCTTCTTGATTCGTCCAGGACGTGATATTCTACCTATATTGATGGTCAGCATGGCCATTTTTCATTGGGCTGTGCAGAGACAATGGATCCTGAGACCCATGGCAGCTCTGATCGATCTACTGGAACGAAGTTCACACCGGCAACCCAATGAGATCTCCATCCTTTGGGGGAGATCATTGAAGATCAAAAGCATCATCAAAAGGAAACTCACAGTGTCTTGCTTGACTGGTCCACTTGCAGTGTACACCTGTGTCCTGGCACAATCCCAACAGTGTTGGCAGGTTATACCTCATTTTGTTCATGGGGATGGAATGTTTACCTTTCGAGAACAATGGAAACAAATGGATTTGATGAAAAGTAAGGGTTAAATTGATTTGGGTGGAAGGTACAGGATCATTGGAGAAGGAACGAGGGCTCGAGGCTATTCAGAGATCAGGGTCACGAGATATAGCCAACAATAGACGCGTTTGATAGTCCAGCACGCGTCTATGTTGAACCAATAGCTCTCAACAGCGATACTCGAGAAAAACAGAGCCAGAAGACATCAACGTCGAAAAAAAGGAAAGATGTCTTGTCGAAAAATACGGCCACGACATAACACGATCTATACACCTGCATGTGGCTAACGACGACATAATTCAATTCTCGGCGACGACATAATACGATTTATACACTCTCTCGGATTTCCACAGCTTGGACACCACTGTGTACACGCCAATCTTCTTCGTGATCCTCAAAAGGCGACCTCACTCCCATGTCAGCGGACTGGTTATTCTCATTCTCTTTCTTCCCCTGCCCCATCTCCCAGCTTCCAGTGCGTTCTTGACCCTGTACAGCAACTCCAACACCAGCGGCAATGCCACTAGATGGTTGAGTATCGTCAGTCTTGGAGTTTCCCCAGATCGGTTCACCGAACGACACATCGGTATCACTGGCAAGTTTACCAGAGCCTTTGAAACCCCCAAGACTTCCTTTGCTGGGCTTGCCCTTGCGCGCACTACACATGAGGAACGCAATGACTGCTGTGAATCCAACAACAGCCAGTGTTGTAACAGCACCGATGACTCCGGCTACAGCGGGAGCCATCTCTTTGTTCTTCTTCCATGGCTGAGATCCACTCTGGTCTAACACTCCATTGCAGAACACAGTTTCGGCGTTACAGCGGAGGCACCATTCCTGTGTTGAGGCCATGGCAAACGTTTCCAATTTGGAGCGGAACTCAGTATATGGGATTGAGGCTTGACTGGGACTGTGCCCAAAGAGGGAATATGGTTGGAAGTCGGTGGTGTTGTCGGTCCCATTGTGAAGCAAGAATCTCACATACAAATTGTCGATACCAGGGTATGATGGATACAAGTTGCTTCTGTTCTCGAAGCTGTACAGTTCGAACACAAACGAGCCACCTCGTACCAGGCGGGAGGAGAAGTTGGGCTGGTGCTGGTTTGCAAGTCCCATCACAGACGACAGAGCAACAGATGGCTCATCACCACCGAACAGCAGGGTCATCTTCTGCCTGGTGCCACTTTCCCGGACATTCAGATCAAAGGCTTCTAAAATGCTTGATGCCAATGTCTGTCCCGCAATTGGACTGGCTAGTCCGATCACAGACCCGCTGGAGGATGATTGCTCACTGTTTGTACTCCATAGATACTGGTCCGCTAACGAGTGGGCACGAAGGATGTCGGCGTGATTCAGACTTTCGAACAAACTGTCATTGTGCACAGCTTGATAATCCAAATATTCCGAGATTGAAACGGCATTCGTGTAAGTTGCGGATGATTCATCATAGACTTCAGACAATGCCAGTTTCCACAGTTTCCTGTAAAAGGCTTCTGTATCTCGTGTGATATCCTGGACTTCGTCGCTGACACGGTATTCGCCCTCGGCGGCATGATACATGTCACACTTGGCGTGCCCTTCAACCAAAACAGACTGAGGGTCTGCCTCGCCAACCGTGACAATCCGAGGATATTGATATCCATTCAATGGCGCCTGTGCAAACGATCCATTCGCAATCTGGCTACCCGGTATGTTCATTGAGCCGAGTGGTGGGTATAGACCCTGCATGAATGCTTGGGCTGATCCAACAATGTTCTGACCCGTTGTCGAGAGCACATCCACGTCATTTGAGTCCAAAATGATCGGGGATATATTCTGGATTCCAGTCTCAGAGCCTGCGGGTGTTGATACATAACGAGACCGGAAATCCGATGCTGCTGCGGCGAGTTCGTTGGCTCCGTAGTCAGTCAAGGTCCGAGAGCTGGTGAGCGCACCGGGCTTGCTGTCTCCATAGACGGTAAATGCAAACACTCCCCACACTTTCTTGGAGGGGTCGGAATCTTGAGCTGAAACCATTGCCGGGCCCTGCAGGGCCAGGAGAGCGATAGGTAGGCCGTACATCAACATGGTCTTCCAAGCATCGAAGAACAGCAAGCCTTGACTGGATTAATTGACTTGTTCTACAAATTACGGGGACAACCTCTGTAATAAAGAAACTTGGCCTCTATGGTCCGGGCCTCAAATGGTAATTAGGGCTACCCGGATATCAAGGACCCAGCGATGAGATATCCGCTTTCGGGTACCGGTACTACCTAGGTACTTACTAGAAGTAGAAATACTGGCTTTCTATTCGTGGAAGTCAAAACTCACGGCACTGTAACTTTCGGGTGCCTCGGATGGTGGGGATAAGCTGAATCTTGACGACATTAAGCGTAGAAATTAATTCCAAAGTTTGTCAATAGGAAAAAGAAAAACACATAAGTGATCAAAAAGGATATTCGAGGGCCTGTAGGAGCTAAACGCACCCAATAGATGTCGGCGAGGCTCAATATCAGAAGTCAAATATGTACAATATATACTACTCAGGGGGATGACTTCATTCGATTTATAGTTTTAGAAAAGTATCATGACCCAATCTTCCACGGTTGGATTCTTATGTGGATATTCACCACGGCTCGATTTGATAAATTGACATTTCTCATAGGGCTAATAAACTCAAGGTTGCACACGATTCATACTTAGGTGAGATAGAATTGATGACGCGCACAAATTATCCGCGCAGAGTTCATAGAATTTCTGTACATATATCAATATACCTATATCTTCTAATAATTAAATAGATTAGTAAATTGACAGGATGTCCACAAAACAAAATTCAGCACATAGCCGTTTCAGGGCTACATGTAGGCGTCATCAAACCGCCAAATGGTACCTGACACGCTAGTCTTAAAACGGCTCCTGCCCCTGGATGTAGGTACCTGTCAACCTATAATATAGGTTCCATAGGTTCCTGAATATGTGATGATATCTACATATGTAGGACAAGCCAATCCAAAGGCCAGAAAATTACATATGTAGCCCTGGAGTTTACAGAGCGAAAATCTGACCCACCCTCAGTGACCTCGGATATCGATCCTGATGTTCTGTCAGGACAGGGATGATGACGCTGTCAATTGGATACTCAAATGAGGTTCATGTAGAGAAGTAACTGCTACTTAATGGAACAATTGTTGGGTCGGTAATGGTATGATTATCCTTGAACTATCTTAATATTCTGCTACTATGGATATTTCTTCCGCAAGTAGGTCTTTGCATCACACCGCCTATGCTTTGGCAGAACACCGGAAAATCTCCATAGTCACGGGTTATCGTAGATCTGATAAATGATAAGAAATAAGATTTCCCCGGATTCAACAGCCAAAGTGTAATTACTAGAGACAGGTTTCGTGCCAGGTATATAAGCTGTAGAAAGGTGGGCAGTAGGTATTCTACATAAGTTAATGGTGGTACATTTCTACTGGTGCGCGAGAGACCAAAAATATTTACGAATTATGTACCTTCTGTATGGTACACACACGGAAAGGATACTTGTGTACTGACCACATAAAAACACGCACAATTAAAATATCAGCCACGCACTCTTCATCAAACTCTGCTTCTCTCCTCTCCATCTACCTCACTCCTCATTAAACCCCACGCACAATTTTCTCCAAACCCACGCATCCACCCATCTTCCCCGAAATATCACCGCCCGGCAGAAAAATCATCTTTTCGCTCCTCCATCCTTCTTCCGCAAGCCCTACAAATGCGCCCTACCCCTAAGCCCTCATTTCTGCTCTCGGAAGTTGATATCCCGACCCCAGGCAGGCGCTTTGTCCAAATGGTCGAGACTCGAGGCGCGCGGCCATCCTTCGATGGCCAGGAAACATCTGATTTTCCTCCCTTCCCTTCTGACGGAGGTGACATTGGTAAGTGTTCTCTTCAAGCGCCTCATCCGATCGTCCCGTTCACCAGCCTCGACCACTCCTCACCCTACATATCACCCTCACCACCAATGAACCTCAATGTAACCTTGGAATCAATACTCACAATTTAAATCTGTATCATAGACCAAAAATTGCCCCATTCCCTCGATGATGAGGAACATGGCTCGCCTCCGGCTGCCAAAAAGCGCCGTACAGACGATGGCCCCGACGGTGATATCTCTCTGTCCAACGAAGCCATCTTGATGGCCGATCAGCATGGCCCTGGTCACAAAATCGAAGAGGAATTGGCCTCGGCTCTCGGCGAAGGCGTTATTGACACCGTCGAGCAAACCGATCATAATGTAAACCAATCTCTTCAGCATGGCACTCATGACACCCATGATACCCCTACCGGAGTCGCGACCACCCAGGACGGTACTTCTGACCTCAACAACGACGTTGCCACAATTATCTCCGAGATCATGGATCACACAGAGCGCCAGGAGCAGACCGTTGCAATGGGACCTCAAGAACTACCACCGTCGAACGATTTCCCCGGAGCCAGAGGGTTTGCTTTCCTCAAGGCCAACTCTCACCTCAAGATTCAGAGTCTCCCTATCCTGGATAATCTCGTGAGTAGAATTGATATTGTTTACGTGATCTCAGTCTCCTAACATTTGCCCAATCACTTTTTAGTCCACGCAAATCTTATCGTTCCTTTCCAAGAACACCTACCAAGACCTCACTGCTATGGTGTCCGAACCTGACTCCGAAAATGGCCAAGCATATGCCACCATGCGCTCCTTGTTCGATCACACAAAGCGAGTCTACACCGTCAAGCACTCATTCCTTCAGCCTACGGACCTTGAAATCACAGACCCTTCTCAAGTTGATGTCATTCGCAAAGCGAACTTAGCATCTTTTGTCTCAAGTATCTTCGGATCTCAGGAAATTGGATTTGCGGACCTCAACGATCATTTCCTAGATGTGTTTGTTCCTGAAGGCGGTCGTTTACTGAAGGTCCAAGGTGCTTTGTACCTCGAACTCAAGACGCAGGCTTTCATCGCAGCCATGCATAACAAATCTCTCACCCGCACGCAGCTCCTCTACAATCTGTTCCCGGATGATATGGAACAGCGGTTACTGGCAAGACGTCCTGGCACCCGACAGCTGGCACCATCTGAAACGGATTTCGTGAATCGCCTCACCTCTCGCCGTGACATCCTTCTCAATGAGATCAACAACGAGGAAGCGCTGAATGCCCTGCCGGACAAGTACCACTGGGAAGATTTCCTCCGAGATCTTAGCTCGTACATTTCGAAGAACTTTGACGCCATTAATACTCAACAGGTTCGTTTGTTGCGTTTATGTTTTCTCAAATGTTGTGCTTGTGCTAATATCATCTAGGGAAAGAAGGCTGTCAAGGGACGACAACCTTCAAGTTCAAATGGCGATGCTCATGAGTCACCCAACACCACCCACCAGGGTCAATTCTCACTCAACCAACAAGTTGAAGTCCCGGTGGATCGAAACATGCATGGTGACCTTGTCGCGCGTGCTGCCCGAGCTGCCCAGATTGCCCTACAGGGCCATGGCCTCCGACGCTCCCAGCAGCAGTCGCAACAACAGCATCAACAACAGCCCCAACAGACCCAGTCTCAGGCTAGTCCGTCGCCTCTACCGCAGCAACCCCAGCATCAACAGCCGCCGCCGCCTCCACAACAGCATCAACCGCAACAGCAACAGCAACAGCAGCAGACGAGCCAAACCGAGAACCAGTATCTTCATGGCTACACCGCTGCTCAACAACCGCAGCCAGCTCACCAACAATATCATCATAGTCCCACCCCCCCTGGAGGCTATCAGACACAGCAGGCCTCCCCGATGACTTTCCAGCAGAGCCCGTTACAGGCCACTTTCCAGCAATACAACCCCAATGCAGCGCAAGCTATGCAAGCCAGAGCGAATGGCATGTCCTCCAACCATGGATACATGCCGGGGATCCCCCATTACTCTCAGTCACAGCCCACTCAGGTTCTCTACGAGCGTGCACGAATGGCTGCATCCGCCAAGTCTTCTCCAACTAGCCGCAAATCTGGCCTTCCCAGTCAACGTCGGCCCTGGACCACCGAAGAAGAGAATGCGCTGATGGCCGGCTTGGACCGCGTTAAGGGCCCCCACTGGAGTCAGATTCTTGCTATGTTTGGACCCGGTGGAACGATCAGTGAAGCTCTCAAAGATCGCAACCAGGTACAGCTGAAAGACAAGGCTCGCAACTTGAAGCTCTTCTTCTTGAAGAGTGGAATTGAGGTACCATACTACCTGAAGTTCGTCACTGGTGAATTGAAAACCCGCGCTCCCGCCCAGGCAGCTAAGCGGGAAGCCCGCGAGAGACAGAAAAAGCAGGGCGAAGAAGACAAGGCTCATGTGGAAGGAATTAAGGGTATGATGGCCCTTGCTGGAGCTCATGGGGCACCTGTGTCGGGCCATGATATGTCCGCCTCGCCTAGCCTTCCTCCAGATGCCAACAGTCAATCCGTGTTTGATCAAACCGCGGAACAAAACCTCATGCAGACTCTGAGCCAGGAGGTACACGGAAGTCAGTACCCTCAGCATGCTCAGCAAACTCCTGACCACATCGATCCTCACATGCAGTTGGGTCAGTAGAGGATTGTCATATGCAACCATTTATTTGAATTAGCTTTTTGTCCGCAAGCTTCTGAGCTTCGGATTTGCAGTTTTGTTTCGGAGTCTAGGGCTGGATTGAGATTTGTTCCTTCGGGGACCACATTTGTTTTACTATGGGATTGCGATATTGCGCCGGATTGGGTTGCTTTTATTTGCATTCCAAGTGTATGAGTACATAGTGATAGGTTCAAAATGAATAATGAAAAAAGAAGCACTCTTCTATATAGATGTACATAGTAGCCCTGGGAAAAGCCCCCGAGGTCCACCTAGAGATGGTCCGTGCACTACCCGTGTGACTTTGAATCTCCCTATAAACGAACGTATAACCGCCATTGATTGGCCTTGTACTTGGAAGTCAGCCCAGTCTCAATTGAAGGATACTTGCAGGGGTTTTCCACCGATATTTGCCCACCATGGCCGACTCTCAAACGTCGCAACCTCCCCAACCCACACCTCAGAACGGATCACAAGAACATCTCCCTCCGTCCGAATCAGAAGATCACATCAAAACCGAACCTGATCTTGATGCTTCCATCGAAAAAGACGTCGAGATGAACACTGATAGCCAGACCGGAGCGAACGCAAACGCCGCGCCTGGCCAAGATCCCATGGCTCCCGCGCCAGAACCCTCCAAGAAGGAAACAAGTTTGCGCGAGTTCCTCGGCAAGATGGACGACTATGCTCCAATTGTAAGTCATCTCTGAAACAAGCCTGTAACCTCTCTAAGCTTCCCCTGATGGCCGGTCACACGGTGGACCATATCCCCGGCACCATGCGATTTACCCCAAGATTTTTGCCCAAGCATGTGAAAGCAAGACCCAGACACGATATCCATCAGATGACCGAAGGAAAAGTAAAGGAAAAACTAACCCTCGATCTCCAGATTCCCGACGCAGTCACAGCCCACTACCTCACCCTCGCCGGTCTCCCACCACCAGGCACAGGGCCCGGCCAAACCCCACCTCACCTCGCGCGACTCCTAGCACTCGCCGCGCAAAAGTTCGTCTCAGACATCGCAGCAGACTCGTACCAGTTTGCCCGCATCCGCGCCTCAAACAGCTCCTCCGCAAATAACCCCATCGGCAGTCTAGCAGCTGCAGCTGGTATCGGTGCTCCGGCCGGCGCAGGTGCCCCAGCTCCTGGCGGCGATAGCGGGAAGGGTAGCAAAGCCGGTACTCATCTCGGTATCCAGAGGCCTGGATTTGGAGGTGGTGGTTCCGGTGGTTCTGGTCAGGGACGCACGGTGTTAACCATGGAGGACCTTGGAATGGCAGTTTCGGAATATGGGGTCAGCGTGAAGCGAGGCGAGTTCTACAGGTAGTACGGTAATACAAACGGGGGAAAGGGGGGTCGTTGTTTGTGGCCTTTATATTTGCACTTTTTCCCATCATTTGTCATTTGCGTTTTGAGGGATGGCGTTTAGGTGTGCAAATGGTCTTAAGTGACCCTGGGATCATGACTGCATTGTTAGTCTGGGCTGGTGGCTGGGCGGATCCAATGGATGGCGTTTTCTTTTTAATTTTGATTTGTTACTAGAAACTATGTATGCAATGCTACAGGTACTAGTGATGGAATGATATGAACATTTCCCATGTGTTGCTGGCTTGGAAATGTGCATTAGGATCCGTAGGAACACGGCATATCGAACTAGGAGCAGTGGTCAACAGGGCATTGACATATTTGCCTTCTATATAGGTTCTATATAGGTTCTATATTTGGGTATTGTATACTTGTCGCATTGCACTTTACAATTTGCAGCTTGCACCTAGGAAAACGACGAATGTATATTGAACTCCGACCCAAAAGCAGCTAATGTCACATGGACCCCAACGATATATCTGTACATAGTGTGGCAAAATAAAGAGATGCAATGCAGCTCTCCCAGCGCAAGAGGTATCCGCACTAGGCAATTATGCGAATCGTTTATTTGTTCTTAGACTGCTTGTATGTGAAGCGCTTGCGGGTCCTACGGAGCAAACGGAATGTTAGTAACTAAACACATCACACCGAACCTGCCCGTCATGCTCATGCTGAATGGCGTAGGAAAATGTATACATACGCAACATATTCTCCAAGCTTCCGTCCAACCATCTCCTCTGTCACCTGGATCTCGACGTATGTCTTGCCATTGTGAACAGCAAAGCGCAGACCGACAAAGTTGGGGAGGATGGTTGCGGCGCGTTTCGTGGTGCGGATCGGGGGTGTGTTGGGCGGAGGGGGGAAGGTGCGTGGGAGAGGGAGGCTGTTTTGGATTATCGAGTCAGTTATTTGTTCCGGTTTGAGATAGGCCCATTGTAAGAAGATTTTCTAGATTCGAAGGTAGGGCGGGCTTGGTTTCTATTCGGCATTGGATGTCACGTACGGGACGATGTTTGGGCCTGTTGTAAGTGTTAGCGTGTGGTTTCTTGGTAATTTATCCTGGAATTGAGATCTTCCAGATCTGACAAGACTCACCTTTCCAGACCGACCGGCCGAAAAGGGCGCGTGTGGGGAACATTTTGACTTGAGGGTTTCCGCAGCTGCGATTCCGCGATGTTGAAGATCGATGTCGAAGTCTCGGCGGGATTATGTCAGCAATTTTATATGGCGTTCAAATACTAAAAGAATGAACCCAATAAATTGGCCGATAAATGAAGATATGATCTAGCTAATTGAAAATAAACTAAATCAAACAAAAACTGCATGATAGTAGTGCCCCCAACGGTCGCCAGCAACTGTGGGCACATACAATTCTATACTCCATTTCACTCTGTCAATTCCCCAAAGACCTTGACGAGGCTGCGCACACCTCTGAGAAGATTCTCATCCGGGCCCTGTCCAGGGGTCCAACTGGCATGTGCGAAATCAATCACACGGAGGGCGTGGACTTTAGGAGTTTCGTCCTCCTCGTCATCGTCTTCCTCGGGCATCTGCATGGTTTCGGGATTAATGTTGATATTGATAGCCTGTTGAGGCATCCCATCAGCAAGCTGGACATTGACCATCTCCAAGGCTTCCTCGGGAATTTCAAATTCCTCATCCTCATCTTCTTCTTCTTCTTCTTCCCGAGAATGGGGTGCTGGGGCTTTCTGCTCCTCCTCAATCGCGTGCTCCATCGCTTCGATATCTCCTTCGTAGACCACTAGCACACTCGCAGAGTACATCCGACTCTCTTCAGATTCAAGAACCCGCTGTAGATTTTTCAATTCCTCCGCCACGCGCTGAGCGACCATCTTTGATCGGTCTATCCTACCCGCCTTTGCGCCAGCAAGGAAAGTTTCAAACCCTTGCTTGACATTATGCTCATTGAAAGAGCGGCCATACCACTTGTCAAACCGCCGATAGCCATCTTTCTCGATGACTTCGCCCTTTTCACCCTCTGCGCCCTCGTATTTTGTAGCATACGGATCTGTCCGGTCGCCCTCATCAGTCTCCCCATCGTGGCCAGTCCAAACCTTCATTCCCGCAATGCGATATCCAAGGCTAGAGCTGGTAGTTTCCTTAGAGACATCATCAAGCTTATTCCGTTTCTCGAGCGGGGCATCGTCGGCCCATAAACGCGCGCCGAGCTTAACGTCCAGCACGTTCGGCCGACGGAACCCACAGGCGATGTTCTCCAGCACGATCGACAAGCTAGAATCAATTTTCTTGCCTCCGGAGGGTACCCATGCTGATTCCTCCTTGGCAGGCGCAGCGCCGTCTTCGGGGGTGGAGGTGGAGGCTGTATGGGATGAAGGTTGGCTAGGTAGGGAGGAATCGGTAGAAACGTCGCCAGACTCAGGGAGGGGAAGGGCGCCATGTTCTCGGGCGGCAGCGATCACCAGCGGTTGCTGTTGCTCGGAAGATGAGAGGGATCCGAAGTAGAGGGGCATAAACTCCTGGAATGCGGGGTGGAGCGCGCTGGATTCGTAGAATTCTACCTCCTGTCGCGTGCATGGTTTCGCGATCAGGGCGCCGGAGGGCGTACAGCGAACACCATCGCTGGAGAGAAATATCTTGTTAGTATGGTCATAGATGTGATATCGTACTCAAAGTCCGCCAAGTGTTGGTTTTTCTTCTGCGCACCGGGTTGGGTAATGCGGGACGTTGCGCCAGGAACAGAGCGGGAGTGTGAAACTTACTGTCCTGCAGCAGCATGGTCAAAAGGGACTAGGTCCTCGCTGCCTAGTTGGTGTGTCTTTCGACTTTCTAAGTTTGAGGGCATTTTGATACGACTCGGCTTGAAGTCTGTATTTCCCAAACAAGTGGAATAGACTTGAGATAAGCACGTGCACAGGTAGACTCTCGAGCTCAACAAAGAGAGTTGAATTTCAATGTCAATTTGAAAATAAGAAGTGAGTTAGGTGAAAGAGGCCGACATCACAGCCGAAACGGAGATGAGGGGGCGATGTCATTTTTGGCCCTAACTGCATATCTATACCCATCTATACAACTCGTGAAGTTCAATGTTATTCAACGCCAGATTTTTAGTTGAGTTTAGTTTTCCTTTCTATTTGAGGTACAACTTAATTAATTTATGAATCTGCTTAAGTGAAAGAGACATAAATTATGGGTTTGGTTTGATCTCATTGTCATCCGGCAGCATCACGACTAAGCAATTGATTCCACCTGGGCAACCTTGGAAGTTCCCTAGGGACCCTCCAAGATTGCCTATTTAGTCTCTCTCTGTTTTGTTCTTTGCTTCTCTCCTTCATTGGTTCCGCGACAAGACGTCATTCTTTCAAACATCACCTTCATTCATGGATGATAATCTTGATCCCGCAGGGGAAGACAATTTGTCTACTGAAGCTACTCAAACACCGGAGTCTATTGGCTCTCAGGAGATTATGAAGCCTATTGAATCCATGGCGACTGACGACGGTGCCTCTGTTCACCTTGGCCCCACCGACCCGGACCAAGTGCATATCGAAGCTACCGAGGGAGAATCTTCTACGCCGCAACTGGATTCCAAGCTGAATCGATCATCTGCTAGGCCTAAGGCTGCTCATGTTCATTTCCTTGACCCGGCTGAGCTAGAAAGGTTGAAGGTTGCATCCAATGATGTGAGTGTCCCGACTCGGTCTGACCAGGTCCCAATCACTTTGGTGTCCCAAATAAAATATCACGCTAACAGTAGGTTGAAGATGAGGGAGCCTTACAAGAATATTTCGGAGGTTCTAGCTGAAGCTGGGGTCCTTCTCGAAGCAACTGGTCCTTCTGCCGTTACTAAACAGCCAGAGAGCACTACTGACACCTCGGATGTGAACGACGATGCAGTCTCGGAAAAAGCGTCCAAGGTTGGATTCAAGCATGATCCAAACGAGGAAAGGGTTCTCGCGAACGTGGAACTGGACGTTAGTCGTTCAAAGAAAAAGAAGAATAAGAGACGCCCCAAGAGTCAGAGGGGAGAGGTAAGACTGTGATACTGATGCTTACCCGCTCAGATTTTGTCTAACAGTCTATAGAACGCGCCCTCTGGATTCGAACCTTTCTATGCTGATGCACCAATCACCCCAGCGGAGTTCGAGGAGAACAAAGCGATCTATGATCCGTACGTACATTTATACCCACCCCCATATGAGACAGTATCTCACTCTTTATGACAGTACTTTGCCTATTCTTGAGTAAGGTTCCTGAATCTTATCTATGACATAACGCCTACTAATATAATCCATCTAGTCGAATTGACGAGGGCATCAAGCGCTTCTTGTACAAGCGACGTCTTGAGCCCTACAGACGCAAGGTTTTTCTCAAGTATCTGCAGTATGGCGGTGTCAGCGTGGGTCCCAATCATTCTCAGGGAGTGACTCCTTCGGAATTGAAGGAAATGACCAAAGAGGAGGCAATGCAAGCCCGCTGCACCACGGCCATCTTTCCCAAGAGAGGAAAGCCATACCCAATTCAGTTTAACGATGTTGCCACTGGCTACCTGTGAGTATCAAACCATCTGAACACTTATTTAAAGTCACACATGCTAACTTGTTGATAGGACCGGGTACTACATGGGTTATTACAACCCTGATACCGAGGAGGAGATCAAGATCTGTACTGATACAATGAAGAATTTCTTCTCGTACCTACTTTATCACGATGTTTGCCCCGAGCATAAGGAGGACATCGAGGAGGCCCGGAAGACTTGCGATCGTGCTGCCAAAGAATTGTGGATGAACCAACAACTTGTCCATCATTCAGGCCCCGGGGACTTCAATCGCGGCTGCTCCATGCTGTTTGGCGGATACTACTTCGAGGATGTGGATGACCCTGATGCTTGGACCAATGTTCGACACGCTGATCAAAAGGCCTTCACCACTGACATTGCTCGCAAGATCGTCAAATACGCCATTGCAATTACCGAAAATGATCGTACTGCTCGCAAATTCAAGATCCTCGCCGACATGGACTTGATCGAAGCCAATCAGGTCCAAGACATCGATGGATTCGAGGTGATCTCTATGGAGGCCCCTACCGAGGAAACCATTGCATACTACAAGGAGCTGGGCCCCGATCTCGTTCCAGTGGGCAAGGTTCGAGCCAAGGAATTCCGTGACCCCGCCAGAGGTCCCTATGACCTCGCTCCCTGGGAAAAGATCGACTGGGATGCTGGCTTTGCCCCAGCCTACGAGTTCGAATTTCTCCTCGAAGCCGATTTCTTCGTCAATCTGTTGCCCGGCATGAAGATCATCACGACCGTATATGAGACCAACTTCGGACAGTACTACTTCGATGAAATCCTGTCGGTCCTACCAACCTTTTACAAGTTCATGTACAATGACTGGATGATGGACTACGTGGAGCCCGCGCCCATTAACTTCATCCCCGACGAGGAGGAAATTGCACGCCGCCGGGCAAAGGATTCTATCATTGAGCCTCTTGAGCCCACCCCAGCTGAGTGGGCTATGCACATGTTGACCTACGAGCTGGACTTCATAGTCAAGCCGGATGATCATCCCATGAAAGCCATTTGGGAATTTATCCATGCCCTTCAGACCTTTGGCTGGGACATGGAGGAAATCAAAAGGTTGATGGGCTTACCCAAGGATCCGTATCCGGAGAGAGGCAGGCGATGCATGCGCCAGGGAGAGCCACGCCCCATCCGCCTTAGCAACGAGGATCGTAACATTCCGTTTGACGAGACCCCTTTCCAGCGACTTAATCGGATTCTCGGATATTACAAAAATCCTGAAAGAATCAAGCCTGTTTTCGACCCGGAGATTATGGCGAAGGCTCTCAAGCACAGAAAGAAGCAGATTGACAAGCAGGTCAAGGAAGCCATCCAGATTGCGGAGGCTCTCCGCGAGCACAAGAAGGAGATTGAAAAGGAACAGACCAAGGTAGAAGCCCACATTGCAAAGCTTCTCAAGGAGCAAAAAGAGAAGATAGAAATGCAGGTCAAGCAAGCTGCCGAGGCTGCAAAGGAACAAGCCGAGCTAGCAGCCCAGACTGCGAAGGAGCTGGGGCCCGAGGGACAGCCCATTTCAGTACCTACAGACAGCCAGGCAACCCATATTTCGGGTGAACAGGAGGTTGTGAAGAAGGAGAAACCTGAGGGAGAGCTCAGCCAAGAACCGACAGACGACCTCGCAGCCCAGACTTCGAGTGAGGAGGAAATTGTGAAGACCCAGGGGGCCGAGGGACAGCCCAGCCAGGGACCAACCGAGACATCGAAGGAGGCTGTTGAGAAGGACGAGAAAACTAGGGGTGAACTGGAGGGAGAAGATCAATGACTGAATTGTCGCTAGGTGCAGCTATCTGGTTACTACGTGATCAGTCTGCTGCAAATCTGCCGGGAATATTTCTAAACACACTTTTACTCAAATGCTGAAGCAGAAATAAAACCCATATGAATATCCAAGAAATATGCAAACCCTTGAATCGTAGTCTTACATTATCTACAGATCATAATGTGTTTGTATTGTTTAAAAGATGACGTCGTGCTTCAAGGCTTCACGAGTGGCTTTCCCATCGTCTTCCGCCCTTCAAGGTCCTGTCGAACGGGTTAGAATACACAGTACAGTTTCGTGCAAGTAACAACAGAGGCTACATACCTTGTGCACCTGAGTAATGTCCTCTAGCGGATAGATTTTGTGGATCTTGGTCTTGAGCTGACCAGACTTCAACAGGCCAAACAGCTCATTGCTGTAGGACTCAAATTCTTCACGGGTCTGAATGTATCCGAAGAGCGACGGGCGAGCAACCTTGACACACTTGGGGGTAAGTTTCCTATTCAAGTATCATCAGTATCCCTAGTCAAGTCCAATATAGAGAGGGAAAGGCCTTACGCAAGAGGAAGCGGAGGCACAGGACCGCTAGCATTGCCGAACCAAACGATAGTACCCTTGCGCTTGACAGCCTCCAAGCTTCCCTCCCAGGTATCTTTGCCGACAGAGTCATAGACAACATCGACACCACGACCACCAGTAATTTCCTTGACCTTCTTAACCCAGTCCTTATCCTCCTCACTGCGGTAATCAATCACCACATCAGCACCGAGGCTCTTCACAAGTGCACACTTCTCCGCGCCGCCGGCGGTACCAATAACCTTGGCACCCATACTCTTCAGAATCTGCGTCATAAGGAAGCCGGCACCACCAGCCGCAGCGTGGAGAAGAACCCAATCGCCTTTCTGCACGGGATAAGTCTCCTTTGCGAAAGCAAGCACTGTCATACCGCTCAGGAACGACGCCATGACATCCTCATCACTGATTCCCTCGGGGATCTTCACAGTGTAGGTCGCCGGCGCTGCGGTATACTCCGCATACCCGCCATTAGCCAGCCATGCAACCCTATCGCCGACCTCGAAGCCAGAAGTCTCGGGACCGACAGCGGCGACGGTACCGGCGCCCTCGCGGCCCAAGATCTCGGGCTTAGGCGAGGCGTACAGGCCTGTTCGGAAGTAGGTGTCGATGTAGTTTATGCCAGAAATGTTGTTGCGCACTAGCAGCTGTCCTGCTTGTGGGGTAGGGACTGGGTGTGAAGTCTTGTATTGCAGCACTTCCGGGCCGCCGGTCTGCTCGACCACTACGGCCTTCATGGTTGTTGGGATGGACATGCTGCGGATTGGAATGAATTAGTTCAGTGGAGGGACAATGTGATTGCGAACTGTGAGTCGACTACTGCGTAAAAGAGATCGAAACATCTTAAGTAGGTGGGGGATGTAGGGGAGATAAAAAGGCCGTCACATTTGTCATCGATCCCCGCAATCCATCCCCACAGTCCGGCGGAATTGTTGCGCTTCTTTTCTTTTTTCTCTTCTTTTTCTAAAAAACCCGCAACAAATTCCAATGATATATTAGCAGAGAACAGGTTGAATCTCATGTTTATACAGGTTCACTCCCTAAAAAAATCTCACATGATTAACATCTCGACTATTTCAAACATCTCACAGGGATATGACGCCATTACCGTCGGAACAAGGGTATACTTGCTATATTACACCGAACACAGCCCTGCAACACAGACTTTGCAAGAACAATGATATCCAACCGATTCAATGCCGCTATCTCTTCTCAGACAGGAGACTCATCTCACTCAGAACTCCTGGTTTGATCTGCCGCCATATTGGCGCTTCAGTTCTCCGTACTCCGAGATGCAAGCCACCCGGAGCCCCATGAGGGGCCAATGCATGTTGGCCTGCATGACAAGGGCGACATAGCGCCGACTTTGTATCATCTGCCGCTGACTGCATCACGAAACCTTGGAAGACAAGAGATCTCCCCGCTCCATACACTTTGCGACAACACGCAGGCCATTAGCCTCAGATCGGTTTGGTGTTTCCTAAACAGCCCCTGAGAAACTCGGGAGATTTTCATTTGTTGCCCAAAGATCCAGTGGTCTGATCTCGAAATAAATCGACCTGAAACGCAACGGCAGTACCCGGAAGGTTCCACTTCGTGCCCAATGATCAACAGGTCATAGCCACACCCCTTTGTGATGACGGTGACTCAACCATATGTTTCACGGTTTCCACTGCCTTGTGACTTCTCAGCCTGAAGCTATTCCTGTATTTTTGCTCTTGCCCAATCACTTAAAGGGCCTATCAGAGGTCCTTTCCCTCAGGGTGGTGCCCGATGCCATCCACCAATGCTTATATACCCTTGTCCTCCCGGCTCGCGCACGCGCTTTAAAGCGTGCATCTTTGTCTACTTTGAAAAAATTTCTCTCTCTTTCATACGTGACATAGTTTCTTCCCTGCAACTTTTTCACTTTCAAGTCCGACGATTTATACTATGAGCCACATTTCCCGAGCTATTCCACGAGACGTCAACGCACCAGGTTAACGTCACAAAACAAACATATTCCACCTTCTCTGCGTGGCCAAACCTATTTTTTTTTCTAGAGATGACTCACTCTCGCAGCTCTCGACGGGCGCGATCGCAATGGCCTCCAGCGCCCTGCGTTGAGGAAGAACCCCAGTCCCTCTCGAAGGAGCTAAACGGTCTCTCCAAGCTTGGAGATAAACCGGGGGTCGACGGTGTACATATAAGGGGGGCTGTCGATCAGTGTCCCATCATAGTCTCCGCCAACTCGTCTCCTTCATCGTCTACCTCCCCTGACAGTGCTCCCAGTGTGCCTGGTCTCGGGGGTGTATCTTCGGATGAAAGTGCAGGGCCAAGGACGCCGCCTGCTCAAGAGCCGATCTTTCGGAACACTGTCAGATTTGAGACGGATTATCGGCCGAAATATGCGCAGCTCTCAACTGCAAATCAACCACGCGGCCCGCCATTCCGGCCTCCGGCCCAGCAACAGCCCACCCCGATTAGTACACAGTGGGAACCCCGACCGCTTTCTCTTAACCGGGATGGCAATTCTAGCAGACACGGGTCGTCAATGCAAACGTCTCATGGCTCCCGTCGACCGAGTGTGCCGGATCGCGGTGGTGCCCGAGCCCCTGTGCACGACAAGACCCATCTACAACCACCCAAGCCTTCCATTGGCCGGTCCAACAGTGCAAGACATGCACCTTCAGCAACGCGTCCAATGCCAGAACGCTTTCGACGGGAGCCTAGCTTGGGGTATCTGTCAGATTCGGCCACCACGTGCAACAGACCACCCTCACAGCCCCAGGCCCCTGTGCCCACGGTTCCTGTATCAGCTCTAGCAAATGCGCCCACCCTCGCAGAGCGTATTGACGAGAAGCTTCGCCAGCGACAAGAACAGCGGGATCCGGGGTCTATGTCGGACCCGGAGATGCGGCAAATCCCCACAGCTGTAAGGCCCGTCAAACCAGTTCCTCTCGACATGTCTCTCCCCCCTCCGCCTCCTGCTCCTGCTCCTGCTTCAGCATCGCACTCACCTTCACGTGGGCCTCCACCTGTCCAGACACAACGAGCACAACAGGAAGTGCCCCCGGCCTCGCGTGCCCGCGCGACATCGGTGACAATGCCGCCTACCCGGTCGATGTCTGGATCTCGCCATCCCTCACAGTCAGCAACCGAGATGGTCAAATCTACATCAAACCAAGTCGCAACCCAACTCAACCCCGATAGGTCGCTAGCTCCTACCGCACCGACTCGAGCCCTAGACACATCACCCCAGCGCCCCGGTTCAGTGGGCTTGGGACTCTCTCCGTGCCCGCGAACCATCGCCGTATCAGGCTACCAAGATTGGTATACGCTTAAAGGCCTCACCCACCTGGACATTTGCCCGTCCTGCATGAGTCAAATCGCACACTCCCGCTACCGTGACTACTTCATCCCCAGCACCTCAAAGCCAGCCGGGCAAAAGACACGATGCGCCTTCGCTAATGCATGGACCCGTCTCGCCTGGGCTCAGATGATAAAAAAGCAACACGATAGCCTGGAGCTCCTGTACCAAATGACACGCCCACCACCGGGTACACGCGCCTGTCCCGGCCGCATCGTCGCCGAACAATACTGGTACCGCATCTACGACCCGGAAACCGGCGGCGACCTAGCTGGCTTTAACGTCTGCAACAGCTGCGCGCGCAACATCCGCATTTTAATGCCCAGCCACCGGGATACCTTCCAACCAAACCCAGACCCTGCCGAGAGAGTGTGCGACTTTGTGACCTCCAGTCCGCGATTCGTGAAATTCATCGATCTCCTCGATGGATCAGCTTCGCGCGCTGAATCGGACTCCTCGCGCACCCGCCGCCCGGATACGCGCGAGTTCCTCAACTACGCACGGCGCAAGGTCGTGCTGCGTGATTGTCGTCGCGATAGACCTGCTCTTAGTAGATGGCACTTTATCCCGTCGCTTCCGGAGATGTGCGTGTGCGAAGACTGCTATGATGAGGTTGTCTGGCCGCTAGCGAGATTGAATCATCCTATTGCGTGTATGGTCACGACGAAAATGCGAATATTGCCTGGCGATGGGCCTGGTCGGACCCGGGAGGCGAGTTGTCAGCTTTACTCCCCTCGTATGCGGGCGAAGTTCCGGGACGCGGTTGTTAGGGATGATTTTGGGTTGTTGAGGTCTATTGCGCAGAGGAGGGTTGAGGCTGAGAGGCGGTTCCTTGATCGGAGGGAGGAGTTGTTGGTTGCTCAGTCGAAGGGGTATGATTGTGACGAGGAAATGAGGAAGGCCGTTGATGAGTGGAGGAGGTGGGAATGATTATGGCTGATGGTTGTCTGTCTTGTTCGGTTTTGATTTCTGGAAAAATATGTATACTTGGGAGCATTGTGTACAATGATTGGAGGGAGTTTTGTTTTGTATTGTAGCATAGCATAGCATCCATAGCATATATAAAAGTCTACCTAGGTAGAACAGTCCTGTTACCCATCTCACTGACTTAACACCGGAATCTGCTAAAGTCCGTAACTAGTCCGTCGTCATATTTATAGTATTTATTTCTTACACTCATCACCGCTGGGGTTTCGACCTGTCCAATCTGAAGAAGAGGCCGAAGTTATCACTGGCCAAGGCGAGTGGGCTGCAGAGTTGGATTTGTCCCGCCGGCTGCAACAAACTGCGTTGGTGATATCGTTGGGACATGCCTATCATGATGATGTTGCAGGCTGGTTATGTGTCATCTTCTCGGTCGAGGTGGAAATGCTGAAGGTGGGTTTATTATATGAGGACCTCGGGAAACTGATAAACTTTATACCCAAAAAGACACCTGAAAAGATAAAAGCCGATGGCTAGTTCCATTTAGTAGTATGTCACCATAATAAGAGACTAGTGGAAAACCAGCTAGTAGGCGACATGCTATTGTACAAGCATAAACTACAATGAACAGACATCCGTAGAATGATTGATTGTATGTAATAACGAGCCACAACCCCATGCTAAGTGAAATCTAGATTCCCAACTCCATATCCGAAGAAAATATGCAAATATGTAATGCAAGCAAGAAAAAGATGCGATGCAAAGAGAACCACTAACCAACCAATCCAACCAGCTCCCCAGGCCAACGCTTCGCCCATATAATAGCACGCGGGGGCATTCTCCCACCAACAGGCGCAAGCACACGGATCGTTCCCTTGTTCGCGTCGACGTCGGCAACATATAAGAAGCCCATAATGCTGGCATCACGGACTTCAGCAGGGGACGCCGTGGTAGGCGCATGTGTGATTGCGAGGAGGGTATTTGCCAGAGCGGAGGGAGCGGGTGGAAGGACCTTTTTCAGGGGGACGCTGCTGCCGTTGTTGGCGTTGGCGTTGGAATTTGCGTTCTCGGCAGGCTCGGAGAATGAACCCACGACACCGGGGAGGGGGGCGGCGCGGTCCGGGTCTTGTTTTGTTTCTTGTGGCGCATAGTCATCCATGCCACCTCCTCCGGGGAGGAAGGAGTCGCCTGTTCCCAGTTGGGAAGGGTCGTACTCGTCTTCGTCTTCGTCATCTGCTGAGGAGACGGTATAGTTGTATACAGGGAGGGAGGCGAAGTCAAGTTGCTGTGCGTGGGGAGAAAGAGTGATGGCGGAAGAGGGCGAGGAGGAGGGGATGGGGTTGCCGAAGAAGTAGGAACGGATTTGGGATTCCCGTGTTGCCTTGCGGAAGGCATCGTCACGGTCGACACAGCCACCTGATTTGGACAGCTTAACAACGGAGATATGCTCGTCGAAGACAGCGGCTGTTGCGCTGGAGCTAGGCTTGTTGTCATATTGTCTGGCAACGGTGCTGTACAGGCGCTCCGAACCCAGGACCAGGATCGTTGTGATTGAGAACTCGGTGACAATATGATTAATGAGTTCCATGGTGCCTGGCTTGTCTGTGCCAAGGATTCCCGGTGTATCGACGATGATTCCTGTTTCGCGCGCATCCTCGTCTTCGGCCATCCGGCCCGTGACAGATAGGGCCAGACGCGAGACGACTGGTCGGTACACAACGCCTTCGCCATCCAGGGGGCTTTGCATCGGGTAGCTGTATACAAGCGGCAACTTGACAGGCACAGGGCTGGGGCCGGACATAGGACTGCTTCCCCAGCCATCTTCAACGTCCAAGATGGTACGGAAGGCAGTCGCCGTCAGTGTGCCAGGGACGCCAAGCATACCCTCCGTGGGGTCGAGGTTCACGACCAACGGCTGACGGCCGATCTTCGTCGCATAGGCGGTCAAGATCTTCGCCAAACTGGTCTTTCCGGTATTTTCAGAGCCGAGAAGGAGCACACGCGGGCCATCCTTGCCTATTGACTGGGCCTCTTCGCGCATTGTCTCCAGCGCAAAGTGAACGTTGGCATATTCTACCATTGGCGTCTCCTCAGCCATGTATTCGCTCTGACAGCCTCCTGCGCCGTGGCCCACCGTCGGGGTGACTCCATCAGAGGTTGTTGTCACTGTCTCGGCCGCCGTGACTTCAAGTGCACAGCCATGCCATGTGAAGATTGCCGCTTTCGTGCCAGTGAATGTGTAGGTTTGAGATTCGGCAAGCTCTGTGCCGAAGAGTTCCGCGGTTCCGTTGAGGAGCTGCACGACTCCGATCAGAAGGATGACAATCATATTAGAGAATATAACATACCTTTACTTTGATAATATGCCCAAAGGCGACCTCAAAGCGCCATTCCGAGCCTGGGGTTAGGCTGATCTGTGATGGTGGCGCGGGTGCCTGTGATCTTTCCTCCGATGGCTGCGTTAGCTCGAGACCCGGGAGCGACATGTTACTGGTCAATTCGAGAAGCCTCGAGATATGTGCAAATACGGAGAGGAGTGAAAGAAGTATTGGAATTGCTATCGGGGTGCGGAGCTTGAGATGTTTTACATGTTTGCATTACTTTACTTGGCCATCATTGGCTGATATGAATAACTACGACAGCTAGTTGTCGAGCCACATCTACACCATTTTCCAAGGTCTGTTCCCACTAGTGATTGCCTTCAATCCGTAAACCTCACTTCGGCCTTAGAGTAGCAAAAAGCACAAACATTACATTGCAAGTTTTTAATATGAACTATACCAAGATTGCATTAAATCAGTATACTGGTTATACCCTACAAGAAACGCGAACTGGTAACATTAAAGCATATCACTGTCATTAAGCGAATCATCCTTGACTACTCGGAAGGCTGGCACAGGGCAGTAGAAGGTGGGAGATAGGGAAGTTGGTATCAGGAGAGTAAGGGTAAGGGTCATAAAATGAGCTAGAGCCAATCCAAATAACCAAGTCTGGTGCAAAACACAGGGAGAGGGAAAGGGGATGGCAAGATATTAGAAATGGTGTCAATAACAGGCACAGGGCATTCAGGATCGCCGGCGAGGAATATATTTATGATAACGACAAGGGGAATTGGGCATCAGAAGCGAATATTTGGGTAGCTGGGCTGTCGCAAGCGACAGACGCCGAAAAGAAGAGACCAAAACTTCAGACAGACTGGACTTTGTCAAGCAAAACCTCATTCTGTTTAGAAAAAGTATGGAATGGAAGCCCTAGATACAATGTTAGCGTTGATTCAATCTTCGTAGCATAGAATGACTTACGCGAGGGCAAATGCCACAGAGACACCGAAGATAGAGCGGTTGCGGACACGCTCCTGCTTGAGCTTGTTCTCGAGCACCTTGGCTTTCTTGGCTCGCTGGGAAGATTCGGCCGATGTTTCTTCATCGTCATCCTCTGGCTTGCGCTTCTTGGTCACCTTGACAGATGTGGATTCTGGAGTAGCGCCCTCGGCTTGCGCTTTGATAGCCTCCTCCACCATGTCCTTAGCCTGAGCAATCATCTCGGCAGTCTCGGCAGCAGAGGGCACTTCTGGCAGACTGATAGGCATATCGAGGGAAACAGTAGTGTGAGTAGACTTGACAACATCGGTAGCATCGTCAGCCACTGCAACCTCAACTGTCTCCTCCTGTTCCTCCTTGATTTCTTCTTTCTTCTTCTCTTGCTTCTCGGCCTTCTTCTTTTCCTTCTTCTTCTCCTCCTTGGTTTCTTCTTCGGGCTCTGCGGTAGCAGATCTCGTTGACTTGCGCGCTCTGATATTCTTTCCAGGAGATCCGCTTGACTTCACTTCCGTCTCGGCATCCACAGCTGCCAGCTCAGGAATCGGGTTCGAGAACAGGGCTGAAGCTGTGTCCAATGCCGACTGAAGGCTAGCGTTTGCAGCTGTTGTAGACGGGGTGCTAGTGACATCCTTGGTGATGCGGGTGGTGCGGGACTTCCGAGGAGACGTCTTACTCGGAGAAGCGGACCGACCTCTGCGGTAGCGTTGCCGAATGGCCGGCTCACCGGCGGGAATTTCGAATTTCGGCGGGGGAGTGATCTGTTTCTTTGCGCTAGAAGGACTTTGGACAATGTCCGTTGGGTCCAAAAGTGCTCGCACCCACTCGTACATTTGGTATTCCTTGGCAAGCTCAAGGGCTAGGTATAAGGTCAGGATTTGTTTGACAGAGAGAACATCCCGGGCAGAACATACCAAACATGGGAGAGATCCACACATTGCCAGCAACTTCCTCTTCACTTGTGTACTCGCGAGCCTTCAGATACTCACGCTCTGTCCGCTCTTCATCGGCCTTGGCCCAGGGGAATGCAATTTTGAACATTCCAGTGGCACTGACAAACCCATCTTTACTACGGCGCTGTAATGATAAGGCTCGAAGTTAGTGACCGTTGGCTTCCAAATTAGATAAAACGGGCGGTCTCACCATCAAAAAGTAGCTTTCTGGGTGCTGCTGGGGGCTGTGGGAAGGGAAGATCTCAGAGCCCTCGAGGTCCTTGGGCAGCGGAGCACGAAGGTGGGCATACTCGAACACGCCTAGGTTCTCTGGCTTGGTTGCGTTTGAGGTGCCAATCTGGGCAGGCTTGACGGAGAGGTTTGTCTTCCCAAGACGACGGCGTGAAAGAAGCTCCTCGTCTGTAGCCAAGAGTAAAACGGAATTATTAGCGATAATCTCGAGGCATTGAGGGAGCACGAGGCGGCTAGATAGCCGATGCGCGCGGTCGCGCGCCCACTCGCCAGTGTTCAAACTTACAGCAGGGAGCAGCGTCGGGAAGGACGTGCGGATTAAACTGTTTGGGCAGTGTTCGCGACATAGTGGGGGGATGTCGAGTGTAGTGGAAATGAAGTTGAGGAGGGAAAGTTGCGCCAACGATGGCCACGTAGCAGGCGCGTCAAGCGACAAAAAATCAAGAATCAAATATCACCAACAAATCGTATATCTTGGCAGAGAGAAGCGCGCGACCAGAATGACGATTGATAAGAGAAAAAAAAAAGACCAAAACCCAAGATAAAGAAGACAATCAGGAGAGATGAGAAGATGCAAGTCGCGAATAATTGCGTCGTTCTGAAGCTTGACTACTTCCGGTAAGGTCCGGAAAACGTCCCGTCATGTGGGGTATTTGAGGGCTTTAATTGGCCAATCAGTCAATACAGCGTATTTGATCTACCTCAATGTATTTTATTCGTTGAACCCGTGACATCTACATTCCTGCCTCCACTACTTGACCTCTATATTGTACGAAGTTGAAATGTCTTGGTCTATATGTTTTTGGTATTGTTTCTGTATGATTATGGACGAGACTTCTATAATGCATTGAGTTGTCACATGTAGTTATGAAAGTCCTTTTCCTCACGGAGTACATATGGACGTCTCGGATATATATCCTCCATTGTCCACCCCTATATATCTTTTCTAATATGTCAAATGTACACTTAACATCTCCCCCAGGTCAGTATATTTAGAAACGTTGTGTTCACCAATTAAGTTTCTTGGAACTTTCCTTCTGCCGTCTACCTACTTTTTATAACTAATAAGGGGAAGAAAATATCTTAAAATTGACAAGAATATCTGACACATCTAAAAAGATCACTAAAAATATGCCACGAGTTCGCACAAGCAGCCTTTACTCCATACTCTTGCAATAAACTTAAATATGTACAATGTACATGTCCCATCAAGGTGCGACAAGGTGGGAAGCTACATACCGCTAGTTGTATGATCCCCGGCCCCCACACCCAAAATTGGGGCATAGTTGGGGTCAACATAAGTGTAAGATCGTTCCAATTATCTACATCTACACATCGCCAGTAGAGAGCATAACTTGATCCATACAACATACGTAGGCAATGAAACGGTCCATATAACCGTGCAGGATCAACGGTGCGTAAACATGTGCATACAAAAGTGGAAATCCGAATAGCCTCGCCCCCTCTCCCACCGCCTTTCCACCCCCACCAGGTCTCAGGAGACGATTCGATCTTTAGCCCTTTTTTCTTTATCATTTCGAGTTTTAAAATTGATTCTTCTTTTCCTCTCCAATCCCTCCATTTTTTTTCTCGAAATCCTTCCTCGAACTCCAACCCGTGCCCCCACCTAAATCTGTAAACAATGGCCGACCACCACGAGGATGAGCTCGCCGCCAGCCAAACTGAGGGTTTCAAGGTCGGAGAGAAGAAGACCCTCGATGAGTACAACAAGCTCGGTATGTTAAATTAGTTACAATTTATTGGCAATATCTAGTCCTCGGTGTTTTTCCAGCTAACCGTCTTTCTCTCCCCCGCAATAGATGCCGACGATGAAGCTATGAACCGCTGGAAGGCCTCTTTGGGCCTCAACTCCGGTGACCCAATTGCCGACCCCAACGACCCTCGCAAGTGTATCATCAAGTCCCTGGCTCTGCAAGTTGAGGGCCGTGAGGATGTTGTTATCGACCTGTCCTCCCCCGGCTCTGTTGACAGCCTCAAGGATAAGCCTTTCAAGATCAAGGAGGGCTCCAAGTTCCATATCAAGGTTACGTTCCAGGTTCACCATGAAGTCCTCAGTGGCCTCAAGTACCTGCAGGTCGTCAAGCGCAAGGGAATCCGGGTCAGCAAGGACGAGGAGATGCTGGGCAGCTACGCACCCAACACCACCTCCAAGGTTTACTACTCCAAGGAATGTGAGTATTTCAACCTAGGTTATTTTCAAATCTAGCTTGTACTGACACTATCCCTTTCTAGTCAACGAAGAGGAGGCCCCGTCTGGCATGATCGCCCGTGGCCACTACAACGCCGTTTCAAAGTTCATTGATGATGACCAGCACACTCACCTGCTGTTCGAGTGGTCCTTTGACATTGCCAAGGACTGGTAAACATGAATTGAGAGAGCTATCTCGTTAAGTTATTGAGCGGCCGTTTGTTTTCAAAGCGTGATGAGTTTCTTTCTTTCACAAAAACTGTTAGAGATGCGTCTCACTGGGCCGATGCTTTAGACCCCAGTTTTATTGTTTATACGTCATACTGAGTCTCCATTATTGGTGTATGATATTTTCATTTCGGATGCCAAGTAGCACATTTAGCTGTTTGTGAATGCACAGCTCTATCCCGAACTCCTGTCTAGTGTTGGGGGGTAAATAAAAGGAAATTGAAATACATGAACATTAACATCAAACAAACATTAACAGTAACCAATGGGTATCATGAGAAGATTCAGAGATTCACAAGAAGTAGTCGACTATTGGACTAGAGCCATCCTTGATCTGCTGCTGCTGTTGACCCAGCTGTTCAAGGCGGTGGGCGTCATTTTCCGGTGCCGCGTCAAAAATATTGAAAAAACGCTCTCCAGTGTCGCTCACCTCAAGCACACTGGCAAGGTTTCCACAGCGGTAGCAGTAGTTGGGTGCACTCCAGACCGTGCTCAGTCGATCGTCGTATAAAACCTGGTAGCCTTCTTGGCAGAGTTGGTGTGCGCGTAGGATGTGGGACATGCTGTTTACCTCGAGGAACTTCCGCACAACCTGGGCTCCAAACGTGTATCCAGCACCACGAGGTGATAGTGAGAACTCATCGCGTTCTGTATCGGGGTCTGACCAGACCAGATCGGCCATAGGGCCTTCGTGTGGGATTTCGCGGAAACGGTCGATAATCTTAATCTGGTCGATTGAGTGAATAGAAGGTGACAAGCCGCCATGTACACAAAATATCTCATCATTAATCACAACGCTCAGCGTCAAAAAGTCAAACATGTCGGTGAAGTAGTGCCAGACATTAGCATTGCCGTATTTGCGGGCACACTCGGTGTAGAAGCCGTATGATTGGGTGACGCCGCGCGACTCGTGGTTACCGCGGATAAGGTGTACTCGTTGGGGGTATCGTAACTTGAGACACACCAGAAGTGAGATGGTCTCCACACTGAATAGGCCGCGGTCGACATAATCGCCTGCCGATTATGTTATCAGCAACACTCCAAAAGCGAGCAACAAATATGTTCAAGCCCGAGACCTGCTTTCATCCTCGCACAGAGTGTTCTCCGGGTGTGACTAACCAAGGAACAGGTAGTTGGTATCAGGACAGAAGCCACCAATCTTGAAGATCTCGATCATATCAAAAAATTGGCCGTGGATATCGCCGACCACAGTGACCGGAGCAGCAATATGTACCACATTGCTTTCCTTCATCAAAAGTTCCTTCGCCTTGAGGCATATTGCCTCAATCACTGAATCTGCGAGTAGCTCTTTTCGGTAGAGGCGGGCGATGCACTCATCGAGATCGATATTCGCTGTGAGGCGACCGACAGGTCAGCATAACCTCGGAGATAGCATCGGGGGATCAAAAAACCATGCACATACTTGGTAGACCAGGCATTGTGGCGAGATCGGAGTAAGACAAATGAGTGGCAATGAATTCTTCTGGAGATGGCCCGTCTTATTAAAGATGGAGAGCTGCCTGTACTTCGTCACTGTGTCTTAATAAGGTAGATCGCGGAGAGCTAAAGGAAAGTAGTATTCGAGAGGACGAGGTCGAGTTTGAGATGCAAGGTTAAGAAGAGAGCAATAAAGAAGATGGGAGCGTCAATCTAGCAAGCATCCTGAGTGCAGCCGATCCTCGTTTCCAGTGCGGAGGGCAGGCTCTGGAATTAAAGATCGAGGCATCAGGGCCGAACTGCGGGACGAGCTCAGACACAACGCGCTTCGATCTACACCGCTTTATACATTTACGCCCGAATTACAAGGCACACAGGGCCAACTGGCCAACTGGCCAACTACTACGACATGTACCTCTATCTGCCTCCCTTGCCAGCGATTCGCAGTCTACCAGTGATTGCACCCAATATTCGGTAAGTTCATTGGCCACAGGTAGTAATTCTATCTATCTCAGACCGACCAGGATGATAGACATATTAGCATAACAACTCCAGGCCGAAATATTCTAGAAACTCTCCCCAGTTGGCAAACAGTGCCCCAGAAATTGACTATGCTTGGAACATGAGTACTCTGCTCAGATCATCATTCGTGTCGCGGTCGGCGATAGCCTTTTCTTGGATTTAATATCGGTCTCCTTCACGCCCATCAACAGTATCGTTCTCCGTTTGAGAGTTTTGCGGCTCCGGAGTTAGTGGAAGAGGAGATATGCCATCGGCTGGTTGATGCGAAGACCCTTCGAGAATGTCCCGCAAACCACTATATATGTATTTTCAGATCAGTATTGCTGACAGAAATGAACAACTCTGACTTGACAGGTTTTGACTCACAAGGAGTACCTTTCGTTGTTGTATAATGCCTGGCAGATCCTCTGCTGTTCTTCCCTATCGCACCCAGGGCCGAAACTAATGGCATTCAAAAGCCTCTCACTAAAATGATATTCTTGAAAGAATAGACTGGCAAATTCCAATGGTCTTGGATAAAACCCTGCTGATGCCCAGTCTAGTAAACAGATACGGTCATCATCTAACCAGATAACGTTTCGGGGGGGGGGGACTTATATCTAAATGACATAGCACTGATAGGCTAGTATCAAATTGAACCTTGCCATTGTCGGGAAAAAGTCGGCTGTTAAACCACTCCTCCACTTGCTGGACATTGCTAATGGTCAGATTATTTGTATCTGGCTAGAGTAGGCCAATCGACGGACCACCACCTAGGCTACCAGCACTATCAGCGGTGATAGAGCGAAAATGCTCAAGAACGTTGGCGAGTCTTTGAATGTGAGAGTCCGGAAGATGATCAATAGTTTTGCCACGAATAAAATCCGATACCATATAGCCCCAACCCTCATCGTCCACAAAGAAATCATGAACCCGAGGGACTATGACGATGTTTGGATCAATTATCTTGTACGCTTTTTGCTGATTCTTTGCCTCATGGGAGGAGACATGACGGCTGAACTTGACCACCAAGTCACGATCTGGTAGCTTAACGAACTGGTTTCCACAATTCGAGCCTCCTATAAGTCGATCCTCTGCACAATGGCAATGGTCAATGATTGACTTGCGATTGTCTAATTGAACAATCATGGTATCAGACATGTAAAGGAGTGGAAAGAGTAAGAGATTGGGGTTCTTTTTAGGCTCGGGAAGCACCCAACCCCCGGATTAGCCTGCATTCCGGCACTACGAGAAATACGCGAGACATTTGATCCTCTCATATCCTCCAAGCCGTAGAGTAGCTTTGGCAAACTAATCTAATCCGGATCTCTAGGGTGTTAAACTATGAGACACTGTAGACTTGGGAACTCTAAACCACCACAGACGAAGGGAACAAAGGCAACAGGATACCTATCTGTAAGAGCATTAGCAACTTGCAGAAGCACAGTAAAAAGCAACCTGGTACCCATTGCTCACACTTTTGGCGGTGTAGCTGTGGGTTAATCTGGAAGTTATGCAACCTTGCCCTGCACTCTTTCCACAAATTGACGTCTCACAGCCTGGGCCCTTATCATCTAATTGACCGCTCTTTTCTTCTTACTGTAGAATGTTTGCTTTGATCTCGGTGTATATGGTATCATTGATACCAAAAATCGCATTCTCTTTCCTCAATCCCTCAAATATCTACCCTGACTTTGCTCCATCGCGAAGTGATCACCCTCCCATCTTTAATCACAGCCAGAATGTACTCCTCCACTCGATCTAGAATGGTGATATCTTCCAACGGATTTCCCTTCAAGATCAAAAGATCAGCCACAAATCCTTCGAGAACTTGACCCAACCTATGTTCCTGCATAACAAGACGAGCAGCATTGACAGTAGCACTACGCAGAATCTGCAACGGAGTCAAAACCGAACTGCGCACTGAGAACTCCTTGCTTTGAGCAAAATGCATCGGACCAAGAAGATCAGTCCCAAAACAGACGGTCACGCCCGCATCGACAGCAATCTTAATTGCGTTTAATCCGTTCTCAAGAACCTCCTCATTCTTAGCAGCGCTGTCAGCAGACAGGAAATTCATCTGTTTAGACATGACATGCGTAATGAGCGTCGGAGTCAAGAAAACATCCATCTCAGCCATCATCTTCGCCGTCTCGAGATCAATGAGATTTCCATGCTCGATACCGCGCACACCGAGCTTGATAGCCTGCTGAATCGCCCGCGGCGTGTAGCTATGACTTGTGACATATGTACCGGCGTTCCGGGCAACAGTGACAATAGCCCTAATCTCCTCATCTGAGAACTGCACATGTTCAATGCGGTCCGTGGGACTGGCAATACCGCCACCGCCCATGATCTTGATAAAGTCCGCTCCCTGGCGCAGCTCCTCACGCGCAAACCTATAGCACTCTGCTGGACTGTCGACAATTCGGCTGATTCCGGATACAGTGCCGCCGCAGCAGAGCTTGGTGTCGTGGGATCCTCGCAGGTCGCCATGTCCACCGGTTTGGGAGAGTGCGTGACCAACGATGAAGAGACGAGGGCCTGGAATCACGCCTTCCTCGACAGCTTCCTTGATTGCGAGGCTTGCGCCGCCACAGTCTCGGATTGAAGTGAAGCCGCGGTCTAGCATGGATTTGAGCACGTACGGTTGCCGCAAGAGACTCATTCGTTCGGTCATGTCTTGGTAGGATCGTAGATCGACTTCGCCGGGGACTATTGCGATGTGGACATGACAATCGATCAAGCCTGGACACAGGTATTTTCCACTCAGGTCGATCACGTTCTCTTCGGGGAGCCCGTCTGTGGATGTAGTTGAGCCGTCTGTGACGATTTGAATAATCTTGCCATCTGAGATTCGGACTGTCGCGTTCTGTATCAATTTCCCCTCGGCTGGATTAACAATGGTTGCATTCACGAAGACTAAGTTCCTTTGAGGGTTGAGTTTCCAGGGCTTGATGACTCGGGAGATGTCCATATTTGCTGGATATTTGGTCATTTTCTTCGAGAAATTTTGCAGAAATGAAATTCATATCCGACTAGGCAATAATACCTCTCAGGTAATATGGTAGTACAATAATGGGGGCACATATCTCAGCTTTTAACTGGCAACTCGGGGAGTCGGGGAGTCCGGGGAGTCCGGACCTAAAGATAGAACCCACGCTCTGCCTCTGCTGTTTTGATATCAACCGGTCATGCGCTGAATTGAGATCTTTGTTATTAGTCGCCCGCATTGGAGTTAGCTGATCTAGTCGATCCAACCAATTATAAGCAACAGAGGATCGTGACAACATGAAGCTATTGGCTCCGTCGGCAACCAAGCTCACTAGCCGCTGCTTGGCGCTATGATGCTTCTCCCCGGATTGCTGACAGATCCTTTGTTTAGACAGGTCGATCGGAGTGTCGGCAACCTTGTTTTCCCAGGCTGTATATGTAATTTACCGACAGCGGTAACCTGTGCTAAACGCCCAATAGATGTTGGCGTTTGGCACGGCTGCACATAAAATAGACGGTCAGAGGTAGACTCGCTGTGCGAGAGGTGAGCATATGGATCGTCCCAAAGGGTGATCACAGTCAGTAATGGTGGGGATGTCGGCCATTAAATATATAGATGGCAAGACAGAGGCCAAATAGTGAAAAAATGAAGGAGGAAGACAATATAAGGTCTTATAAAAACTGGGATACTAACGTTGTCCCTATGGACCATAGGACCAATTCTCTTCAAACAACCCTCTAAGCAACTACGTCATGTACCAAAATTACTCTAGAAGCATCATTCAATTTCATTTTCTCGTATTTTCAATATACCCAAAAGGTTGTCCGATCAAGCCAACATCTATACATGTGACCATCATTCGAACAAGTTTAACGAAGTAACGTCTGTGCCTCTTTATTCACAGCTTCGCTTTCAGAATCAGTCTCTTCTTCAGAGTCATCTTCCTCCGAGTCAGACTCTTCTTCCGAGCCCGTCTCCTCCTCCGAATCAGTTTCATCTTCCTCGGAATCCGTTTCAGATTCAGACTCTGTCTCGGTTTCCTCCTCTTCTTCTAACCACTGATCAAGAGTCTTCTTGCCAGTCGGGTCTAGAGGCATAGCCGGACCGTTTCGGTCCCGGCTTGGAACAGTCGTTTTGTGTTCACGAAGTGCTTTATCAAGGCGATCACCTGCAGTCATGGAGGTAGCGTTGCTGGATGTGTCTGGTTTCACATCTTCGGTGCGGAGGCTGGGGTCGGGTTCTTGGCCTGGCTCAACCCAGTCTGGGAGGTTTGTGTAGCCTCGAAGTCCGAGGTGACCAGCGTCTGGGCCGACAACGAGAGTGGCGGAGCCGATGAGTAAATCCTTGCGCGTCTCGGATGGGCTGGGGGCGTGAGGTACTGGCTTTGGTGCTAGGAGAAGGAGGTTGGCAAGTTGAGTGGAAGACGGCGTTTCCAAGAGGCTCTTGTAGAGACGTGCCCGATCACGTAGGTCGTAGGAGATGTCGTAGCGTGCGAGAAGGAGGATATACCGCCATAACAACGTAACACGGTCTTCGGTTGCTTCTTTTGTTTCCTTCGTTTCAGGGCCGTCGTTTTCTTGACGACTCTCCTCTCTCTCTTCATTTCGCTCCGCATCTTCCGGCTCGTCGTTCCCATTATCATTCCATTCGTTGTGGAACTCTTGCTGGGCTTTGACGGGGGCTTCGGCCTCGGGGAATGACGGTGATGGAAGTTGTTCCGGCTGTTCCTTTGGTGGATTTTGCAAGAGATGGTGTAAATACACCTTAGCACCGAGGAGAACAATCTGCTGTTTGACAATTTCCATCTCATCTGCAAATCCTTTGATCAAGATGCGGAGGACATCAGGCGCGATATTGTTCTCAGGGTCAATTCCGGCGAACTCGCCAACCAGCCAGATAATGGTGGCTCGTGCGCCTGGGTGGGTTGTTGAACCCAGGTGCTTGACGAGCCGGAGGACAGTATTTTTATGTGAGGGTGGATCTTGTTGGATCAAGTGACGAATGACGGTCAGTGCCTCTGACACGAGGTTGCCATCTGGACTAGATATCTGGCCTAAAAGGATCCGTAGGCACATGTCTGAGGTACTTGTATCGCCTTGCGCACAACGCCCAATGGCTCGCACACTCTCTCGCACCAGCTCAGGATCTGTGCCTTTAGAGAAGTGTTCTAGTTCGCTGATTATAACCCCCTTCCAGTGTTTTCCACAATGCGGGAACAGAATAGTTAGAACCTCCAGTTTGAGGCGCCAGATATGCGGCGGGTCGTTGGCGTGGACAAGGAAATGGGCCGTGTACTTCGCAAAGGGCTTGGGAGCTCTTAGAGCAACGGCAACAATATTGTACAAAGCGATGAGTTGCATGTCCTGCGGGCTTCGTAAAAGAGCCACAAGGGGACCAACTGCTGATGCAATATATTCTGATGGAGCAAGGTAAAGGAAGCAACGCACAACGCTGACAATGACGGCGGAGTTTCGACTCTGGAGTAGAACCTTGCAAGCTCGGAGTAGAAGCTCAAGATCAGGATCCATCACTGAAACTTCGTACTCTTCGGCTTCATTATGGGTCTCCTGTTGCTGCTTTTCGTCGTCGTAGAATGCCTCCGGAGCTGTGCGCTTAACCTTCTGGGTCCGGCGAGGGAAACATTTTCGTGCATAAAATGTCAACAGGCGCAAGGTTGCTAACTGGCCCCATTCATCCATATCAACCAGTTTCTTGACCAAACTGCGGTAGTTCTTGTGGATTAGGTCAATCTCATCAGGACACAGATCCAAGAATGCGGCGACGGCGGGGCCGACGACGAAGTATTGAGAATCACCCAAGAGTATCCCAAGATATCCCATCAATTGCGGTAGCGTGTTGGGGTCCAGACGATAACATTTTGGAATAGCTAAAGCAGCCGCTTTGCGCACATGTGGACTCATATCTCCACATCCTCTCTTGATAGCCAGTGACACAATCTGGCTAATGACCGGAACCCGAATTCCCGACATAGTCCGAAGCGCCATTGTTCGAACCTGTGGGCTTGAATCCGTCAGCGATTTCTGGATCGCGTTGATGGATAGTAGTGCCAAATCCGGCTCCGCCTCCGCATGATGGACCAAGTAGATGTAAACCAGTTTCTTGACCTCGAGGTTGGCGCTGGCCACATTCTTGACAACTGCCGAAAAGAAAGTAAGGGAGGGCTCCGACCGGTACATCAACTATAACAGCAAATTGAGTTAGCCATTGCGGTTTCCATAGTTCCTGCTCACGGTCCCCGTACCGCGATGACCCTCTGCATTCCATCTAGGACTTCCCGCTCATGGCGACTGTCAAGGAGTTTCTTGATGTGCGCGGGGCTATACGTTCGCGAAGTATAGTCGGTGCTTGAGGTCCGATTGATAGCAGCGGACTGGGCAGCCTCTAATGTGAGCTCTCGAGCTATGCGCACAGTAGACGTTCCACGGTCAGTTCAGGCCAAATAGAGCGGATTGCAGCCCGACATACCTGTTTCCAGCATCGAGGATATCCTGGAAATTGTTTCCATCTTTCCAGTCTCTAAGCTCCCAGTCCAAGAGCTTTGCGTGAGTCGGAGGAAATGGGTGAGAGGTGAGGGGGAGGAAAGGCGGAGCTGCTCCGCGGAAGTGAAGTGGATGATGATGCCGCAATCTTCGCCCGGCTTCGATCTGCAACGTTCAACTATTTACACACCACCTGACTCAAGATACACGACCGTGGCCTTTTGTGCTTGACGGAATATGAGTTGAACGATGGAATGATTTATTTCTCGTTGATGATCTCGGAGGGGCAATAAGTGGGAGACTACAGCACAGCTATCCAAAGCAATGAGTCCAACATTTACGATCGCTCACTGCGATTCGGTATCCGATCTCTTGCAGCAGTTACTTGAAGGCACTTCAGACACCCATCTCATTGTCTGTGCAACCAGAGCTGAGTTTCTAGTGCAACTCACAGCAGCCATTCGCTCACAACGCGCTGATCCAGACACTGCCCCGAGGCATGACCTGCTTACAAAAACTATCGGGCTGCTTGCAAGATCTAGCAAAATACGTCTCGCATTCTGCCCGAGTTTAGAGAGTCTTCGGGCATACCTTGCCGTTTTCGGTCCCGCTGTTGGGGTGACTACCGAGGACGGATCGCTTTCCCATGACCGAAAACTCCTTGCTGTCGTTGATATGATGGCTTTGCATGTTACGACTTCGGAATTCTCGGCACAGGGACTTTCAAGAACACTTGCTTCTGTCGTTGAGGCTTCCTCCAGGGCGGGGATGGATCTCCGACTCCATGAGTGCATGAATGCCCTGGACCCTTCAAGTGGTGTTCGGGGAAGAAAACTATGGGATGTGAGCGTTCCCCTATTGAACGGGTCAGTTCGAATGCGATCGGACCAAAATACCTGGGGTGGACGGGGAGTCACCGTGAAACGGGTTGCCGAACGCTGGTTTGAATTTGACCAGAATTTTTGAACTGGGAAAGAATGGAATATGCTTAATGCTGAAATCAGACATGATATTGTAACATAATAAAACTCCTGAGAATGGATTTGTACTGTCCGGGTATCCTATAGCTGACCGCTGAACTCCTGTTTCGCACATAAATGACAACCGATTGATCATAGAGACTTCTCCATCTCTGTCATGTACAGCTTAATATGTGACTCTAGCTTTAGGTACTGGTCGTGAGCTGACTGAATCTCGCTCTCAATGTTCTCCTTTAAGTCGACCATCTAGAAGAGCTGTGTTAGCAATAGCTCATCCCTATGACACAGGCTAAAACATACCTTCTTCTCTGTCTGTTCAATGCGAATACGTCTTCGCTCCATGTCGCGCTGTTTCTCCGCACGTTCCTCGCGAAGTTGTTTTTGAACGTTTCGGAGTTCTTCCATGCGTGCCTGCGCAAGTTCAGCCTTCTCCTGTGCATTTTTCTGGAGTGCCTCGATACGCTCAACCCAACGGGCCATTTGACGCTGCAAAAGTTTCTCGGTTTGTTCGACCTCACGGACGCTGTTCCCCCTGTCTGAGATAGCCTCTGCAGTTCTAGCAGCACGAGACTCCTCTTCCTCCTCTTTTTGCATTTCAGCTGATATATCATCGAGCAATTTAACACATCCCTGCACATCGTTGGAAACCACTGTGAACGTATCCGACGAGGTCTGAAGTGCACGCGCCCGCCTCTCCATCGCATCGATGGAGGCTTTTTCGCGCATCAGATTTTCGGATAATTCAGCCAGTGAGGACTGGAGGGTAGCGGGAGATTCGAGCACATAAGGTCGGAGTTTCTCTGCTTCTTGTCGAGACCGGACTGTTCGTTCGGTCTTCTCCTCCAACTGCTGCTGCCGCCGAGCTCTTTCCGTCTTAACTCGATCGAGTGTTTCAGCAACTCGCGACTGCTCTCGACCCAGCTCTAATAGTCGCGCCTTGAGCGCGTCATTTCGGGAAACTTTCTCCCTCACATGCGCCTCGTTGGATTGTAGGTCCTGTCGCATCTCCCGCAGCCTTAATTCCATCTCCTGGTTTTCTGCGAGAAGTTCGTCAATGCGCGATTTCGTTTTCTCTGTCTTGTTGAAGTGCTCATCGATCACAGGTGTTTGCGATTCCCGGAATCGAACGAAGTTGATCAAGTATGAGAAGATTTTGACGAGTCGCTCATGCGTTGGTTTTGTCAGGTCTGTGAAAGTGAAGTCATTGACACCGCACTATTTGGTACCAGAATCATTAGCATGCTCTTCCGGTCTTTGTAGCCAGTAATGCGCAAATACCTCCGCCAATAGCTTTCGGAGCATCATGAAGAAACCCATGAGGTTGCGCGTGTCATTGGGAACTATATCGGGGTAGTCGCCGCATAAATCTTCTGCAGCTGCATGCATCGCGGGCTCCACTGTCTCCCGGGTCGTGTTCATGAGTAGTTCTGCGAACCATTCGAACACCATCTGAATTTGCTGGGGGTTTGGTTTAGCCAGGTCGGCGAGGGTAAACGGTATACCGATATCGTTGATGCATCCTGCGATCTCTTTGTCGGGCTATTTTATATTAGTATCAGACACAAGCTCCGGCAAAAAAAAAGCTCACCAGACGCATGAGGGCATCATTCTCATCCTCCTTTTTACGCCCTCGACCGTGATGCTGGGTGCCTTGGAATTGCTGGCTCATGCGGCTGTTATACCCCATCGCAGTAGAGTTGCGCGACATGATAGTTGAGGAGCCTGTCACCAGGCAAGGGGCTTATTGACAAAGTGGGTAGACTAATTGTTGTTGATTGGGGTTGATTGTTTACTTGGAGACAATCCCGCACACCGCCCGATCTGGGTTAGTGCCTGGAGGGGCATTATGCAAACCAGGCAAACATAGAATTCATGACTCTTTCTCTTCCTTCTACCTTGCTTTGTTCGCACTTTCACCTCATCGTCGCTTAAACAACATGGCTTCTACCGTTTCAGATGCGGCTGTGGCCGATACTCAACCATTCGAGTAAGTAAAACGTGCTTCCTTGAAGCCCTCGCATCTGCTCACCGTTCCTTCAGCATTGTCGCAACCTACAATGAACTCCTCCGCTCCGATGCCGACCTCACCATGCCCATCGCAGCCATTGAAGCTCTAGTTCTTCTCCTCACACAGTCAGCCTCTTCAACGATATCAGAGACCTTGGATCTACTCGAAAAATCCACCGCGCACCTGAAACGATCTATTCCCAACCCTATCGGACTCTCTGCCGGAACCGATCTTTTCCAGCGATACCTGATTACCACACTACAACGCCCTGGACAACTTGGCCCCGCAGGCGATTTCAAGGCCATCCGCACACATCTCTTGTCAAACGGACGGCTGTTCATCCGACGCGCCAAGGAAAGCCGAGAGAAAATCGCAGCATTCGGCCGTGGCTTCATTCGTGATGGCAGCACCATTCTCACCAACGGTGGCTCACGAGCTGTGGCAGCGTTATTGCAGAGAGCCGCAGATGAGGAAGGTGGTCCTTCCGCTGTGCGGTTCCGAGTTATCTACGTTCTGTCTTCGACTTCCCAGAGTTGCGACCACCCGAATGAAGAACCAGAGGGTATGGAAACAGTCCGTGCTCTGAGAGAAAAGGGAGTGCCCGTCTCAACAATTCCCGAATCCGCGGTGGCATATTGTCTCGGCAAGGCTGATATGGTTATTGTGGGTGCGGAGGGTGTGGTGGAGAATGGAGGCATTGTGTCTCGCATGGGAACCTACCAGATCGGTCTCCTCGCCAAGGCCATTGGGAAGCCATTCTACGTGGTAGCAGAGAGCCACAAGTTCGTTCGCTTGTACCCTCTTGGTCAGTACGACCTGCCAATTGATCAGCAAGTCCTTGAGTTCAAGTCCGAGGAAGACCTTGCAGAGGAGCACAAGCAGCAGGCCTCCGCTGACACAAATGGAGACGCCCCAATCAAGCTACCCCTCTGCGACTCGGTTGATTTCACTCCCCCTCACCTGATCTCTGCACTGATCACAGATAGCGGTGTCTTGACTCCTAGTGCTGTCAGTGAGGAATTGATCAAAATCTGGTTCTGAAGAAAACACATGTCATGGCAGAGTCTTTCTGCTGTGGATTCCCCAATCTCTCAAAAAGGTTCATCAAGATGATATGGCGGGGAATAATGTAATGTGACACATGCATTTTATGCAACCCTACTATGTGGAAGCATCATCGCAAGCGGACCAGGCATGATTTGCCCCTCTCCACACGTCTAATCCAGTGTGGATATCTATCACATTATCTCCAGTATGCAGCGCAAGTATAAGCTGCAGGGACGTGGGCAAATCACACCACTCTCTATTCCCTCCGAACACCTCGAATTGCATGGACGTGGATATGGAATGGTTTCAATTAGCAGTTTCTCTTCTTGGCAAAAGGCTGATTGAACGCAAAAAAGTAATTAAAAAAAGGTGAATCTCAAGACTTTTTTAAACACAGTACAGAATTGTAGTCTGGTCTTCCCTGGTATCAAACGCCTTCCATAGTCGTGCAGTCATCATCATCAATCATCAAAGCCTCTAGTTGTAGCGGAGCCCCCTTCACAGTCTCATACAGCCTCTCAAAAGCACTGCACAATGCCAAGCATGAAACAAATTATTCGACCACAAGGGGCCCAATTGAACCGAGGCAGCGCAGGCGTCTTCCTCCTAGTCACCTATCACACCATGACAAAGAGCTCAATTGGCAATTTGTTTGATGAGAGCACATTCCTGCGTTTGCACCGCAGCGAACGCATACAAAAGCAAGTATCCAAGAGCCACAAATATCCACAAGTCTGCCATGTTTGATGTATTTCAGCCAGAAAGTCGGTGAAGGTGGAGATGTGTATGTTGGTGTGATAAGAAATAATTCAAGGGTGTCAGTCGACCAGGACAGAGTGGTTCGGTAAACGATGCCAGCGTTTGGCTGGAGTTGTCTCCAGTATAAGTGCTTTAAGGAGGTTTAGGAATAATATCGGGTTCTCTGGTAGAACACATAGAAAATGTAAAGACAAGAGAGGAACTCTTCATTTCATGGAATCTCATGCTCCCCAGACATTTTAAACATAACCAGACCGACACTTGACAGATGTGATAAAAAAAAATCCCGTTCTTTTCTTCCGGGTTCTTCCATCCAATACGAGTCGTCTATTAAAAACCTCGGAGCATGCTACAGATGCGGGGTTGGAAGAGTTTTTACTTCACATGGCATTTCTAGGGGCCTGAAACAGTTGATTTCTGGGGAATATACCGGGGATTTCCTGTTCGAGTTGTAGATCGCCAGTTCCATCACAGATTCATCACGGATGTTGCATGAAGACGGGAGTAAATCAGGAAATTTGACCTATTCTGCCAATTAGGATCTGGGGTATGGGGTTAAAATTATTCGGAATTGAATCAGTCTTTGTATTTGTCAAGTCCCATGTTATGCAAAAATGAAAAGACACAAGACATAACCAATTATTCTTGTACATTCTTCCATAATATAGTTTAACGAATATCAAGCAAGTGATATAGAACTGTGCCCAAAACATATCACACGAGCCTGACATGGCTGCTCAATGAACTTTAATCGCGAAAGTAACAGGAACCTCGAACTTTGTCACAGTACATTGAATGTTTATTATGATGTTATTATATTGCAGTATTGGGTCTTGTATATATATCGCCCATGAGCCCCATCGGAAAACCCCATCGAAAAATTCACACAACATAGGTAAGGATATATTTTGATCAAGACCCCGAGTCAAAAGAAATGGATCATCGACTCTGCATAACCATCGTGTCACTTGATATCGAGCAAAAATAGGGTCTAAGCCGCCTCGCCTAGAACGCCTGGAACAGCCGGCAGATTCCAAGTGACTAGACGTGGGCGCAGCTGCATGTCCAAAACGCCCTGAACCCTGCTCTACATGAGAAAATGCCGAGTTGTCTCGCAGAGATCAAAGTATCTCGTGCCCCCACAAGATCCAACCCCGCTCTCCGATCCCTAAACCAAACACACCTTTCACCCCCAAGACGAGAACGCCCAAAGGAAGCCCATCCAAACAAACTATACCTGCATCTACGCGTGAACCTCCAACGGCCCGGATACCATACCAGCCACCCCCGCTCCTCCCTTACCACATGCCTTACATACTTTGACAACGGTTGAAAACATGGATGCCCAACCGCCAACAGGCCCTCAGTCTCACCAGAAGCTCCACCTAGGATCTGAGACCCTTGGTTCCGGTCCGCGGTCTACATCCGATTCCCGCTGCCACAGTGGCTGGTCTATCAGACGTCTTCTGAGCCGGTGTGGGAGCCGAAATTACAGTGTGCTGGAGCGGGAGCCGAATCGATTGCGGAAGCGCATGAGCAGCTGAGTTTCTTTCACTTCCATGCCGGATCACTTCCACGCCGGATGGGACTGTCTTAGTTGGCGGTGGTCCATACTGGTACCGGTCTGAGCGAATCTGGTTAGTGGGGGAAGACAGGAGAATATGCGGTCTGATTCGGCTTTGGTGGTGGATATCCGATCGAGTTTCGCCGTTTATTTCTGTCCGGGGTCGCATGGATTGCGGGTCATCTGTGTATTTTCGGCGTTTGGTTAGAATGGGTAGGGGCATTTTGGGAAAATTTCTGTGTTCCTTGATCCAATTGGGTTATGTTCACTATCTAATGTGCGAGTCATTGGTTGCGATGCCCTGTCTTTTGGTATCTTGCGGTGGCGGTTGCCTTCGTGGCGGATTCCCAATGGGTTGCCACGATCCTTCCTGGGTCCGGTGTTGACTTGGAACGGAAATTACTTTGGAATACAATTCCAAATTGACTTGTATAGAACTCTCTACTCCGTCCACTGTAGGGAGTATAGGTATCCCATGCTAGAGTTCTGAAGAATAAGATCGGGAATAAGACTTATTGGTGGAATATTCTCAATGCTTATGAGAACTAAAATAAAATACAGGAATGTTGTGGCGGCTCCTTGCAGATTTGGTGGCTTAAACCCCAACCGATTCTGTCTTGGCGAGACCGAACAGCGTTCTTCAACCAGAGGGGGTTGCGATCAAAATGTAGGAACTATGGTGGAATAATCTGAGACCGGGAGTGGAGTGGTATTATATTTGTAAAGCCACGTTATATTGCGAGACAGTATGGGCGGATCTGTAAATGGAACACGGGAAGGGGAATACAATATAGCGCAGAATACATACATAACAGAGGCAAGGAGGGGCTCTACACATCTAATCTTAGCCTTGAATGGAAAATAATTTAGACACCTTGCAACCCGCTGGGTTCTCAATTGGATATAATTAGCACCCCCGTGTTCCGTACGTCGTACTAGTTCGGCGCCCTTGATGACATTGAATAGAACCAAGGCAGAAAGTGAGCGATAGGCCGATATTATAATTATAATACTATAATAAACCGTAAACCTATAAAAACTAAGACATATCCCTATAAACGAAAGTGGCCGATCATTTCCCCATTCCAGTGTGGTGGATATCTATTATTTCCTATAAAGTAGCGATACCTACGGAGTACACACAACATAGTGCCTGCAGACTTTTAATGCAGAACCTTTTCACAAATCTTATAGGTCTAAATGTGCCAAAGTGCGTAAGATCGACCCCATTCCCGCGTGTCAACCCAACGAAAGGGCTATGGGCTCCACCGGGCGTTTAAACGGTGGCTTGGCCGCGTGTGAGAGGGCACGAGGGTGAAGGGTAGTTGCATTAGACAGGGTTAGGGGCTTCATTTCCGAGATCTATTCGATTTTATTTGTTTTATTCTATCCATGTCGATTTTTTCTACTATTATATCTCATATCACAAGGCAAAGGGATGTATTTACCGTGCGTCATTCTGGAGCCCACTAGTGGACTCTCCCCCACAGGTCAACTGCTAATTTCCAAAAAATCTAGACTGTGTGACTTTTTAGGGCCAAAAGGTACCAGGTACCTTATAAAATAAATGCCAAGGCTTTCTTTTGGTTCAAAGGCCTTTTTTTTGGATTTCCCTTTGGGTCTATTTTGCTATTTTGCTATTTTGCTATTTTGCTTTTCTGCCTTTCTGCCTTCTCCTTTCTCTCACTCCTTCCGATTCAACTCTCAACCTTCCAACTTTCATTCTCTCTATGATGCCTATGTCATCACCCTGACTGCCAGTCACCTTCACCCTTTTCCATCCTCCATGAATCCACTTATCGCGCCGCATTGATAAACTGATCCGACTTATTCCCTGGGCTTGTGTATTCCCTGGGCTTGTGCCCCCAAAGTGCCATGGCGATATGGCCCTTTAATCGCAAGAGCAAGCGGCACACCATCCAAGTGACCGGTGCCGAAGCTGCTGATCTTCATTCTACGCTGGCCGACCCTACTATCGAGCCCACCCTGGGCCGCAAATCCTCCAAACGCCAAACCAACCGCACACGGGATGCTGCAGACAGCCGGCGCAGCTCGGCCCTCGTGCCGTCAACTCGACCTATCTCATCCCTAGATCGTTCTGATTCCATTACCGATCAGTCACGGAACACTCCACGCGACCATCCACTCTCGAGAACGGGTTCTCTGCTAAGGCGGAAACCAAGCCAAAACTCAAATGTCCCAAATAAACTACGACGAAAGCTGAGCAAGCGCAAGGCAAACGAGATCATGCGCGAGCGTGAAATTCGTATGCTCTCGTCCACCCCCATCGATATCCCCTACCGTCCTACTCCAGGCAGCGGAGATTATGCACTGGATAAACGCCGCCGAAAGGCAAACGGTAGACGTGCCGACCGGTACACGTCTGACCTCAGCCTCTCCATCCGTCACTCCGCCACTTCCTCCACGTCTGACATCTCCGACCCATACACCTACAAGGTCAACGCCTTTGCGGCTCTGACCCCACGCCCCATCGTTCGCTACGTGGAAGCCCCTCGCCTGCAGACCGCTAGAAGTAGTAACCCGCTCGCTTCTAACCGACAGGAAAGAGAAAAGCTCCATGCCCTGACCATGTCTGAAGAAAATTTCTACTATTCCAAACGACGAGTCAATGAACTTGCTGATTCATTAGATGCTGGGGCTTTGAGAGAGCTGCTGGATCGCGACCGTCGCCGCCGGGAGAAGAAGCAGGTCGACGAACAGGAAAGGCTTCGACGCAAGCTGCAGGAGAGGGCTGATGCTCAGCAGGCAGAGGAACGAAAAGTCCAGGCCGCCACCCCTAAGCCTGAGCCCGACCTCGAAACCGAAATCGCTCAACCAGAGCCGTCCATCGCTGAAGTCGCTGAACCCGAAATCGTTGCCCCGAACGAAGAGACTACCGCTCCTCAAGTTGATGAACCGACAGCGGTCGCATCGGAGAATGAATCGTGGTTGCTGGGAACCTCCAAAGCCAGCGACAACACTGGACGCGAATCGCGGGAAAGCTCTCGCGTAATTAACAATCTCGATGATGGTTCCGTTCGTGAGCGGAGACTAGTTCAACGTCCTAGCTTCGCCCCGTCACAGGATATTACCATGTCCCGGACTACTCTTTCCCCATCTCATTCATCATTTCGGCATGGAGTCAATAGCCCAACCCATTCGCAAGTCTGTGGGCCCAGCTCCGCATCGGACATCTCTAGAGGAGTTGACTCGGAACGCCGACTTTCCGACTCCAGCGGTCGCCGGGGGAATACCATTACATCCCTGTTCAGACGTGGTTCTTCTCGCCTCAAGCGGACATACAAAGAGCGGTTCCACGACACTACCCCGGAAGTCTCCAACGCCTCGCATGAATCTTTCTACAGAATTCAGACCCAATCATCACCCCCTCCGCCCTCGATTGTCCCTCCGAGAATCTTGATGCCCAGTGGAACCCTGAAGCGCTCTCAATCCAAGTTCACGGAACACTTCGGCGACGAACCCCTGTCGCCTCCTGATTCCCGCCTACAGTCGCCAGATATCCCGGAGGAAGTTCTAGAGTCCCCTCTCGAGGGGGGTGGGACTTTCTTGCATGAGCCAACCCCCAGCCCCGGTGTGGACATCAAAAATCCGAACCGAAGCCATCATCGGTCGTGGGCTTCTGATAGTATTGATACCGAAGCCGATAATGTGCCACTTTCCCAATCCCTAGCTTCAATTGATTCCGAGGGATCTTGGATGTCAGGCCAGTTTTTCCGTCGGATGTCCCAAAAGCCCAGCAGTCCAGTTCGATCAAATATGAACTCATTTGGCCGAGACTCTGTGGAGACCCCGGCAGATGCCTGTGATGAGGTTGAATCACTGGATGATTCCCGCCGTCTTAGCAGCCATGTCCTTGAACCGGAGTTCGATCCGGAATCCGTGGACAGTTCGGCAAGCAACCCCAACCCTGCTGAACGATGGCACAACGAGGTTGGCCGCCGCGCTGTTCTGGTGAACCCGGTGGTCCGCCCCAAGTCTACACAAGGAATGCTCAGAGGCTATTCCTCCTTGACCCCCATCAACGCAGAGGAAGATTACATTATGGAGGAGGCAACTTCTCCGGAATTGCGGCGGATCCCCAGCGCGAGAGCCGAGATTGGCTATGCCGAATAGACTGGTTGGTGAATTACCATCGTCATTCAAGACCTGTCAAACTGGATCTACCATTTACCTTTATCGCATATCTCTGTGTCATGGGGCATCGGATGGGTGCCATTGGCCCCTCGACCGTCGCCATGACTAAACGCAATCTGCCACCCCTTTGACCCTTTCCCTTTGTCACTTCCCTTTGTCAATTTCCTTTGTCAAAATATCCATCCGTGAGCCTTGGATTTACTCTCTGGCCATCTGTACGATTCTGATATCCCCGTTGCCCTGTATCCCATTATTACCCTTGCGAGCTCGTCATTCTGATTGGATCTGTTGATACCCCCTCGTCGCCCCATGTTTTATCTTTACCAGATGCATAAATTCTATTTCTTCATATTCTATTTCTGTTGAATACATAACTGATAAATCCTTATTCCCCTTCGAACGCTTTTCTTGCACATAGTTGGCGGCCTCTAACCCTCTTGATTTACCCTTATTCCATTGCTGTTAAAAAGCCATATTCTTTTGGCAATTTACTGATTTCAATTTCTGCATTAAGCAGTGCTTAGCTTACATTGAGATATAGCATGGCATTCTTGAGATTCCCATTGAATGTATTCAAGTCTAGCAGCCATGGCTGACCTCTTTTTTTTTTTTTGTGTATCTAATATGATGGTCTACGTTCTTCATTGATATATTTCGCTCCGACCTAGGCAGTTTCTATATTACTATATGAAAATTCACTAATATAGCAATATGTGCCTTTATTGAGTTATAATTGAGTTATAATTGCCCGTTGTATATCCCGAGTATCAGGGCTGGCAAATGCTGACAGTTCCAGACTCCATCTTATTCGTAAGCAATTTCGGGACCCGAGGTCGGGGGAGCACGTCATCTCTTGTCGGCTTCACCTCTCTTGGATCCTCAAGCAACAATTGATATCTACTACCAGTATACAAAGAGTACTGACAAATCTCACCATGGTATGTCTCTGCAATCTTTCAACCTTGGGACAAAAATCCCAGTCAAACCCCCCTCCGAGCAAGCTCCAGAGACTTCCGGACCTCCAAACCTCGCCCGAGACCCTCCAATTATTCAGCGTCTTACCTAAGCTCTCCTGGGAACGTCATCGCCCTATAAAAACCTAGCGCCCCTCACTCTACCCCTCCAATCGAAATACTTATATTTACTCCAGTTCAAACCTGCATCTCTTCGTTCTACTCCCAGATTCATCTCCGGAGTCCAGCGCACTTTCAGACCCTTTTCTTCCACACCTATCCCGCGCTTCACGCCTTCTTCTCTCAAAATGGGTGTCACTCCTATCACCTCGTAAGTGTTGATTTTGCTCTACCGCTTTCGCATCTACATCTACATCTGCATCGACATCCGTGTCTGTGTTTGGATCGAATGTATCATGTCCTACATATCCCTCCATACTCGTTCCCTCATTTCGCAAACATCACAAGCACAGGCTAACAAACCCCAGCGTCGAGGAGTACAAGACCAAGGTCACTGATGCCACTGGCCCCGTCGTCGTCGACTTCCACGCCGTCTGGTGCGGTCCATGCAAGGCCATCGCCCCTACCCTCGAGAAGCTCAGCGAGGCCCACTCCAACGTCCAGTTCTACAAGGTCGATGTCGATGATCTCGCCGAGGTCGCTGCTGCCAACGGCATCTCTGCCATGCCTACATTCCACTTCTACAACGGTGGCGAGCGCAAGCAAGAGGTCAAGGGTGCTAACCCCCCTGCCATCCAGGCTGGTCTCAGCGCTATCCTTGCATAAATTTGAAGATTAAGATTGAGATTTGGGCTTTGTTCATACCTTTGATCCTATTTTTTTTTTAGAGGGATGGGCGATATAATTGAATGCTGAATACATACCGTTCCATAAATTTGGTTTTTGAAATAGATTTTAGAAGTCAGGTGAGATATATATGTAATGCATGTGTTGTTGATGGTGAAACATTGAAAGATGTAAATGATTGAGTAGAGGTACTTTGGTTTTAGATTGTAAAAAGAAAGTGTACACATTCTGCACAAGCTCTGTCTTACAGCTTGCATGCAGACCGATCGACAGATCCCTGCAAGCTGCAGTGAAAATCCCCACAGTTTGTAGAACGATCGTCGAACGATTGTAGAATGCATAGTTAAGTCTTACGACGGTAGTGTGTGCTCCATGCCTATGATACCGAACTCTGATTGGTTCCATGTTTCGATAATTTGTATTCTCAACATCGTTAGGGGGTATGGAGATATTAAACATATCGAAGATGGCAAGAGTGGCTTAACCATATTCATGTAGATATAGAGCCCGAGTCTGAACTGCATGGCAGGAGAAGCTTACCTGTACGTAGTATGAGTGCTTAAAGGAGGATGGAAAGACTTGGTGATCTAGCTTGTTCCATGCACCGCTTTTCTTCTTCCTACATTTTGTCTCTGACGTTGGGATCGACCTCTCACATTACAAATATTGCGTGCTGCTGGTAGAGGACCCACAGCAGTACTCCAACATGGCTTTTTTTTTGTATTCTTTTACTTCTCTACGAACTCCTGCTTATTATGCCACTTCTATCCGATACCATTGTCTGCTCGCCGCTTGTGATAGTACTGCGCAATTTCGGTTTTCTAGGGCTTTGATCGTTTATAGATACGAGAGACAGCCCCTTGGCACCTTAATTGCACCACCCAGTCTGAAGAGCTCTAAGCATTGGAACAGGATTTTTCATATTTCCCAACCTGACTTACTTGCGCAGCACTTATGCTACACGATACAAATCCTCAATGGCCACTCTGCTCCCTAAACACTGATGTAAAATATATTCAATCCCACAAGTCCACTACAGCCATGAATCTTCTCATGTATTAGTTAGTTGATAGACAGAAAAATAGCCTATCCTATCTCTACTTTTCAAGGTTGTGGTATTTATAAGTGACGATGGAAGAAAGCTATCATGAAAGCATATTGATTAACGAGACATCCAGGAGCGCTCGGAGTGTGAAGGTTCACTTGCGGACTGATCTCGGCAAGACTTAAGCCATAAAACGAAGATATGCTGGAACAGCGAGCTTGGGGTTCTTGTGTTCATTTGAAAATATTGTGTTGACGCGATATAGAGGGACCGAAGGTAGACCAATTGAAACTATGCGCAAAGGAAATCATGACCACAACCACGAGGGCAATAAATGCCCAGAGGGGATACCAGGTAGCTGATAAGAAGAATCGCGTCACTCTGTTTCGAAGCATCTATTAACACTATATTCAATATGGTGTGTAGGGTTAGACATAGGGCGACCCACGACAAAGGAAGAAACGCAAAGGCAAGAACATTCAATCGGGCCACTGCCTGGCCTTGAGCTATGGTTTTGATGTTAAATACATGTTTTTGGAATTCGTTTAGAAATATTCCTCTTACTGGAGAAATTAGAGACCTACTAAGCTCATGATATTTTCAAGCTGGTGTATTAGCACCTGGGAAGTCTCCTCGTGGTACTTTATATCATCAAGGTGTTCCTGCAATCTTTCTTTGAGGTATTGTGACGCCGTACATATGTCCAAACGAAGAAACTGCGAAAGCGCACCCGAGTGAACGTATGTGATGAGAAGAGAGTAGGTTGCTCCTTCCATGAAGAGACGACTGTCGATGGATAACTGCTCCAGATGGTGAGATCGAAGCGGGGGTCAGGATTCATAATCCTATGTTTAGTTGAGAGCTATTGGTGTTGGGTCAAGATGGGCCCATGATGGTAGGAGTGCTGAGCTAGGTCTACAAAGGGTCGTATACACCCAATTTATGCATGAATGTCTGAATATAGCCTTATATGGAGCTCAAATTCACCTCCAGCGTTGCCAAATACCTCCAAAAGAAGTCACATTTGTTTGTGATTATCTATGAGAACGAGGACGAGGACGACAACAACGACAATGAGCCTATTGGCACCCTTTTCTTACAGTCATCTCATCGATATATGGCCCATAATCGATGCTCTAAGCTGGGAATCGGGATCCTAAACAGGTTTCGACTTCATGAAGCTGAGGCAGTCAACTGGGCTTTGGACTGGGGTTCCAACAGTAGGGGTCTACACCGGGTGGAGATGAATATTCCGTCATGGAACATGCGAGTGAGCTTGTGTGACGAGCTTGGGTTTCGCACAGATGGAAAGAGGAGGGAATGTTATTACTAGAATGGCGGGTGGTGAAACAAAGTGAACATGTCTATTTTGGAGAGCGAGTGGAGGCAACTTCATTGCTAGAAAGCAACCGTCCTGGAAGGGCAGATGCAAGGTGGAGCGCTTTCTATGTTATCAATGACAAGTCTATCTTGATTTTTTTTTGACTTTCTTGAGTCTAGTAAGCGTAAGCGAGAAAGGAAAGGTTGAAGATACAGAACTGATCTATACTAAACCTTGCATAAGCGGCTTAACCTTCAACTCTCCCCGAAGCCATGAACTCACTGCGCACAGAACCCCGTAACGTTTTTATATATTTGATGGATCATAGCCACGCGATTGACAGGTGACAGTTTGTGCATTCGGCCAAGATACCTTAAAATGGAGAACAATCGATCCATCACACCCACCAATATATTCAGTACCAAGGTTTCCATCTCGAACCTCTCCATATAAGCCAAAAAAACTTTAAGAGTGCGCAAAAAGGCGTCTAGCGTCCAAGCGCAAAGATGGTTCGCCTACGGACTTGAGAAGATCAGGTTTAGCGTTACGAGCCTGCTTTCCCAAGCAAGAAAAAAGCAAAAACTCTGGGGGATGAGGTCTAAACCCGGGAATTTTTAATCTATATGCATGTCTATGTGGAACTTGTGGCCCACCCTTTTTTTTTTTTCCTTCTCTTTTTTTTTCCCTCGGTTTCTCCGAGGCCAATTTATTAATTAATTGGCCATGACATTCCCGACAATATATTTCAATATATTTGTGTCTGATCTTGCAGGGACACATCCCGGATTCCGGATCAAAAGGGCTATTATCCTATAGCGTTCGTGTCAACGCTAATGTGATTGATCAATTTCGGCACTTAACCTACACATTCGGACGAACTGTCTAGTTCTTTATGTACATTTTATAAATATACTTTGTAAGAGAGGGGTCGGAAATGAACGGCACTTTTCTCATGTGCAGCTGAATTCGCTTGTTAGCTTGGCCCGAAGCTCCAATAATTAATCTAAATAGGAGATCCAACCACAATTTATATTGTATGGAGGAACAAATGACAATATCGGAGGCCCCGTCTAAAACCTACTTTCCATGGTTGTTACAGCTCCATCATCGGAGTTGGATCAAATCGAGATACTAAAATCCGACGCTTGCGGGCCATTGGCGTCGTGTTGGACCTCTGATACGCTTAGAACGCTAATTCTGCCCACAGTGTTCTCTATCCGCACCGATCCGATCGAGATCACCCGGAGCGAATCAGCATGCGATACAAGACATCCTCGGCTGCGATACCATATATTAAAGCTAAATGGGGATTTGAGGCTTTCAAACCCCTGTTGTTTATTCCATACTATTGGATCAGGTTAACTTGGTCAAGTAGGATCGGCCTCGGCTGACCCTTTTGGGGGTTTCTTTGTGTATTTTAATGTGCGAGATGCCGGGCATGGGTTCAGTTAGAAGCCACCGCAGCTGAATGCATGGCCCCTTTTGGTGGAGCTCACATCTAGATCAGACTAGGGCGCCATCGTGATACACGTCAATTTATGTTGTATTTGACGTGGATTCGGAGGGGTTTGATTGTACCGTGGATCTATAATATGCGGCTTGACAGGCGCTTGGGCTTATAAGATGTTTATCTTTAGCCCTGTCTCGCTGGACTTGGGATTTTTTTATATCTGGTTGGCTCTCCGCACTTATATCAATCTCTTCATGTCACCTTTATATTGATTAGAACAGTCGTCTTCGACTATACTTACCACTATACTCCACTCATCAATGCTCGGATAACGATATACCCACAACTACTTCTTTCTTTTTGCACAATGTCGACAGACGACAATGGACCGAGGAAGGTCACGTACCTGGCGGGGTACATTATTCTCTCTTATGTGATCAGTGCAATGGGTTGCACAACCACATTAGAACTACTCCACCGGCGGACGTCGAGGTCCGGTTTATACAATTGGTATGCCCTAAAACTCGATATCGACTCCGGCATTCAAACATGTAACTAATCAACAAAAATCAATAGGTACCTTCTCCTAACCTCATCGATCACAATGGGAGGCATCGGGATTTGGTGTATGCACTTTATCGGCAATCGCGCCATCGTCCTGGGCGAAGGCGAGGCAGACGTGCAAGTCATGTATAACGTCGCCTTCACGGGTACTTCCTTCGTGCTACCCGTTGTAGTACTGCTATTTGCCTTCTACGCCGTCGGTGTTGAGGAAAAGGCAGGCTATCTTCGCATCCTCACCGGAGGCTTGCTCACTGGTAGCGCGGTCTGCGGTATGCACTATGTCGGTCAACTCGGAATCTCGAACTATAGATGCACCTACCACGTTGCCAACGTCGTGGGCGCGGCGATCATCTCTATCTTCTCCAGTACTGCTGCTCTGGGTATCTTCTTCCGCTGGAGAGCCACTTGGACGGATAGCTGGTGGAGGCGTGGAATCTGTGCTTGTTTATTGGCAGGTGCTGTCTCCGGCATGCATTGGACTGCGACTGTTGGAACGATCTATTTGGATCACGACCGTAGGGTCATGATAGGAACTCAGTTGTCGAGGAGTCAGGTTGTTATTGTCTGCACTGTTCTGGTATGTTTTGAGATTTCTTCCAAAGTATGGGGGATTTGGAAGACTGACCGCTGTCTAGGCCTGTGTTGCTTGTTTGATCTTGTCGATGTGCGCTATTCTCGCTGGCCGAAATCGCAGAAAGTCGACGGCACGTGCCCATCAGCTTGTTCTCGCCTGTGCCTACTTTGATCCCACTGGACGAATCATGGTTACGACGCAGGCTTTGCTTCCTACGAGAAAGATTGTCGATCATTATATCGGACGGGTATGTCAGCCCACTAGATTATAGTAGGGGTCTTGACTAACGAATTGCGAACTAGACGTTTAAAGATGATGACCTCACTCGCACCCACCCTACCTTTCTGTGGGCGTTTAGGGCAACTCGAAACTGGCCCGCCGTGAAAGATCTGGTTCCCTTCATGCGAAATCGCCTTGATTCCGAAGAAAGCGCCATTGAGAAACATATACTATCTCGAGGAGTGTTTATGGACAAGGATACGGAGTTGCAAACTGACTTTGATACATTGTTCAAGCAACTATTCTGTGTCACAGCCCAAGAGCTCTCAGATGAACTTCGTCTGCCTCTCCAGGATTTGGGTACACTCTACGATGATGTTCTCTCCACTGCTATCCCCATCTCGCGACTGTCTCGAGCCATGGGCCGCTCGTCCCTCCGCACTGGTAAGGGTCAATTGATGTTCACTGTTCGCCAGCTGCAGAAGCATGAGGTAGAACGCCTGAAAGCACAAGGATTCCGGTTCGCAACCATCGAGCATGTCACAGGAATGCTGTCTCGACGCATCCACGTCCCCGAAGCAAGCCTAGCCACCTCCCTTCGCGATATGCGCGACTACGCAAGCTCAAATCGAGGCTTCGACGAGGGGGTACACCTCGTCAACTTCATGATGCGCCCAACAATCCACGACCACTTCGAGATCCTAACCGCCAAGGGCGTCGGCAACCCCCTCCCATCTGCGACCATCCCAATAAAACAACTCCAACTCCATCACCTAGAACTCATCTCCCACATGGAAGGCTGGTCCATGGATGCATGCATGCGATACCTCGATTCCGCCGCCGCAGCACAAGCCTTCCCCAACCTAGCCGAATTCCGCACCCATCTCACCAAATCCATAATCACCCTCTCAAAAACCATCCCAGAAGACCTGCGCGGCGCGGCGCAACTGTCTTCCCGCCCATTAACTGCCCCCTGCCGTACCGCACCCTCCAACCCCGAAACATCTATGCAAAACAACTGCACCATCCTCGCCTTCTGCGTTGTCGGCACACTCGACACCCAAATCGCCAACCCAGACTACACCTTCACACCATTCCGTCTCTTCCGCGTACAGCAACAAATAAACGAAGCCCTCACAGACCGCGACGACTTCGCCCGCGAACTGGGCCAAGAACTCTTCTGCACAGACGTGCGCTCGGGCTCGACTGCCAGTGAGAACGATCTCGCCTCCACGGCTAAAATGGCCATTCTGCGTCTTTGGCCATCGCGCAAGAGCGCGCCGACCTCTACATCGGGCTCTGGCTCGCGATACTCCCAGGAATCCTTTGTGGACCCTACTGCGACTGCGTTGCGGGATATCACCGTTCGCAAGGAGGTTCGCGTTGATTATACACACCTTCATGAGAACTCGAATCAGAACAATCTCAGTAATCGGGATACGAAGGTTGTCGTTTCCGGTGGTATTGAACCTACGCCTACGAGTTATGTCGATGAGTTGTATAGTCTTTGCTATGCGCCGGGTATCCGGTTGAGGGCCGATACGTCGTTGCAGAATATTTCGCGTGGATCGACTGCATGCTGAATACTTTTTTTTTTCTTTCCTGGTTTGCTTTTCTTTTTGCGTGTTACGGCTAGCGAGGTGGAATACATCGAGGAATTGGGACGGTGTTTTATGTGATTTGTTACGTCCTATTGCTGGAAAAATTCTGGATATGGTCTAGGATGTTTGTATATATAATTTTTATCTGATGAGTACATAGATGATACCAGTACAAATACCTGCGTGTTTCATGTTTTAGTTGTTCTTCCAAAAGTCTTATTATCAATAAAGAGCCAAAATCGTACCTATCGAGACATAAGATGAACTCCAGTAGGTCACAGAAAAAAAAAAGGAGAATATCGCCAAACATGTCCAAAACACCAAAAGGGACTCATTAACCAAAACATGCAAGAGATGCCATATACTCATTGCTGCACACCCGCCGAGGGCGAGTCGAGAACAAATGCAATATGAAAAAAAAGCACCAGCCAATCCAATGATCAAACCCTACAGAGCAAAGTTCTCACAGCTCACACATTAGCAGTAGGATCCTCGCGCTCCAAAAACGTAGGATCAGCCTCAATGCGCCGCTCAAACTTCGCCCACCAATTATGGAAGCTCTTCAGCGGTACCACATCCTGCCCCTTGTCATTCTCCGCAAAGCTCGCGAGGAAATTAAACGCATTCCCAATAATACGCTGCGCCAACACCTTCGTCGAGATCTGCTTCTGTCCCGCAGCCTGCGGAACCAATGCATTAGACATCCGACCCGAAGGACGCTCCGCTTCCAGCGCAGCCAGCTGCGGCGCAATATTCTGTACTTCTTCGATCGAAATACCCAGTGTCAAGACGCCCGCTGCAGCAGCGCTTGCCTCATCGAGCATCTCGTCTTCTTCCTCGGCCTCTGAGCGGTGCATTGCACTACCCGGTGGACGCACGGTGAAAATGCCTGAGGGCTTTTCGTTTGCCAATGCGCCGATGAAGCGGAAGTTGGAGGGTGCGCCAGTGTTGGGGTCTGGGAGTTGGGCGTAGATTGCGGCACCGGTGTTTGGAGGGAGGGTTGTTCCTGGTAGAAAGAAGACAACTATGTCGCTGAAGGATGGGCTGAGGGGGATCGTGAAGGCGAATTTGGTTGCTTGGCCGTTTGGTTGGCCGTCTATTGCGATGATGTCTGTCAGGCATGGGCGGCCTGGGACCACAACGGAGAACATGGTGGGTGGTTGTAGGAGTTGGAGAGCCTGAACAGCTGGTAAAGCGGAGATTGAGAGGTGAGCTGCGATTGAGGTTCTTTGTACAGTTCTTTAAGCTTCTCCAAGCTTCTCTTTGTCCTGTTTTTCGATGACGAAAGTGACATTTAGAGGGGCTGCCCTTATCGGTGGCCGATAAGGGTTTGGCTTGGCTAAACAAACGTCTGGTATGTCAACTTGCGACTTCGACTTGACATTTGGGATCAGCTTCTGTATTCAGAAATCAATATGGGCAAATCAAATCTAGACCTGGTCATCGAATGCGATAAGTAAAGCTGTCCTAACTCGATTGCTCCCTCCACTCGCGTTTTCGTCTTACACCCCGCAGCTTCCCCTACTACGAGGATGATCGCGCCGCATACACGGAGAACCTGAACAACTACCATGCATTCAAAGTATCCGGTTACGACTGTACACTCGGCTACATTCTAAATGCAGTCGTCGAGAAATTTCCCTGGTCCGAGAAAAGTTGGACCATCGACTCGACCGCGCAAACTGTGACGCTAGTGACACCGGAAGGAGCCACCCCCGCACAGCGGAGCAAGCTCGTCGAAGCAGACATAGCCGAAGCCGTGAAACAAGACAAATTCGAAGTGCTGAAAGGCTGGCGCAATGAGAGCTACGCAGTCTACGGCCCAGGCGGAGAATTCCTCCTCGAGATGGAGCGCTCTGCAACCCCGCTTTTCGGAATCGTCTCCTACGGCGCCCATCTAACAGGCTACGTGGAGGACGAATCTGGAATCAAGATCTGGGTTCCACGTCGCGCAAAGAACAAGCAGACTTACCCAAGCCTCCTTGATAACACCGTTGCCGGCGGCATGTGCACCGGCGAGATGCCGTTTGAATGTATCGTCCGCGAAGCAATGGAAGAGGCATCCCTGCCTGAGGCAGTGGTGCGCGCTGCAACTGTCTCCACAGGCTGTGTTACATACTCGCATGTGCGTGATGTGCGCGCTGGCGGCGAGACGGGCCTTATTCAACCTGAGGTTGAGTACATATACGATCTCAAACTTGATGCTGAGATTATTCCGAAACCTGGGGATAATGAGGTCGAGGAATTCAAGTTGATGTCGGTTCCGGAGGTGAAGGCGGCTTTGGAGCGTGGCGAGTTCAAGCCCAACTGTGCTAATATCATGGTTGATTTCTTTGTGAGGCATGGGCTGCTGACGCCGGAGAATGAGCCGGATTACTTGGAGATCATTGCTAGATTGCATCGTCGCTTGGAGCATCCGACTGCTTCGCATTGCACGAAGTAGATTACTTGTTTGATATCTGAGTTAAAGAGTACATATGGACGGATATGTTGAACGTAAAACCTATCAACTTCGCTTTTAAATCTGCACTTGGGGGGTTCTGTTCCCCATTTGCACAATCAAGGCAACCTCCGTATAGCAGATGATTCGATCCACAGTGACAACCGCACTGCCGCCTACTGTAAACACGAGCACGAATCATAATGCGTCACTAAAATCAGATCGATCGGGGTTTTGACTCTCCAAGGCACACTGTGCGGCTTCAGCAGTTACAGCTTTATGTAGCGGCAGCCTACCCCAATACGTGTTTGATTATCGAACTGTCAAGGTTCATCTCATCAATCCCATGAAAATCATGTTTATTATGATAATCTATTGGTATTCCCAAATCAAAATGCAAAGAACGCCTGCGCTGCACCCCATAAGAACGATATGAACATCGGTCCGGCTTAAATACACCGACTTTTCCCCCATTTGGGCTTTGCCTCAAGATCAATCCAAGATCCATCTCATCCTGTGCCAAGGTCGTAAGCAAAAAAAGAGAATTCCAACGACAAGCTTATTTCTTAAGCAGCAAGTACACGTAATCGATTCTCAACGGGGCAAGCTTCTTGTAGGGACCCTCCAGGTAGAGCAGCAGGCCTCCGAATGACACAAAGACAGCCCTGAAAATGTAACGTTAGTATCCGCAAGAACCAACACATCAGTAACGAAACTCACATGGTATCCTTAGTGGTACCCTCCTCAAAGCGGTACACCTTGCCATGGCAAACGTAATCGTAGTCATCCGCTAGGGTCTGATCACCCATGCTGACCTCCCTCCAGCTGGCGCGGGTATCCTCCTTGCCATCAAGAGAGAGAGTCGAGGCCAGAGCGAGGGACAGCGACTCGCCGACCGCGCATGGGTACAGCTCAGTGTTCACATCCAGGGTGAAAGTGATGGAGGCATCGTTGGAGTTGCAAGTAAGACGGGAGACGCGGTCATACTTCTGGGCGTTGATCGATGTGATCGTGAAGGTATCTTCGAAGAGGAGCGGGTCGGACATGATGAAGGTTGCGACCGCTGGATTTTCGGTCTATGTATGGGGGTTTTGGTAGACTGAATTATGCGCAGACGACCGCACACAAATTATCGTAGGTTCAAAGGCCCGCAATGGCTAGTTGGTGGTGCGAGAGTGGTGAAGAGAAGAGTTGGAGTCGGAGGTGGAGAGGTTGATCGGAGACCTGAAGCTTTTTTTTTTCTGCCGCCTTTTGGTCCCCGCCGATAACGATTTCGTTGGTTTGACATCTGCTCCTTGGTTACAGCTTTACTGGTTATTTTTATACTTGATTTGAATTTCTTCATCATGTCCTTTCGCAAGCGAAACATAGGTCTTTCTCCTGGACTTGATCGCAACGCTGTTCCTAATGCTACCGCACAGCCCGCTGCGCCAGAAAGCACGCCGGGCATTCGCCCCTCCCCCGATGATGGACGGCCAACAACCTCGACAGGGACTCGCTCTCTAGATAATCTTCTTGCAGGCCATGCAGGCCTACCAATGGGGAAATTATTGTTGGTTGAAGAGAACGGAACTACGGATTTTGCGGGCGCATTGCTGCGTTACTATGCAGCGGAGGGTGTAATCCAAGAGCAGAAGGTTCATGTGGTTGGAGTGCCAGAGCAATGGGGCCGAAGTTTGCCTGGTCTGATCGGCTCGGCGGAGTCGCTAGATGAGAAGAGATCTGACAGGCGCAAGGATGATCGCATGAAAATTGCATGGCGATACGAGCGATTGGGCGAGTTTGGGGCAGTCGCTGGTTCGCGGGGTGGTGAGCATTGAAACAAAACACTGCTTCTAGCTTCAATATGCTGATGAATATAGCTTCTACGAATCCTGGGGAACAGGATACAGTAGCAAAAGAAGCGCCCGCTTTCTGTCATGCCTTCGATCTCACGAAACGTCTCACCCATCCATCTATTACAAACATGTCCTTCATCCCACTTATGCCCTCCAAAGAGTCACCATTCCTCGCCGTCCTCAAACGACTCCAGACAGCAATCACATCCAGCGCCGCCAATACAATCCACCGTATCGTCATTCCTTCTCTACTCAACCCCACAATTTACCCGCCGAACGCCTGCCAACCCGAACATGTGCTCCAGTTCTTTCATGCCCTCAAGGCGCTGATGAGCGCGCACAACACCCGCGTCACCGCAATGATCACGATGCCTCTGTCTCTCTATCCCCGATCATCGGGGCTAGTTCGCTGGATCGAACTGCTTAGTGACGGCGTCATTGAGCTTTGTCCCTTCCCGCACTCTGCGGATGCCATGGCTACCTCAGGAGCGGCGACCTCACAAGAAGAGCCACCGCAGGGTATGCTCAAGACGCATCGGCTTCCAGTTTTGCATGAACGTGGGGGTGGAAGCGATCAGAATGTTGGAGAGGATTGGGCGTTTATTCTGAGCCGCCGGCGATTCGAGATTAAACCGTTCAGTCTGCCACCGGCTGAAGGAGACACAGAGGCGCAAGATGCGTCGGCTCCAGGCGGAATGCCTAAGAAATCAGATCTCGAATTCTGAGACGCTTGATGTTTGGTGTGATTCCCTAGACTCAGTCGTCCTCCTCAAAGTGTCGTTGGGTCCCTGGTTCTGATAGCATATCGTCCATCTCGATCTGCTCGGACATAGCAGGACCGGAATTGGCCATTGTGCGCAGGTAGCTCGCCCCATATCCGTCTAATCCTGGCCGCATAGAGCGGAGGCGATTCCCTAGACAGGATGAAGCTGCAAGCCATGCTGTTCGGTGTTAGTAATGCGGTCGCGTCTAACTGTCTAAGGATGCTGCGCGATACTGACCAACAAAGAGTAGCAGGGGTGCAAAGAATACTAGGAACAGCAATAGTAGGAAACCCATGATGCAGTATAAAAGAAGAAATATAAAATACTCAACGAATGCCAATGAAGATGATGATAAACAACGACGTTCAGCAGTTCGCTTGCCAAGAAGGCCTATTCCTAAATAGGACTAGCGTATAAGCTCAGCTTTTCCTTTTCCTTTTTTTTTTTTTCTTGTTCTTCTCTTCTCTTCTCTCTTCAATCAACCCTGGCTTTGCTGGTCAAATCCAAAGATCCTGGGTGTTTGATCTATGTTATCGACACTTTAATACTTCTTTAATGGTAAGCTTCCCTTCGTCTCCTTCACCCATCTCCCCACTCGCATGATTATTTAACTACAATCTGTCAATCCCCTGAAACTCTTTGATACGTCACTGAGTGCTTGCTGAGAAACGTACTGGAAAATGAATCGCGATCACCAAATTTACCTTGCTGGCTACCTGCATATTTGCATATTGGACAAGCGCTAACTGTCCTTGCCACAGAATTCTTGAAAAATCCCACAAGTCTCAAATCAGAAAGAAAAAAAAATGGATTTCCAACCAGACCTTCCCATTCCGATATCCTATGTATCCGGTAGATACCTGTTGTTCTCAATTGATGCCGTGACGTATCTGCGACGTGAGCATCACATTTGCGGTGTGCTCATCGGGACTCTGCCTCAGATCCCGCAGCAGAATGTCTTCCTGGGTCTCCCACTCGAGCTGATGCCCGAGGAGGCACGGCTGTTAGTGGACAAGGGTGTAGCTTGCATCGTAGACGAAGCCAAGGCACACGAAGGCATGAACACCCTCTTAGAAGAGGATCGCAGACGGTACCTCCGCGACCTCGAATCCCAAGGCCTGCATGTCTCGCGTATCCAATCGGATCGCAAAGAGCGCAACCGGGAACAGACATTGAAGAAATTAGAAGAAAAGAAAGCAAAGGCCAAAGCCAAAGCTAGTGCTGCTGCTGCTGCCCAGGCATCTACGGTTCCTGGGGAAGGCTCTTCCACCCCGGCGCCGAAGAACGCTGCCATCGTTGACCTCTTCAACTCAGAGGACCGCCCATCGTCTCCATCCACCGGCTCGATGAGCACACCCCCTCAGGCCGCAACTGCCATTACGCCCGCAACTTCTTACCCGCCTCTTTCCACGCCTCCACCATCAACCCACCTTTCAGCACCCGCGGTGCCACCCTCCTATCCTCTCTTCGCCCACCTCCACTCCAAAGGATACTTCCTCTCTCCCGGCCTACGCTTCGGGTGCCAATACATGGCCTACCCGGGTGACCCGCTGCGCTTCCACTCGCACTTCCTCGTGGTGTCCTACGACTGGGACCAACGTATTGATATAATGGATCTCGTTGTCGGTGGCAGACTGGGCACTGGTGTGAAGAAGGGTTTCCTGATCGGCGGAGCACAGAAGGGAATCGATGAGGTCGACTCGGAGGCTGATCGTGTGGGTACTGTGCGGGCTTTCAGTCTTGAGTGGGCTGGAATGTGAGGAATGAAGGATGTGAAGGGTTTCATATCCTTTATTTGTTTTGATTTCCCATCTATCGGGCCTATCGCTTAGATTCGCCCCTTGCAAAGATTCCATGGCTCATGCACCACGCTACCGTCGTTCTTTGCATGCCTTCAGGTTCCTCGAACCAGATGCACGACTTTCAACTGTGCCTGGCCTCTGCCTGGCCTCGTTGAACCTGGGGAAGAAATATATCACTGGTGATTTGGATCATCCTCGATCAACAAAGATACAGATGATATTCCCGCCCCAGAGGTAGTCTACCATGACAGCGAGGCTACCGTTGGGACTCGCCTTCGGTCGGAGGCTTGGGAGGGCAACAACGTGCGGTTAAGAAGGGTCGCATCCCTCTGGTCTATTCATGCATTGTCCGACCCGAAATAGCATGCCATATGACTATGAATCCATTCGCAGAAAGCTCTGCATCAAATATACATTTACACATTACACTGGTTAACCTGGTAAATCTGTAGCATCATGCCAGTTACAAATAGTATATTTGACCTGTGAGACATCTCTAGCCAACTAATATAGTAAAATATATTCATAAACATCGTTATTCTAATTGACCATCCTCCCCAGCGACTTGATGGTTATTCGAGTCGAAATTTCTTGTGGTGCTCTCGCCTTTGTTGTGCGGGATACGGTCCCTTTCGGCGTTAGGATGGTACACTGTGGTATCATTCAGTGGGCATGATGAAACAAGAACGAGTCTAGATTCATAGAACACCGGTGTGCGCCCGCCAAGTATGGACATGAAGCTTGAATTTCAAAGACCCTCGGCAGTCTGGAGCGCATGCATCAGCTTTTATGGCAGGAGCAGCACACTTGCAACATTCGAGGCCGCTTGACGATTGAGCAGTCAATCCCATCGTAGTAAATTGACAAGAACCAGAGATAATGACCACCATCTCAAATGTAATCAATGTTCCTCCACTTGAACTTCTTATTAGCTCTGTCCACAGACCGATTCTCGAACTGATTTCCATGCAGCTCGAAAACCAACGGCATGGGAGCTTTAGCATCGGACTGAGTCTGCTGATCCTGCGCGCCCTCAGACGGCGTTGACACAGGCACGGGCACCGTGAACCGGAAGACAGTATGTTCCTTCGGTATCGCTACACAAATAAACCAAGTCAGCATAGTCCCAAAATCGTACCTCTCGTCAAAACTCACTCTTCATCTCATCCTTCTCAGTAACAATCACAAACGTAAACTTCGTATCCCGCACCACAATCCCCTTAGCTCCAACCCTGCCAGCACACCCACTCCTAACGATCTCAACCTCAGCCCCATGGTAATCCGCACTGACAAGCTTACTTCCATGCGACGTCGGCGAAACATGCCCCTGTGCTCCGCCCTTCACATCCAGGATCTCCTGCATATACCCAACCCACAGCTCATGCAGACCCTTGAAAATAGCGTACTTGCATTCTTCCTTGGGTAGGTCGTACAGTCCTGACTTGCGCTTTTCGCGCGCTGATAGCGGTCGCGGCTTCTGGTGTCGGAGGAAGTATTCTTTTTTGCGGAGGCGATGGAGGCGGCGGCGAGAGCGGTTGTCGGATGCTGAGGGGGAAGTTGCGCGGAGGAAGAGGGGTTTTTGTTTGATGCGCTCGGTGAATTGTTGCGTTGCGCTGTCCGGGGAGTGGGCGCGTGAGAGAAGGGTATGCGCTATGTGAGTTTTTGGGGCTGGCGAGGATGCCATCTTGGGTTATCTTGGATATGGGCGTGGCTTTCAAACAGGGTCTTTTTTGTTAGGGCCAGTGGATGGGAGACTGGGAGTTGGAATTCGTGGACTGTGGTTGTTGGAGGTTGGAGAAAAATTATTTGATGTCACACACCGATAAGATATCCAGGCCATCTATAGATCAAAGGTACCACTTTATATACATTATTTGAACATGATTCAAGTCTGATATTATATTTTCTGCATTCAGATATGTTCTCGGATATTAGATCCCTCAGCAACTAGACTTAGATCGTCCCTCGGTTCTTTGATGCTTCCCCGCATATATCATTCATGAGATGAATATATAGCAAGTTGACACTCCTGCCGCATGTTTGAAGTGTGATACAACATCTGAACAAAGACGCTGAGATACTACTACTGACTCCCCATTTTGCATATATCAACATGCAGTCCCAGGCCGATCTACAGGACATCCCCAACAACTTCCCTGGAATTCCACCTTTCCCAGATGATGTCTCTACAGCACCCCTTCTTCGACTATCGTCGGGAAAGCTGTTAGCAGGTGACCCAACAGAGCACGAAAGACTGTTCCAAGCATCAACCGACATTGGGTTCTTCTATCTCGATCTATCAGACTCAGAGCAAGGCTCATCTCTCCTCGGTGACGCAGATAATCTGTTCCAAGTCGGCGAGAGACTATTTGAGCTGAGCATCGAGGAGAAAAAACAGTATGATTTCAGCGGACAGAACTCATACTTTGGATATAAAGCGCAGGGAGCTGCGGTGGTTGACAAGCAGGGGAATCTGGATCGGAACGAGTTCTACAATGTACGTCAGCTCAAGAGCAAATCGAGCTGTACCTTCACAGCAGCTGACAACTATATACAGGTTTCCAAAGACGATATTTTAGGAGTCAGTGATCCCCTACCAGCCCCAGAGACTCTGCATAAAAGCCGAGCCCGGCTGGGATCATTCATGCGCGGGTCACATGCAGTCGTAACCCTAATCCTGGACATCCTGAACGACCAACTTGCCCTACCAAAAGACACACTCTCCAATCTACACCGACAACACGCCGTAAACGGCGATCAGGTGCGGTTTATCAAAGCCCCACCACAGCCAGTAGACGACAGACGTACCGCGATGGGCCAACACACAGACTTTGGAAGCGTGACGGTTCTGTTCAACCGACTGGGGGGACTACAAGTGCTACCGCCCGGTGCTGATGCCGAATGGATCTATGTCAGACCACTTCCTGGTCATGCTATTGTCAACCTTGGGGACGCAATGGTCAAGTTTACGAATGGGCTGTTCCGGTCGAACATTCACCGAGTTGTGGCACCGCCGGGACTGCAGGCTGAGTCGACGCGGTACAGTCTTGTGTACTTTGCACGACCCGAGGATAGTGTGATGTTGCGTCGGTTGGAGGGATCTGATCGGATTCCTGTTATGGAGGATGGTCAGACCGAAGAGGAGATTAATAGCAAGGACTGGATTATTCGGCGGGCTTTGGGTCGTCGGGTGGATCGTGTTAATGAGGTTGATTTTGAGAAGTCTGCAGGGACCGAGCAACTAAGTCGGAGGATCAAGGTTTAGCATTGGTCTGATGTCATTTCGTGAATAATCAATACGTGGAATCTTGGAACGGTGATGACTTGGAGCTTAACACGCTTGCAGATAACGTATCAAGGCACCTATGTTAAAAAAGGGAACGGCAATGCTCTATGATCCATAGCCGTAAGATGAAGCACATGTAGAATAGTGTGACCAGTCAATGATCTTACAACCAATAAGAACCACTTTGGGAGGTATCACCCATGTCTCCCTCAAGGTTTCCAAATGAGGAAGGTAGATATTTCCAGTTAGGAATATGTACTTGTGCTATATCTCCCCTGAAACTAAGATAGTCGATCTTCCATCGATGAACTTTGTAATCGTACCCCGTAGATTACCAATCAAAAATAAAAAAAGATCAAAGCATAAAGGATAAAGGATAGGCTCGACAAGGGGCAAAACTAGCAGAAACTACCGAATCCACCCAGCTCAGGAGACTACATACTACACCCGTCTAGGCAAGAGGGTCTACTCTAAATCAGCCGAAGATAAACTCTATGTAGATTAAGGCAAATATATCCTTCGAACGGCTAGAATCTGACGATACACAGCTCCGATCCTTCAACCCGGTACTTTGGTAAAGACAACTTGTGGAGAGGATCTAGACTTTTCCCCAAAGACGCTCTTATATTTGTCATATTTTGAGTCTTGCGATACCGCGGCTGAAATGAAAAACGACGCCTCTGTACGGAACTAAGATGTGCAATTTGACACATTACACATTCCCCCGAAACTAGAAAGTGGTACCTATGTATAGTGCGATTCAACATCGTGGGTATTGACGTGCCAAGATTTGGATGTGGTAGGTCTAACCTGATTTTGAATTGGCTACATATTGTGGCTACATGTTGACGCAAGGCTGGCATTAGGTAAACGGTCCAACATGACAGCCTGTTCTCTATATGTCGATCATGATCTCCAGCAATGGCTCACATACTCCGAACTGTGGCGACTACTGCACATAGTATGTAGAACTGTTATTTCTTATTTTCCAGCGATAGTGGGTTGTCGATCGTTTTGCCATGTCTGAACCACATCTTCACGGGCTATGACGACCGGGTTAGCTTCTCGATTAGGTTAGCCATTGAAATGGATTTCAGTCCCATCTACTATTTTTTTGGGAAATAAAAAAAAAAGGGCACTTCGGGCGTCTTTCTCCCCAGCCGCTCCATTCCCGATGTTCTGGAACCGGGTTGTCCACTCCCTAAGCGACCCTCCCCCTGACTTACTGGCATGATCCTCCGTGGCTAATTCATGCGAAAACTTAAAAAATGAAGGTACTTTTGACTAAACCCTCACACAAGTAAGCCGTGTCCAGACGTCGGGATTTGAGATGCAAACCCCGCGACCCAACAATCTGGATCTGTCTCGTCTGAATAATTGTGACAGCGGGTGGTCTTCCCCGGGCTACCGCCTCTTATCTAGTGATTTTTACGCAGTAGTTTACATAGTTACTCTGTCCCTATAGTTGAGGGGATCTGCAGAACCAGGGATGACAGGATGGTACTTTTATTTGAGCCGGAAATGCAAAAGCATAGATCTTGAACCTGGCCATTTAGCGGGTCAAATGGATAAGCTACTTCACGAAACGTCAAATACGGGTAAATTCAAATCAAACCTATCCACCATCAGACCACAGTCTCAAACTCAAAGTGTCAGAAATCGGGAATATCAGCGGCTATGGACGATTTTCTTACAGGCCAATAACCATCGATATTCCGTCCGATATGCTCCACTATGCATTGTTATCTGGCCTTTTAATGAATTCCGACAAATGCACAATATACATTGTCCGGAATACCAAATGTCTTGGTAATCTCGTGTCAACCCTGGAAGCACCCTCAGCTCGGTTCATCCAATCTATATCATATCTACAAAAATAAATCAAAAACGGCTCGGACCGTCCAAACGGACCACACGGTGTTTCCTACCCGCTCCATTCAACTATTACAACGCTAAGTTCTCTTAGAACTGTATCTACGTTTCAGCCGTGTCACGATGTATGTCGACCGAAATTATTCTTGTGCATCCCCGGAAGCATTCCGGTTTGTGCTTACCTTTCGTGCTATGCCACATCATTTTAAGGTAAACGTCAGCTCGGGGAACAGGAGGAGATTTGGAATTGTTGGGATGGAAGATAGAAGGGACAAGGCAGAAAATATGCACGAGGGTGCTTGGACGAGGCAATTGCACATGCAGATCCCCGCAGCAAGGCATGACGTAGGAAATTACTTATTATTCTAGACCCTTCGGATTAGGAATAATCGCCGTTAATATGGGTTTGGTATGTTCTTTTTTTGGCATGTAAAGTATTTCCCGTAGAATGTACTATAGTTTCATAGTGCATGGAATGCGTGTATACTATATGTCTGTATTCAAAGTATTGCATGGCGTCTGATATCACAGGAAACGGAAACTGGGCGCGATAGTCTATTTTGGTGTGTGGACCTCCCGGTTTAGGTCCTTTGGCATTGCCACCGAGTTTCCTATTCTGACAGCAGCCACAGTGTGCGTCAAGCCACTTACATATGTTTAGAATATAGTGAGTAATATACGATATGCACGTCGACACTGGACGCCATGAAAACATACACATCATCGGGATCCATGTCAGGGGAGTGAGTTAGTTTCAATGTGCGGATGTTCATACCATCCCATGTATATGTATATTCTGTATGTTCTGTCTTGGTAGGACCATGGCATATAAAAATAACAAAGTATCATCGGGATGGATCAAATAACGTGGAAGGCAAAGCTAGTGGGGGTAAATGGGGGATATCATAAAGGATCGTGTTGTAAATGTAAATCGGGTAGGCAACGCTAGATGTTCCAATCAAGCTGTCACTTCGACGGTGTCCGGTGTCTGTTCAAGCGCCATAGCTGCTAGTTTCTCTTCAATGCTCTTCAGAACCTCAGGACTTGGTTCTGGTTTGACCTTTTTAGGACTGCAAAAGAAATCAAATGTTAGCCATAAATCCCCCCCTCCAAAAAAACAACATGTTGGGTTGATATCAAACGTACGGGATTCGTCTAGTTTCATCACACTTCGCCTGGCCACACTTCGAACAAGTCTCCGAATTACCCTGGAACCAAGTCTGACAGACATGACATTCATAATGGACTCTGCGACGAGTCTTCTTGAACGTGCGCTGAGGTCTAGGCTTGGGCGGATCCGCATCACCCGCATAGCCATCGGGGTATTTATCGAGTTTAGCCGGGTCCCGTGGACAAATCTTGCAGCGCACATGGCTGCAACCAGGACATTCCTTGGAGCCAGGGGTAAAGATCGAGGCGCATAGGTGACAGTTGCGGCGGACACGCTGGCGAACCGGCCGACGGACGAAATCCGCGCCGCCCGTGGGCGACGGCATCTTGAGCGAAATTTCCTTGGTGGTGCTGAGCTTGAGGTGCGAGGTCCTGGGGAATAGTCGGGGTTGGTGAACGTAGGCATCTGGGACCTTGGGCTTGCGGGTTGTCGATTCGCCATCCTTTTTGGGTGGGTGTCGGGGACACTTTGTGCAGCGGGTATGCTGGCAGTTGATGCATACTTTGTCTGCACCGAAGGTTGTTTCGCAGCGATGGCAGGTACGGCGCACCCGCATGCGGATTGGCTTCGTTACACGGGTTATCTGAAGATCGGTGGGTGTCTTCCATTCACTGGTGTCGACAGTCAGGCCGTATTTGGCGAAGAGGGCGCGTGCCTTTTCGTTCTGGGCCGTTCGGAAGTCGGTGTACATGACTGGTCTTGGTGTGCTGAGATCCTGGGTTGGAGCTGGTGTCGGGGCTGGTTCTGGCGCTGATACTGGCGCAGGAACTGGTGCCGGTGGTGATGCTTCCTTTGGTGCACTGTATTTAGGCAATGTTAGTATATGGCGCTGAAGTAGAAGAATGTATATCGTACGTCGTTTCGGGAGCGGCTACACCGGGAGGTATAGATTGTCGTTTGGACATAGACCGAGGACGGAGGACGGTCTTCATACGCTTAAGGTATTTAGAGAAGCCCTCAGGCTTATCTTGGCGACGTCCATCTTGAGACATTATTCGAAGAACTAGAAAAAATGGTTTATCCAGTCAAGACTCCACACAAAATATGTCAAGTGTGAAGGATATCAAAGTGGACCGGAGGTGGGATTTCCGTGCAGAGGAGAGATGGAAAGGGACAACCCAATTATTATAGAGAATATCAGATAATCAAGAGGTACATAAGTATTGTACATAAAAAGGCTCAAAGCTCAGACGTGGGGATTCCGGTACTGTGGTTCTGTGGATTCGGGTAGTTTGGGATATTCGAATATTCCGATTTTTATTTTCTATTTTATTCATTTGATTCGCCTGAAAAGGGTTTTTTATTTATGGGGTTTATATTATTTATTCAGATTATTACTCCGGGTGGATCTAGTACATGGAAGTATGTCTCTCCATACTAACCATCATAGGAAAATACCGACAATCATGTACCATATGATAACTGGTCAAAGCCCTGGTAACTTTGACATCTCCCAGTTAGTCTTTGATGTGCACTCCCCACTCTTTCTCCTCCAACCCGCTGACACTTTGAAATGGCTTTGGCCGCGAAACTCTGTGGCTTCAGGAGATTCTCTTCTCATATCCGAGAATAGCGTGCTATTTAACTGGATCGAACAGACCTGGCCCCCCCCCCTGTTTCTTGGCACGTCATTGGTTCGTCTGGCGTCCCGTCCTGGACCTTCACGGGGCAACTGTGTTTCGTCATGCTAACAAAAGTACAAAACAAAAATATGAAGTACACTTATGTATTTTTCCCCGGCGGTTGACCGATAGCGCATGTAAAAGCCCTTGGCTCCAAAGGTTGTCCAAGGGTGGGGACACCGGGAGGAGTTGACATCCTCTGGTCTCCCCACGGCAGCACCCGCCACCCCGGCTGCCTTTCCAAAAACAGCTTAACTTATTGGTCAGTGGGAGTGGATTGGGGGGAGGTCGAGGTAAAGTGAGCATGTCTTGAAATTTCTTCGCTATTGCAGTCGATCAGGAGGTTTGAGTGAGTTCCCTTTGAAACCCGAATTTGGATTACCGTGGAGATCGTGAACTTTTGAGTTCGGTCTTTTCTTCACAGCCTTTGTGTATTATACTACGGAGTACGATGTACTACGTCGTACAGCATAAAGGGATTGGTACTGGATTGAAGATGAGTACGTATGTACTCTCCGTACTTCGTACCTGGGTATACTGACTGTTAGGGCACCATCTTTCGTTTTTCGTCTCTACAGTAGTGCTCTTTATAGTGCTGACTAAATTATTGATAACTGGGACCGTGAAGAATGCAGAACCCCTCTAGGACGGAAGGGTGGCAAAAGAACCTTTTGACACCCACACGGGATTCTCTCCATTGGACTAGTAGAGATGCATAATGCATGACACGGGGATCCCAAAGCACAAAGTATAAGCAGTTCGTCAACCTACATAATAATGGTTTACAATGTCTGCAAGTGAGGGTAACATCCAAGAGAGACTAAATTTTTTTTTTTAAAAAAAAACAAACGAAAAGAAAAAAAAAAACGCTGGGGAGAATGGTGACTTCGACCCGAGAGTATGCACTACTGCAACTACTGCAGACTAAGGCCGTTGATCATCGCATTTTTGTATTTTTGTCCCTCAACGGTTTCTCCCATTCTGTCAGTTTTGTACCCCTGCAGTGGAAAGTGGGCACGCTTAGAAATTGAAGAGAAATCTGGGATATGGTCAATATTTTTTATAAAAATTCAGAGCCAGCCCCCTCGGGGAAATAAAAAACGCAAATTCGCCTTGGAAGGAAACAAATTTCCCTCCTAAAAGTGGGCCAAAGATGTGGGCTCATTGGGAGTGGAGGTGGTCGGATCGCTCGGTTCTAGGGCCTTGGTACAGTATGGTAGACCTTAACCTAGATATCAGATAATGTTATGTAGTCTGGATGAAAAGTTACTTGGTACAATCATATACATCTGCGATACCTCCCTGTACTTGATTATTCCGAGCCTTCTGCATGCAGTAAGCATGACCCGTCCCATGTGCACGGGAGTATAGATGCACAGTTTGATACAATACATATGGGTACACTGTATGTATACTATGTACACCGTAACTCAAGATCATATTATGTAGCTTCATTAGCCATATGACCATACAGTACTCTACACTTCGAGTATACTGCTCTACAACATTCCATTGACGCTGCATTCTTCCAAATTGTCTAGATATACCTTGTCGCTCTCGCTTACATAGACTGCATATCGCTGTTCCGAATATGCATACCTTGACCCAGGGCAATGGCCCCGGGTGTAAGACTACGCAGCTGGGCACGGATGCCACACCCGCCTTGCCACCGCCATTCTAGATGTCGGGACTCGGGCCCTATCACCACCCCGTTGGGTATTGATACACGGTGTAAAATGTTGAAATTCTTGAAATGCATAGACAATTCACCGGGAAAATAGTCGAGGGGCAGGACATTTCATTACTGCAGTCGATCAGGCGGTTCGAGTGAGTTCCCTTTGAAACCGCGATTTAAATTGCCGTGGAGATCGTGAACCTTTTTTAACTTTGGTATTTTCTTTATAGACTTTCTGTATTATACCTCCGGAGTACGATATACGAGATACTATATCGTACAATATAAAGGAATTAGTACTTAGAGACAAGTATATGTATACATGTACACGTATGTACTCCGACTTTAGTATTTTTTATTATTTTTCCTTCTTCCTTTCTCGTATAGTAGCACACTTTATAGTGCTGACTAAATTATTGGTAACCAGAACTATGAAGCTTAATGTAGAATCCATTTACCATCGAAGGGTGGTATCAGAACCTTTTGACATATAGGGATCTCTCCGACCAAAGCGCCAAAGTATTAATAGCAATTCCTCAGCCTATGGCGTACATAATAATTTACAAATCGACGCCGTCAGCAAAAGCAAGTGCATCACCACGGCATAGGAGCCAATTCATAGGAACTCCATCATAAAAAGGCTCATCATCACCCGAACTGATACCATCCTCATCTAGAGCCTGGCCTTGGCTCGTTTCCGAGTCCCCTTCCTCCATTCCATCAGACATCGAAGTCTTACTCGAGGCGACCATAGTTTCCTATATAAACTGGGCCTCTCCCTCAACGTGCTCCAAATCCTCGAAAGTCTGGTCTTCCACCATGTTCTCGGGTAGCTGGTGACCTGAAATGTTTCTGGCCAACGTCCGCAGCATTGCCTTTCTGAGATAAGGGCCTGGTGTTGGCCAGAATTGGTGGGCCGCCTCAACCTTGTCCGTGAATGTGACTTGACCTCGATTCTTGCAAAAGATGTATGTGACAATGAAGCGAAAGTACAAAAAGCGCTTTGCGGGTCTGGCATCAGAACGAAACTCAAGCTCCTTTTAGTCGAAGTCCTAGTGAAATGTTAGCTTGCTAATAAACCCAACAAGATTAGGACGACTTACGTTCCATCTCCAGGAACGACTGGGCGTTGTAATCGCCGTAAGGTGGCGGATGGCTTCATCCGTCAACACACATTTCCAACGCGAAGGACTAGTGATCTCAGTATCACTCAAGATCGGAACAATGACTATGTGTCCTTTGTCTAATGCTTCTATATTCGTGTGCAGGGACAGGGCTGTATAGCTAATTAGTACTAACGCCCAATCTGGATCGGTCTGAGGGTAATGAGTAGTTGGTAATGAGTAGTTGCCATTGCTTGTGTCGGATAACAAGAGCGTTTCCACCCCAAATAGGTGCGCAATCCCATCACCGCTGAGGCGTTTTAGAACTAGCTGGGCTGGTTTGATATTCGCGGGATCCTAACTGCCCGTGAGGTGGCAGAAGCCTGCTTTCTCAATAATGCCGTAGTACTTATTGACATCCCTCTTAAATTGGATTCTTACAAACTTTTTGTTCTTGAGCAGTTTAGCCGTGGCCAACATAACCTTTGGTGGTATGGTATCGATGTACGCTCTCTCCAGTATTTCGACATCTAGCTCTCCTTGCCGCTGTCGCTTGACCATCACTTGCTCTTCAAGACCTTCTCCGAGTATCTCGCGTTGACGTGAGAGGGCTTTTAGCTCCCGTGAGGCCGATCTGGCCGACTTCAAGAGAGGCTGTAGAGCCGTAACGTACTCAGGGCCGGTGAGCGCATTGGCGTCTGATGCCTCAAGAAGCCCTTCCATGGGCACACTGGATATAATCCAGATCGTCTTTGTAGTCTCGGATCTTTGATTCAGGAAATCGGAAACTGATCTGGAAGTCTGAGGTTCCCTCTTATCATTTGCCAGTAGAGCCCACTGGCGATCTTGCGGCATAACCGCTAGTGTACGTGGGTGGATCTTGGGCCGAAACATCTTTGATTGCAAAAAAGGTTACATGTCCCGTAATGTATGTATTTCGAGTAGGTGCAAAGATTACACTCCTGGTTGGGAAATTATCACGACATAGGACCGACTCTTTGGGCAATATGAAAAGGATTGGTAATCTTCCCACCCCGTCTAGATAGCTTCCAAGGTTATCGCTCTTTAGACTGGATATCACTATTCCAATATTACTTGAGGGCAATGGCCTCGGGTGTAATACGTAGGGTACGGATACCACTTGGCACTATACAATTGCATTGGTATTAGTGTAAAATGTTGAAATTATTGAGGACAGTTTAAGAGTAGCAAAGTATAAAGGCATCTATAAACTGCACACATTGTAATCTTTGAATTTTAAATAGGTAGGCCACTTGACGAGATCTCAGTACGGTGGAATTTTCTAGACTATACAGCCTGCACAGACACCACACCTACCAATTTTCAAACAAGAAAATCGGAGTTTAGTTAACGGTGGAGAGAAAGGGCATCTCGTAGTGGGCGATTACATTTTACAGGAAGACCAATCAACCACTGCTAGTTATATTGCATGGCCACTTCAATCCACACATTGTGAGTGAGCAAGAATAAGCCGCCAATTGTATCAATCAAAACACCCGGAATCTTTTTCACGGCCACAGCGGGACCAGTGGGACCATACGAGGGTATGAGCTACGGGCCACGAGGATGATCACCGACCCCCAAAAGTCTTGTGAGATTGAAGAGATTTTGCACTGGATAGCCGAGGCTGATTCACTAGTGAGTATTAGGTTTAGTTGTATCGATCGGCTTAGGTGTTCATCGTGGCTGGCGGTTACCGATGGCTGGCTGAGCTGGCGAGATCTTGGGCCCATCGCCCTTTGAGCACAAGGACTTGTTATTGGTCGATGATGAATGGCAATGATAACCAAAAACCATTGCTGCCATCAAGACCTAGGTCAAACAGTATCAATTGACTGCATAGGCCGGCTAAGCCCCGAGTATCGGCATTCCCGAATGACAGACCTTGGCCATTCTCGTTGGGAAACTCAAAACAGGGCGACTTGGGAGTACAAAGTACATGGCTCGTGAGATCTACCACTAGCGGGAGACATACGAACCGCACCGTTACAAATTCATCTGGGTTGATAGATCACAAATTCCGTCCCATAGTCTTGTGTGATCGACGCCAGCATGAGATCCCGGGAATTTTAGTCTAGGCAGTCAAGTGCATGTCAGATTTAGAATTCCAGAAGTACATTCGACCCCTAGGGTATTCCTGTGTGCATGGGTGGCATTTCCAAGCTAATAGGATCCAGTCATTCCGCCAAAAAAAAAAAAAAAAAAAAAAAAAAGAAAAACGCCCTCTATACAAATCCCACGCCTTGGGTATATGCTCAATCCACCGATGGACATGCTCTCCAATCAAGGGGTGCATTCACTAGCCTGGATGCCTCAATCCGACCCAGTCAGCTTGGACTTAATGTCGATGATATCTTCATCGGCCTCCACCTCGATCACTCGGTTGACTTGGGCACTGGTGCGCATCAACTCCACTGCATTTGCATACGACATCCGTTGCATCGGGTTGCAATTCTCAGGGAGCCAGTAGAGGAGAACATAAGGGACTGAGGGACGTCCGTCTTTCTGCGAGTGCACGTCTCATTTAGTACGTATGCCATGAGTTGGATCGAGTTTGTATGTTTGATAGACGACTTACGGTTGTCGTTGGGTAACTGAGCAGAATGAATCGCGGTGAGGATTCGGGAAGATCATCGGCCAGATCTTCCATCTTGGAGTAGACCTCATCGTCTTGCGGCCGGATCTCCTGGGTCTTTGCATCAATGATGTCTATCATGTGCCACTGTCAGCTTAAGGCGCAGGGAAGGATACCGGTGTGGTTATAACCGGCACCATGTACGTGCTATATGGCTTGGTTTCCGTCGAAATGCATGAGAGATGTGGGAAAGGGCAGATTTAGGGACCCATACAAATGATAGCTTGCGCGTCCTTGGCTCTCGATGTGCCCAGGCGGAATTTGCGCAGCTTCTCCTTGGTCTCAGGAGAAAACGAATATAGTCGTGAATCAGACTACCATAAGTCAGTGCCTGATGGGGGAAATCTGCGAGCAGTTCGCATGGCCTATGCCAATCAACCTGGAGCGGGAAGACATCTCACCATTTTGGGCGTGAACTGTGGGACACGCAAAGAAGACAAGGAAACTAAAGTCCTGAGTCTAGCGCTGGTAATGCACTGAATAAAGATGATACTAGATATGTTGGAAAACGGAGAAAGCTGTAGGAAAGGCGAGATGGAAATGCGGGCGGAGTGTCCCTGTTCCCCCACTTCACCTTCTCCACGCTGCGAACAATCCAGATCCAAACTCCTACACCTATATCTTCATGCTCAACCGACTGAACCTACTGACTCGACACTTCCCACGTCAATTTAGTCCCTATCGTCCAACCAGTCCCTCCTTCTCGACCCCGTCCCTGGCCCCTCGCTCAGGTCCGTTCGCGATGACATCAGCCGCGCTCAAGCCCATTCACACGGCAGCATGCCTCATTATCGGTGATGAGGTTCTCGGTGGAAAGGTAATTGGATATATCCAAAGACCCCCTCATGAACAGAAAGATTCTGATATCACCTCAACCATTAGACCATCGACACCAACTCGCCCTACCTAGCCAAGTTCTGCTTCTCGCTCGGCATCGAACTGAAGCGAGTCGAGGTCGTCCCCGATGACGAGGAGGATATAATCGAAGCCATACGACGCATGAGCTCCCGCTATGACTTTGTCGTTACCAGCGGCGGCATTGGGCCCACGTCCGTACCACCACCCCATCCCTAGTTTCTCCGCATCATTGAGAAACGGATCCACGCCGACAACGCGCAATGCGACACTCCATACAAACCCGCAGCTAACACATATCCCCAATTCACAGACACGATGATATCACATACTCTTCAATCGCTAAGGCATTCGATCTGAAGTTGGCATTGCACAAGCCGGCCTTCGAGCGCATGAAGCGCCTCTCCAAACCTCACCCTATGCAACTCAACTTCGACTGGGAGAAACCTTCACCAGGCCTGACCGCCAAGCTACGCATGGTCGAGCTACCCTTCGACCCCAAGGTCTCCGCCGAGTCACAGGCCCTGTTCGTCGCGGACGACTTGTGGGTGCCGGTCGCGGTGGTGAACGGCAATGTGCACATCCTGCCCGGCGTGCCGCGGCTTTTCGAGCGTCTGCTCCAGAATTTGAAGCCTTACCTTGTTCCCCGCTTGACGAACCCGGATGGTAAGGGAACATTCCGCTTGATGGTCAGCACGCCGTTGCCTGAGAGTGCGGTGGCGCCATACCTGACTGAGCTTGCCGCTAAGGTTGAGCCTCGGGGGATCAAGGTTGGCAGCTATCCGCGTTGGGGTAAAAAGCGCAATACTGTTACTTTGGTCGGGGCGGATAAGGCATACATGGAGTCGTTGGTCAGGGAGGTCGAGGAGAATGTTCAGGGCAAGCTGGTTACCAAGGAGAATGAGTTGGATGTTCCGTCCGACTCGGACCAAGTTTTCAGTCAGTAGATTGTTGATTACACATGTAGACTGCGATGTCTGAAACATGCATAGCACATCGAGCATAGAAATTCGACATGTATATTTCAGTTAAGAGTTTCTAACATGTAAATATTGATCAGGCTAGATTATCACATGAAGCTATAAGCGAGACTAGATCGAGAACACCCCATGCTCTAGCTGTCATAGCAGCCTTGCAAAAAGAGAGCCCTTGTCAAGAGGTAATGAGAACTTTGAGATAAGGTATCAGACCCAATGGATCACACTATCAAGGATAGATGGGAATATATCCCGAGGTCATACGTAGAGCAATAGATAGAAGACTCATACCAGGACAATCTCAAAAACCAAGGTACATGCCGCAATGATGGAAAGCAATCCACCTCGCCATAAAAGAGACATATATTAACAGCCGTGTCGTCTGGAGCGACAAAGGATAATGATAATAAAAGGCGATAGATAAACAAACACCAGGGATCTTTCGCAAAGACTTGAACAGCAAAAAGAAAAAAAAAAGGGACTAAAACAAAGACGCAATCGGACAACAAAAGGGGAATCAAAATGTTTCGTGAGACGAGGTTGGGCGTCAAGGTCGGCAGTCATCAAGAATGCGAGTTGAAGAACCCACAAACATCCGTAACACAAACGACAATGCCACTTCTTTGGTAATTTTTTTCAGGTTTTTCGAGGTTGCAATTTTGCAGTCTCCGTATTTCCCATGTTGTGTGATCTGAGTGGCGGTTGCAGAGATTAAAGCCATTCAAAATAAATGAACATATCCAACTTTCCCAAGTGTGCACTCGGACGTATAAATCCTTTAAAACTCTTCCTTTCGGAGGGCTCGAGATTCGAGGGTATCGCGATTCGGATCATTTTGGTGTTTTACATGATGACGCACTTTGAGCAGCAGCCGGCGCTCTCGCCGGGGTCGCTCACGTCCATCTTGCCCTCTGGTGCGCGGGCGCCGAATGCGCCGGAGCCGGAGGGGTACGAGGACATCTCCTTGTTGTAGCGGCGGATCTCGCGGACGAGGTCGTAGAAGGCGTTCTCGACGTTGATGCGGGACTTGGCGGAGGTTTCGATGAACTTGCAGCCGAACTGACGGGCGAGCGCTTCGCCCTCTGTTGTAAAAGTGAATGGTTAGCGGGATTTGGATATCGGATTCGGGATTGAGTTTCGGTTTCAAGGGGGAGTTTTAGGGAATGTAGAGATGGAAGCATACCCTGCTCGGAGACCACACGCTCCTTTTCCAAATCGCACTTGTTGGCAACAACAATGATGGGGAAGTAATCCTTGTCCTTGACGCGCAGGATTTGCTGTTGGAAGGTCATGATTTCTTCGAAGGATTGACGCGATGTAATGGAGTAGATGAGAAGGAATCCCTCGCCGGTTCGCATGTATTGTTCTCGCATAGCCGAGTATTCCTCCTGACCTGCTGTATCCAGGACATCCAACAAAGCGACTTCATCATCGATCACACACTGCTTGCGGTAGGAATCTGTAGGCGGAAGAAGGTTCCGAATTAGCTATGTTGTTCAGCGGGGGGTAGGCACCCCCTGGGAAGACGTGATATGATCCGCGCGGCTGATGAAACGGGGGCTTCGGGCTCACCTTCAATTGTTGGATCGTACTCGTCCACGAAGTGACTCTGGATCAGTTGGATGGTCAAGCAGGACTTGCCGACGCCACCACCGCCGACAACCACCAGCTTGTATTCTCTTAGGAACTGGTAGACAAATAAGGGTTAGCTGTTGGAACTGTCGTACCACATTAGATCAAAGTGCTCACCTTTGAGGCCATTATGAGTTTCAAATAGAGAAAATGAAACGAAACGAAAAGATATTAAAGCGATAAAAAAGGGATCGCAGGACAATTTAAAGTGAAATTCACGTAATGTTCCTTTAAAAAACAAAGGGTGGGAGAATTAGGGGGAGAGAGTTCGGAGGTTGGAACGGGAAGAAAATAAATGGAGACCGAGCTTCCAAGGTTCTTCTTCTCTTCGAGAATCAGTTTCGAAGGTCTGGGGTAAACAGATATAAAATAATACTAAAAAAAACAAACAAAGAGATCTGTTTCTTTTCTTTCTTAAGAAAACAGAAAAGAAGGAAGGGAAAGAAGGGGCGAAGGGAAATTCAGGAGATAGTGGGGAGAAAATGGTGATTGGGTCAGAAAAAGGGGACATGCGCGCCATTGAACGGTGCTAGATTGCTTTTATATTTCCTATTATTTTTTATTATTTGAGATCTCTATGTACGATTCTGTCGTTCTATTGTTCTATTGCTTTTTATTGTCCGAAGCTATATAATAGTGTTGTTGCTCTGTTATTCCCCTACCTTTCTCGATTTGCATTCCGTGCCAATATATGGCTTTGGTACACTACTAAATTGTATCTCTACAAGGGAATTGATTGGCTTAAGCCACGGCCCCATTGAGGAACGTGCAATTAACGACAATATATAGCGGAGATTATCTTACGCTTTCTCCTTTTACTCGCAATCTACATTAATTTTGTAATTATCGCTTACCTCTGTCTTGTCTACTGGCTTCAAAATCTACACCATACAGAAGTCAAGAAACCCAGTTCCTCCAGAGTGGATCTGCCGTCCCGGTGGAGCTGGGTCCCTCTTTGGCGCTTTTAGGGCTTCGGCCTATATGTCCACCTATGTACAAGTTAGGTCTAGAAATAACAAACAATCGTTCAGATAGCAAGTGATGTTGGGCACCAAAGAGTCTGTATAGTTTGCTTGCCACCGCATATTCATTATGGCTTTCTTATACGCCTAGACTACCCTGGATGGCTTGCAGGTAGACGCCCGCCTTGCATAATTGCATCATCCCGCCGCAACATAATCACCTCTGTCACTTTTTATGATTGGATACATCGGAAAAATTCCTAACCTCATCGTCCCACTTTTGGAACCTTGATCATAGCCAAATCATCGCAGTGTTCGATGCCAATCAACTAATTTTACTAGTCCCCATATGCCTTACCAAAGTCTGAGTCACGCCGTTTTTTGACATATGCAAAGCTACAGATCGGGAGTTTGATCCGTACCATTTGCCGCACTTCTTTTCTTCAACCTTCGACTAGGCCCAACGGCTGTCCATGAATTGCTTATATTAGCTTTAGCAGGAACCCCGCGACTTTACATAAGACTTAGATTCTAGAGGATGTGTACAGAGTCACATTTAGGCATGGATCACATCGAGCTGGGTAACGATCGTCTATAACATACTTCATACTTTCACACACTTTGAACTTTGACATGCCAATTATTGTCTTCTAGTGATGCTAAAGTAAAAATAAAAATTAATTACATTCCGTCCACGGTTCTTTCCCGGCGCGATGCCTATCTTGACCTAGGCACGACTCTGTTGATTTCTTTCCCATGGATGACCGGAAGTTAATTCCTTGTGCGTAATCACGAATGTCTTAAAGGTTAGAAAAGAGCCGAGATAAGATTCCGTTGGTTAACATTCAAATTTTAGTCCATAGATTATTCTTAGAAGCGACCGGATAATCAGTAAGGCTGCATCCGTTTGATTTCCAATGTCGGCCGATCCAGATATGATCTGTCAAACGGACTCACGGTCTGTGATTGATCATGACTCTGGTGACTATGCATCTATCAGCATCTGGCAAGTAGTAAACGGGATTATGTTTCGAGGCAGCGCTTAGAAAGAACGATGGGATGACGAGAATGAGCCGCATAAAGAGATGTGATGGGAAAGACTATTGGTAAGCTGCAATATCGAGTGACAAATCTACTCAGGTCACACAAACGTGATGCAGACTAAAATATGTTTCTAGAACCTACAAACCCCGTTGCATAGTGTGGAGTGATCCACATCTGCCAACGATCGAGTGAAATTTGTAAGGGACATGGAGAACCGTCAATATTGAGTCTTGTGCAGATACCGAATCGGTGTTAGGCTGGAATTGTAACTGGCCTAGATAAAAAGATCCGGTTAGAAACTGGTACATGCCCCGGAATCGCTCGTCAGCTAAGAAATGGATCTCGGGATAGAATCGCACTTGACGTAACTAGGGGCCTGAAGCATCACCAATAGCGTTCGGCGTGCGACAGGCCATGGGGGTACAATTGCCTGGGCACATGAGCAGAGTACAATTAACACAACGTGTCCAATCTATCGGAGATTTAAGTACCTGACACTGAAGAACTCACCGAACTGTCTCCATCGTGAAGATAGATTGCACGCTACCCAACTCGTGCCTACCCAACGCCCAAGGAGACTAATCAAACTGCCACCAAGCCCAAAATCGAAGATCCCGAGGACCAGCCAATCATCTCGAGATGACTCTTGCAGATCTCAAAGTCGGCGGACTATATGTCATTCTCCAAGCCCGTCAAGAACCACCCGAGCCCAATGAGTTCTACTGGGGTCTGTATCTCCACTCGGATTCCGTTGGAGGCATGGCATATCACGTCGTAGACACAGGATCTGGTCTGAGACCCGAGCATGAGTATACTGGTGGGATCTTTAGTACTCCTCTTCTTACGGGTCTATTCCGAATCGCCGATATCACTCGTCCCTTGCATCCATTTGTCGATAGGGTGATAAGGTCCTACGATAGCAGCCTCAACTGCCCCGGAAGAAGTAGTAACAGCAAGTTCTGGGTTTTGAATGTCCTTGCACTACTGATCCAGCCTACGGCTACTGGATGGCTTCCAGTGAATTGTCATAACTTGCCGATCCTGGAGCAGGAACTCCGCGATTGGGGTAATCGAATGTCGCATGGGAGGTGTATCTATCAAAGACCCAAGCCAATTGGATCATCGACAATCTGTGGATTGCCGGAATGGAAGACACAGCGTGAGTTACCCATTTCCCTCGGCAATCTCGGTGTGGGGGAAATATCGATTGACACAATAGCAATGGAATAAATAGCCGAACACCCACTCTATCAAACCAAATGATCCAATCATCCGAGTAGGATTCCTAGTGTTGAGCACTGATTGACGTACTTCGTGTTTTGAAATCAAGCAATTGCATATTGTACCTGTCAAATTTTTGAACCTGGCCTATTGAATTCCAAATTTAAAGCATGCCGCCTTTCGCCATAGTAGCCCGCTCTCCAACAAGCACCACTATTACTTCCGCCATAATATCTCTCGGCGGCTCAAATCCTGCCCAAAGCATAAACTGGTCGAATGCCTGTGCGAGCAGTACCTCCACACCCGTAACCGTGTCCCACCCTTGATTGTGTTGTGCCACCGTCAGGAGCGGCGTCTGTTTGGGTGTCACTCACTCCATCGCCTATAGCATGCACAACTATATTGCGAAATCTCTCGGCCTCTCCTGGAAATTCCCCTCGACGGAATGTCCCACAATCAATGACCTGCTGAAGATTGCTAAGGCACCCACCACAGCAGGCTTGGTTGCGACCATGCCATACAAGAACTCGATCATGAAACATATTGATGAGACATATCTACCATGATAGGAGCTTGCAACAATGTGTATTACAAGAGTGGTACCACGCGGCTCATGTGTGGCACCAACACAGACTGGCGGGGGATCAAGGGTTGCCTTTATCTGAATATTTTGCTTATTCGAGTCTCAAAAATATATATTGGGGTTTCTCGGCAATGAATTCAGCCGTCAAAATGATTACCCCAAGACACCGCAAAAAGGGTATACTTATATATTACAATCTTTTGAACATACAATCTACACCAACTTAGTTTCATCATGCCCAACTTGCATTCCTTGCCTGAGGGAGCCTAGCCCGAACATGCTTTTCGCAACAACAGACCAGATAACCTGATTCCTGAGCGTGCAAAACTCCGCGAGCTAGCTGAGGGATGGTCTTGCTACCGGTAAGAACAACCTACAAGAATATATTTTCGACCTTAACCTGATTAAGAACTCTAGTGATGCCTGTGAATGGGGAAATTTCGAATCAATCTTCCACCCAGGAGCATATGTCTACACTACATGGTCCGGCCGAATTTCCTCCCTGGACTTCATGGCAGCCTCCAAAGCAGGGATGGACGAGGGGCATTTATCATGCACCGATGCCATGGAGTAACGACCGATATTACCCCGGATGCCAGTCGTGCTGTAACCAAAATGAAGGCCACAATCACCCAGCGATTCACAATCAACGGAATCGAAGTGGATGCGGAGGCAGACTGCCGTTTTTGTTTCTTCGAGAAGCTTGACGGGCGCTGGGGTGCGCGATTCGTGCGATATTGGTATGAGAAGGATAAGCTGTTGCCCGTGATTCCAAATCTGGTCCCCGACATGGACGTGGAGAAGCTCAACTCTTATCCGGAGGGATATAAGTGTCTGGCATATTGTCAGGAGCTTACTATGGGGGGTTACGGTGCTGAGGAATATGCCTCATCATCGTCGCCATGCTAGAACTGTTTGTGGGGAGAAGCATGATTTGTTGTATCGACTTGCTAAGGAGTGGTTGGATGGAAAACAAATTGAGGTATAGAACATTGAAGGGTTGTTGTTATATTGATTAACATCCGTCGGGAATATGGCGAAGCTCGTGTCTATCCGACCTCCTATAGGATATTGGGATGTGCTAAGCTATATAATTATGTTCGTATATTGTGCGCCTATCAAAGGGAACCCATTCATAATGATTCGGTAGGATCAGCGCTTGGTTATCCATCCTTCTCCGACATGTGGAAAAGATATAGAATGGGTCGTTCAAGCTCACATATCGGAAACCCGCCTAGAACCTCGCATTTCTAGTGGCTTATCATTGGTCGTCATTCACTTGGGAATTTTTGATTTCGATGTGGATCAAAATACTATCTGCAACCAGAAGCTTACTGCCGACCCCCGAACTGTAAAAAGACCATAAGAATAGCCGAGTACCTGCTATTATCAGTACTGTCCTCAGATGAGGAATTTGGGGTACATACGCTGCAGTTGCTGCCAAGGATTCAAAAGGCTTTGCGTTCGTTCCAAAGGATACCAAAGCCAGAAACAGTAGAATAAACGCCGTGATTATCCCTAGCTTGGCTGCCACTGGATCCGTGTAGGCCAAAATCCAAATCGGGGCTATCAGCATTGCCAGTCCTATAATGACAGATGTGAAAGTGACGAATATGTCGATTCGCTCGTCTGAGTACAATTGTATTTCTTCCCGACAGTGAGTCGGTAAGTCAGATGACACTGACTTCCTCTTCCAAAAACGCGACATCCTGAATCGCGATGATGTTTCAAAAAGTCGTCGTAAAGGACTTCTTTCCTTTGGTATTAGAGGAAATAAATCTTCCTTGTTGATATAGCCCTGTTCCTCCGCGGCAATCGCACCTTCATGATTATAAAGCCAGTTTCTTAAGCTATTGATATCTCTCTCTGTAGTGGCGGCTCTTGCTTTGATGTTCGTGTACTGAAGAACAAAACTGTCTGCAGAGGTTAAGAATCAACGTTTGCTCTTCAAGCGCAAATAAATAATTGACGGGTATTGCACACTATACTTTTCCAACGCATCTTTAATTTTCCATAGACATTTGACTCGTTCTTGGCGCGTATCATGTCTGAATGATCCGTTGTTCTCATCCGGAACCTCCTGTCTGCTATAGAAGCGATCAATGTCCTCGAGTTCCCCTTCAAGACACGCAATATTATCCTGCAAAGCTAGGATAACTCGAATGTTTAGTTTGTCAAATCGACGAAAGCTGCAAAAATCGCTATCTGAGGCTAGAAATGCGGAGTAGCCATGATAACCTTCACGGGAGTTAGCTTTAGGATTTATTTCCTGCATGGTGATATAACTGACCGATGTATTTCCACGGTTTACGATCAAGTTCTTCCTGAGTAATTTCTTCACTCGATCGCCTGGAATTGGGTGGAAGGGTAGCTGTCGGGGTGAATTGATGCTGATTCGAATGCGAACCGCGTGGGGACGAAGATTCCCCGCCTCCCTGAGGTTCAACCCCGGGGAGGGACATGTCGACTAGAGCTATCGGTGAACTAGACATGTCGGCGAGCTCCTCCCTTATTGATATGCAGAAGTGTTGTTCTTCAATCTTTGATGGCCGCAGATCAATTGCAGCCTAGGGAGGCTGTGCTGAACTGTGCCTTGGGCACGATACCCTGCATGATAACAGCCACATCAACCCAAGGCAGTGCATTGACATTCTCCCTTGACCCTAGTAAGTACTTATTTATGTTTCCCCGCTTCCTTTCCCATATCCCAGCAATACTCTATCATCCGAACTCGCCTCTCGACAATTTGTATGATCTAGATGGCATATGAAACCCAGCTTACGACCGTGACGAGCGAGAATTCACCCACAAACGGGAAAAAGACGCAAATCTCAGATGGTTTCATCAGCTCCTCTGGTCCCTCAAAGCACAAAGCCCCACTTCCGTCTTTCCCGAACTCTCAGAGTACACCATACGGCAAAACTCATGCCGGGGAGGTGCGAAGAAGGACGGATCGGCAAACAACTCCTCTTCCTGCACCGGGAACAGGACAGTCGAGTGGCGGAAACTCCACAAATGGCTTTCCTCGGAGGCAACGGCGACTGAACGGGTCAGGCAACGGGGGCTACAATAGTGGCTCAGACTCCGACGACGATCGCAAACCGCACAAACGTTACGACGACGGGGATGATGATATCGGAATAACCAGTCGACAGAAGCGGCCAGCTCACCCTTCCCCGCACTATGTGGAAGCTTCAAGCAGTTCACCTCCAGCGGGCTATGAGGAGGAAGAAGAAGAGCGCATTCACCGCTCGATGCAACAGATCCTGGCCCTTGTCGAGAAAGAGATGACGTATTATGCTTCTCGACAGACGCAACAAACTCAGATAGCTGAATTGGTTCGTTCAATGCCACCTGGCACACGGCCCGGTGCCATCAGGTCGGAAACATACGATTCCATGCTCGAGTACCTTGAACTATTTAGGGAAATAGCCATCGAAAGCAATACAACGGCACTCATGAGACAGCAGACAAACCTGCCTTCCGTGACCGAGAAAGCAAGCCATTGGATTCGCAGAGAATTTTCTGACATGGTACGAGATAATAAAGTTATCTTCAAGTTTGTGCAGCTATCTAAAGATCCCCCTTATCTCGTGGATCTCCCCGGCTTCGATGGGCGCTTCAAGTCTTATTTACCCACTGTTCTCCGAGTCCTAGTTAAACAGAACACGCCAAGATTTGCAGAGATTGTGAGCTGGCAATTTCTTCGAGATCTTGGATGGTGGTTTTGCTTCGATACTGGAACTTGGTGTCACAATCATGTGGAACAACAAAATAAGTTTTCAGGGCCCATTATTTGTCACATGGAGATTACAGGAAATATCACGAAGATATGGGAGGTTACAGACGCAGATGAGGATACCGGTTACCAACGTTATATTGGGAAAATTGGTAAAACAAAGGGCACGGTTAAAGTCCCATAGATGCGTCTTCATTGCTTGAGCTTGGGAATAGGTAGAGTGCAAACATGAGGATTATACGGCATTAGCAGAATTTGTTAGGATACTCTGAATCTCAGCATATAGAACTTATCTAGTTCGAACCACTGAATTGCCATTTACTTATTCAGTTCACCACTTTCGTCCCAATTCTGCTTGCATTCAGTATTAGAAACATTACTTGAGTCGGAGCCTCTGCTGTAGCTTCTTCCAAGACGCGATACACCTCTACACATGCTGATCAGGTACATGTTGACCCTCTTCAGCCATCATTCTCAAAAACGAGTCTGTCGAGACCCATCCTTTGTGTCCCAATCCCGACACAATAGCTTTTGCAACCTTTTCGACTGGAAGATATACTCCGCGGTCCTCGTACATATATGCTCTCGCATTCCGCGACCAGCTCACTCATGCCGGCTGGCCTTCCACGTGGAAAGGATGGCCAGGGACCAGTGTTTGTTCAGAAGCACCCACATTCCAGAGACCCCGGAGTATATTATCCCCCCGTTACTCACTTTGCATCTCACATCCTTCTTTGTGATGCTGGATCCTATGAAAAGGAGAACAACGCTTGACATGACCGAAAATGCGTTAGTGGTCAACCTTGTCCAATCCAGTAATCATTTGTTGACCAAATCTCTGGAGATAAATATCACCATTATTGTCTTGTTTTGCTTTACAATACCAGCAGTGCTTTGATATGGTTCATTCCGATCCTAACTTTGATGAAAGACGGACTCCGGAAAACCGATTTTGTGCCTACCTGCGGAATTTGGAGGCCGGGATGGGAAGGAAGTCTTCAGAGATCAGTTAACATGCGACCTGTGAGAGCCGAGAATGCTCGGATGGACCCGTTCGTCTAGCCATGTGATTCACAAGTGTTGTAAACGCGACCCGAAAACTAAAACATTCCTCCCCCGGTGAATCTCGCTCCTGACTTTTGTGTTCAACTTTTCGTTCACCAGGGTTGCACTTGTAGACAACGAGGGATTTGATGCCCTGTTCGAGGAAATGGTCACCCCCATTCCGTTAAACAGGTATGTTGCCTTCTTGTAAAATGTTCTACAACTCTATACTGACGTTCTCTAGGCAACAGCCTCTTTTCGCTCAAAATTTCGGCTTCTACGCTGGGAATTTGGTTCGAGACTTCTTGAAGCAACTTCAATCATAAAAAGGAGGAATATATGCAGCGAAAAACACGAACCCGAGGCTACTCGGCAGCATTTCATGCCACAGACGAAGCAAGGGAAAGCCAACCCAGACCAGCTGTCGCTACTTCGAGCCCCTTGGTATCCTTTTGCGGGGGATAGCTGGCGCGAGCCAACCTCGACAACTGAACTGCAAGCAAATGCTCCCTGAAATACAAATCCAAGCCACCAACCATGTGAATGCTGTGATCAGCACCGTTTCCACCCTTCTTCTCTCCCCAGCATAGCCTGGGACCAACAATTTCATCCTCCATCTTCCCAGTCCTACTTCCACTCTTAGCCCACACACGCTTAGTCTCATACAAAGTCTCCCAAGCGATACCAAAGCTCCCAAACATTCCACTCTCCTTCTTACCCTCTGCCGCTGCACTCTTCCAAACGAAATTGCGTCCTCCGTACTCAAATCGTCGCGGCGACCAGTCCTTTCTCTGCATCTCTCCATCCGGAATCTCGGTTATTGCGCCCATGTCGGGGATCGTCCGTGTGATCATCCGGAAAGTGCCTCCTTTCATCTTCTGCAGTTTTACACTCGTCGCTCCGATTTGGGGTAAGAATTCACCGGCTCGTCGGAGAACCGTTTCGACGATGGGTGCTTCGTTGCTCCAGACGAATTGGAGGGCGTATAACACGTGTGTATTGGTCGAGTCTTTGACGAAAAACCAATATGAGCGCATACCTAAGCTGACGAGCTCCGAGGAATGCGTAATCCGATAGGTGATCGTGGGTGCTGATGGAGAAAGGGTCAGCGAGAAGAAGGGGCGTTGCGAGGTATCGGTATTGAGGAATGGGCGGATGTGGGCTGGAGCTGTGCTGACGTCCTTTGGAGATTGAGTGGGATCGTCTCCGCGGAAAGTATTAAGATCCCTGCGGATCTGCAAGTTGAGAAATATCAGCGATCTGGAAGAGGTGTGCCACATCCCAGAGGGTGTGGCTTACCTGAGTCAACGACCAAATCTTTCCATCTTCGTCTTCCACCTCCTCCATCGCATCCAAGATTGTTGGAGGCAGTATTATTCCATCGAAACTGCCCTTGCGCTTTAGGTCTTCAAGGTAGGCCAGGCGTTCTCGATGAACTTGGACTTGTCTCTCGAACATTTTTCTGTTGATTTTGAGAACATTTCCTTTCTTGTATATTTTAGTTGCTTGATCCAACACAGTTATGGCGCTTTGGTAGATTTTAATGGCTTCATCATAGTCGCCCTTGCGTTCCAAAATGAAAGGCATGGCGGCCAGCTTATACACCTTATTGTTGACATCGATCTTTTCTGCCATTGCTGCGGTGGAAAAATAGTGATGTGAGTGGGTTAGCTGGTAGGAGTGATCCGTCTTTTCTCTTGCGATGGTGTTAGTAGACCTTTGTGGGGACAGCTCAGATAGCGCTCCTTTATAGAGAATCGCAGAAGTTGGAGCTCCTCTTTGTAGTTTATGCCAAGGTAGAAATATGCCTTGCCAAGGGGTTTCTATGCATAAAAGAAAGCCTATATAGGAGCTTTTCAGGTTTAGCTGTTGTCGCGAACGACTGTACTCGAATCAGGTCGCGGCGTGGGCATTCTTCGGAAGAGATACCTTGGAAGTTGGGTGGAAAATGATCACCTGCAGCATCAGCCACAATGGTAGGCTGTCTCAAACGCCTTATGCACTTGGGTGAGATACGCATGGTTGGCTTGTGAAGAACAGGACACTAACTAATCGCTTAGCATTACTCCCTTCGAGGCTTGGCAATTAGCTTCAGCCAACCACTCTGCTAGCTTAGCGGGTATCCAGTGGATAGATGGTTTGGGGCACAAGGCTATCAAGCAAAGCATCTTGAATACTTGGAGTTCACAGGCTATTTTCAAAAGGTTGTGTTTGTGGAACTTTAGGTGAAATTATAGAGAGCAAGCCATTTACTTGACTCGGTGCCATCCATGTGAGTGACGTGGATAATAAAACAAAAGGAGCCTCAGTATACTAGTGGATCAGGATGGCCATATGAAGTCAAGCCATTAGTTGAGTCTATTATCTGGATACCTTAGGAAAGAGGTCTGGAACATGAATCAATAGGGTACGCATGTACTCCAAAGAAATGAATATATTATCTGATACAAAGCCCCACACTGTAGATAATGCTTGCCAAAATGGCAACTTGTATGAAAAAGGAAAGAAAATTGGTCGGCACTAAAATGCGAGAAGGAGTTGAGGCTGAGGTCCCGGCTAGGCGGTCCATTAAGGGACTAGCGTGCAAATTTCCAAGGTTCCTTGGGAGTTTGCTGTTGACTTGAACACTTCCCAAGCGAACGTGATACGTAGTGTTCATGATCTCTCGGCATTTTTGGTTATTTTCACACAGTTTGCGGAGACAGGAAAAGAGAACATGTAGTGACTAGCAAATATTAGAGAAAAAAACTGGGCCCAAATCGCAAAATCCAGATCCCCACAAAGAACCATTTAAAATTGGTCGGAGTTTGATCGATCCGACTTTTTAGGGGGGCAATAGAACTATTTTTGCAGCGAAGGGGTTCAAATGACCCGATTAGGTATAGCGGAATGACTTTTACTCAGACTAGCACCACGCTAGCACCTAAACAAGCTAGAGGCCACCTCTTAGTCCTTGAGAATACAAAAGAGAAGCCAATAGGAAACGTCCGTTTCAACGCGATTCATGCATTATCCGAAATGGATCTAGACTGGGCTCTGGGACCTAATCCTGCAGAGACCCTGAAATAAATTATATATGAGGGAGCTGGCCGCTCTCTCATGCCTGTATCATCATTTCACTTCCATTTCTGTCGCTCGTTTGACTATATACCCCGACATTCCTTAAATACAAGATGCGTATCCAATCTTTCGCCATGTTGGCCGGCGCCACTGCCGCCGTCGCTGCCGAGACAGTCTCTCTTTTCCTTCCTGGCTTCGATTCCCAACCACTTGACGGCAAGGTCATTGGCACTGTAAGTACAACTATTCCTCTGATAATTTACCACAAAAAGATTAACGAATATTATCCCAGACCGGCTCCATGACCAAATATCTCCTCAAGTGTTCTGACCCTAACGAATGTGGCCTTCCCCCTAATGGCATCACCGTGGCCCAGGGCCCTTCAACCGTCAGCCTGGCATACGCCATGAACCGCATGTAAGTATATCCAGCCCTACAAGGAATCCACTTCTACCCCACACCTCATAGCTGATCATTTCCTGAAACAGGACCGTTACTGAGGACTGCAAGTGGGATTCCGCAACCGCGACTTGCGCCGCAAGCCTCGACGAGGAAGGCCTAACCACCACATTCACCTCCGCCATGGCCCTCACTGAATTTCCCGGCGGCGCTTTGGTGCCTGTCACTATCACTGGAACTGGAACGGACAAGGCTCCCGCCACTACTGGTGCCTCCGTCTCGGCTTCCACCGCTGCCTCGACTAGCGGCGCCACTTTGACCACCTCCGCTTCGACTACCGGTGGTACTAGCACTGGCGAGTCCTCGGGTAGCAGCAGTGCTGCTGCCACCAGCCAGACTGAGAGTGGTAACGCTGCTATGCCTATGATTACTGGAAACGCCCGCTGGGCTGCCGGTGGTGTTGCGGCTGCATTGGCTATTGCCGTTCTCTGATCATCCGGACATTTTTTGGAATAAGGTTGGAGGCCAATCATTTTGGCTCGGTTCACGCCGCTCTGCCTCACTAATAAAGATGTACCTTTCTAGTGTATACTATGCAATATACGAAGTATGATAATCTTTTTCTTTACTTCAGTCTTATCGACCTAATATGAATCTATATGGTTCGCGATCCAATATGTACTTCGTATTTATACCGCACAAAGTGCGACCTCGGAACATGTACACCGAGCGCTATCTAAACCTCTAGATCTTCATTCGGATTCGTGGAGTGTGAGTTATGACTTGCGGTGCAAGATACCAGCCGCAGCCTATATAATAGTCAGTACCTGTCCACACGAAAATCAAACCGCCAAATACACTTACCTGGTGGCTGGGGAAGACCAAAGTATCAGCGATCACAACATTCTCACGACGACCAGCGGAAAAGACAACAATCTCGGCAATGTCATCACCGGTCAATGGCTCGACGCCCCTGCTAATGGTTAATGACACTGCGTGTTTCGGCTTATTTGGCATGACTTACTTGTAAACAGCATCAGCCTTGGACTTGTCTCCATTGAAGCGCACAACAGAGAACTCCTAATCAAGAGCATTAGCATCATATCACAACTGTAAGTATATGCGGTGACCATACCGTCTCAACTTGACCAGGATCGATTTCAATAACACGAATTCTCGTGGCGATAAGCTCCTTTCTCATCGCATCAGTGAAGGAGCGGACAGCAGCCTTTGTGGCACAGTAAATGCTACCACCCGAGTAAGGCTCGCGCCCGGCGATGCTGCCAATGTTAATAATATCACCACGTCCACCGTCAGAGCGCTTCTTGAAGATGGGCAGGATGGCCTGGGTCATGTTAATGAGACCGGTGACATTGGTGTCAAACATGACCTTGATATCCTCGGTAGCAATATCAGGGGCCTGGGCAACACCCTTGACCAAACCACTGCACAGTAGATATCAGTAACGATCGTTCATATCAATCGGTTCGGCTGGATGCGCATGACTCACGCATTGTTGACCAGGACATCAATCTCCCTGAACTCCTCTGGCAGGGAGGAAACAAAGTTGTTGATTTCCTCTGGGTTGCTGACATCCAGCTTGACGGGAAGAACCTGGACACCATCGCCAACCTCTTGCTTGATCTCCGCTGCGACCTCCTTCAATGTATCGATACGGCGCGCGGTGATGATCAACTTCAGGTTTTTAGGTGACGTGCGGGCGAACTCCTTGGCAGTGCTCTTTCCAATGCCAGATGAGGCACCGGTAATGACGATAGTCTTGCCTTCGAGGCGCTTTGCCATTGCGGAAGCCATGGTGCGTCGGATAGAAGTTTGATAGGCTGTGAGAGGGAAGGGGTAGGTATTTGCGGAGAGAGGTGAGGATGTAAAGGGATTTACGAGTCGTCGAAAGTGTCCAATTGATCTGATAGAAGCTCGTAAATGGGTCATGGATCGAAATTTCAAGGAGAAATGAGCGTAGAAGCCAAAATAAATAGAAGAATCACGAGCTGTGCGGGGGACTCTGGCGTCATATCGTCTTATGTAATCCCATACAACGCGGCAAGAAGGCCGATTTCTTATCTTGAACCGGGCTACGACGACAAGGGAAATTTTACTCGCCGTGCAGAACTTTAGTAAGCCATTATGATGTACGGGTAAGTTATTCAGATCCTGTATTGTCGCGTATAGGACGCTATGTATATACAAGGCAACAAAGTCATGTAAAGTGAAATCTGAATCCATTACTTCCTATTAACTTTTATAAAAACCATCAAGCATGCTTAGAGCAAGATAATGGCTAAACCTTTGCACAATAAATATATATATGATGTGTTCCAAGTTACTCTTTAGACTTCGATATAATATATTCAATACGAGGTTTACTAGCACATCGGTTGAAGAAGACTTGCATTGTAACTTTGGCTTTTGTTTCTTCATTTAGCTAGTTTGAATATTGCGAAAAATTAATGTCATGTCATGCTTATACTAGTTTTATGTTCCTTTTGTATGAATGTATGAACTTACCATCCAAAGGATACCTAACTAATCAATGCTTAAAATTTGCAACGCTCATCAACACACCTTCGCTGTGTTAGGCACTTGGCATAATCATTCGGAGGCGATGAATAACGGAGTTGATCTCTGACTACAAGTCATTATCCTTTGTATACACCTGGGGATGACCAAAATGAGAGACAAAGCCAGCTGTCTCATTGAAATTGCTCAAAGAAATGGGTCCTCTTTGAGGCCCTAACTGGGATGGTCATCTTTAACTTGACAAAGGGCTATATGCACTATCATGATCAAGAACACAAGACTCGTTGTAGCTGTACAAAGATCAAATGAATGCCATTGTCTTTATTGCCTTGGAGGACATCGATTAATAGTGGTAAACGCCAGTCCCTGCCCCGATGAATCTAATAAATAGCCTTAAAGATTCCCATGTAGCAGTGTATAGTAAACACTGGTTCGCACTTTCCCTCGAACGGTTTTGTGATCTTTTTGTTCAGACAGAAAGAGCAAGAGCAAGGCAGCGCGTTCCTTCTATATCCAGCACAACACAAAAACCACGGTAACACCTCTTTCTAGATACAACCTTGTTTACCTTCTAACATTTACTTCACATAAATATCTATCAATTGCCATAGCATACCATCGATCACGATATTTAACAAAGAATCTATTAAATATCGCGAGAATATCATCAAAATGACTTCTCCATCTAAGGTTTGCTATATGCCTTCTCTAAACACCGTGTCTAAGCGTGATAGAAACTTAGATGAATCTTCAACGCAGACTGCTCTCTTTGACGAGCTACTTCGCCGGTACAATTTTGATTGGGCAGAAGATGTGGAGGAAGAGGCTGCAGCTAAAGGAAATCTACCTATGGTTGCTGCACCGAAGCCTCTTGATTCCTCCTTGCCCAAGGCCAAGTGGTACAATGAATCCTTCCCGACTCTCAACTACGCGCCTACTCCCCGGTTTAAGCCATCCTTTTCAACCACCAATGAAGAGATATGGAATGAGCCATGGGGCTGTGCTGATGAATCTATGGATGCAGCCTCAAGCTCCTCTAACGAACTCCAGACCGACTCCGATGAGTCTAGCAGTACAGCTTCGAGTTATGAGGTGGCTCTTCCAGAGGACGAGTTCCGCCGTGAGCAATCTACCCCAAATGCGGAATCCGAGGCATATTCAGTTGCACAGCTAGCTGTGGATACCATCTTCTCTGATCGTCAATCATGGATGGAAGTCGACGAGGAGATACATCACTTTAACTGGATGGGAGTACAGACTTACAACCACTGTGCCACTTCCCCATCTGACTCGCTTGCCATCATCTTGGCAAACCCCAAGAATCCCCAGGGAAGTGCCATCTTGAGAATTCAACTACTTCTGAGCCGAGCAGTCCAGTACATAGACCCGGTTCTTGTTCTTCTCGATGACACCGACGATAGCCTGTTCGCCCTCCGGGGGTCGGAGCTTGTCCGTGCATCAACCGGACGAGTTTTCAAGTTCTATTCGCCACATGGAAGGTGGTTGGAGGACCCGAATGACACGAGCGAAGTAACAACTACAGACTTTGGTAGCGTACAGACTTACGACGCCTCAGATTTGGCCATTGGAAATGGCTTCGTGGAGTCCAGTGTTATTCGATCGGTGTCGCAGTGGAAAGAGGCTCGGGATGAAGCCTGCAGTGACTCTGGAGGATGTCTGCGTCCGCGGAGGATGGATTGGGAGCGGAAACCTTCGCCGTTGAGTCAATGTGAGTCAATTCTGCCAGAGATAGTCCCCGAGTTACCACAGCCAGAGATCGAGAATCAGGCAAAGAAACCACCCCGCAAGATCACAACTTGTGTTATTGGGGCACCCGCTGAGGAGTATTTCTCCTTTCCCACTCCAGTCTTTCGTCGTACCAGGATCAGACGGGCACTTGCAAAAGCTCGACAGGGGCTTGGATCTATGCTCACATCATTGAAGCGAAAATTCAGGTAGCCATTCGTCTGTTTTCTTCTTGATTATATTGTTTGCGCCAGTGTCTTGGTTTCTTCGTGCTTTGGATCCTATTGATTTGGCTTTGGATTCACTTTAGATTGACTTTGGCTTTGGATTGGTTTCACTTTAATTTATGGTCCGTACCATTTTCGTGAGACCAGACTGAGCTGACATTTTAGTTCTTTTCGGGGTGGGTTACGCTTGCCTATTTCCGTTGGCATTTCTTAGCGATAAAATTTGGCATTATTTGACATGGGTGAGATCTTTCTTAAATTATCTTTCATTTCTTTTGTCTCTTAGCCTCGATTAGTGCTATGTTTCAATGCATGCTAAAAGCTCTTCGTTGATTTCTATCAGCTAGAATGAGTCATTGACTTACTATTCATTTATTCCACATTTACATTGTTTATCAGGAACATTTGTGTATTAATTATATACAATTTACCGTTTTATTTACATATTGTGAGTGCCTAGTAGTAGTTCAGAAAAGTTCCTATCATTCAAATAAAAGCTATAAGTGGATGGACGGTTAACTAGAAGCTAGATGGTGAGGTCCCTACGTGGTGTATTGTAGCATTATCTGTGGATATCAATTTAATTTTGCCCTTTATTGGACAAATACCTACTTCCGATTCACAATCGTCAACGCGGATATACGGTAAAGCTACTTCGGTGATATGTACTTTTTATTGTCTACACTTTGATTCGCGTGATTTGAGTGAATTTGTATGAAAATCCTTGACGCCTCCCGCCTTTGACACTGTCGGTTTTCATTAATCCGGGGTGTTGGATACCCTCAATTCACCGGGAAAACTGACTACATATTGAGAGTTACTTTAACACAGGCATAAATATACAGAACTACCAGTTCAAAGCGCTGAAATACTGTAGATTCTATTCACTAAAGTATTTCCGATGCAATCTCTTAGACTCAACGCGGACTTCACTCATAGCCCACCATTTCCAAGCTGTGTATACGAAAACACCCGTGTCTGATAGAAAGAGTATAGCAACACGGGAAAGGTGTCGCTCGGGTCTTGTGAATCTTCTACGAGTTTTGTATCTGGTTTAGGACGTAGTTTGTAGCCACATATTCGACATCTTCGGCCTAATTAAATTCACATCGCCAAAGAAGCCCCCCAAAAAAGACAGCATGGGTTGGAGAAGATCCATTTAAGTTGCTATCAGCTTTGCCAGAATGGTCAGAAGAGCCATATGATAAACCTTAGCTGGAGATAGCATTTTGTCAAAGCTTTTGTGATAACTAATCAGTCAGTGTCGATATTGATGGCGATGAATAGCAATTGATAGTTGCAGCCAAAGATCACACAATTTGTATCGATATGTGTAGTGAAGCAAAGGGTTCAAACGATGTTATTGGAAGGATCCCAAGCTGTTTCATCGATCCAGGCCTGGCAGTCCGCGAGGATTTTGTCAATTTGACTCTGCACAATCAAACGGAAGTGAGTGTTGTTATTAAGTGTGAATATATCGTGGGTCAATTTGCCGGAGGCCTCTCGTATCTGGAAGGCACGGTAGTAACATTTAGATTATTATTTGTGTATCAAAGTCGTGATTGTGTCTGCAACGAATCGAGATCGGGAAGCTAACCCCATTGGGTTCATTAGGCCAGTCACAGTTAGAAACCCGGAGGCAGCACATGCAGCAAGTCGTCTTCCGAAGGATCGGAACAGACAGTTGTTTTCGTTTGCTGCTGGGCGAACCCGCAGGACGGTCGGGAGGCATGGCGAAACGATGCTGTTAACCCTGTGAATTAGGATCAGCTCGGCCACGAATCGAGGCTGTCTTGATGACCCATCAATGGAAGAAAGCAAAGGCCAACCGAGTCGCTGCCGAGTTACAGCACAAGAGTCGACAAAGTGATGCAGGAAAGAAAGGCTCAAAGCGAGAGCAGAGAAGAAAAGGCTGGCTATCACAGTTCCAGTGGTGAAGGGTGCCATCCTAGCCACCAATCACCTACTGGTTTACAGTGGACTTGTGAGGCTCAGTTTGCTGTGGGACATGGCCTGGCCAGTGTCCTGTCTTTCGTTATACGTATTTAATATTATGTGCTTAATTTCGAGGCATTCCCTATCGAGGGATTCCTTGATAACGCGCAGGAGCTCGACGCCATCACGGTGTGAGAAATGACTGAAGATGATCATCCTTAAGGGGTATATATTATGGCTATTAAAATAAGCACCATGCCACCGCGCAGTATCCGTAGGTGATGACTCCTACCTTTATGGCTTACTCATCTCGGTAAACCATGATATCGCAGTGAGTAGCCCTGATTTATTATGAGCAGCGTCAAGGAACCATATGGAATTACCTTTTTCTATCTGCTGGTAACGGCCAGGCCAATAAAATGTCTGAATGCCACGGCTAATAGATGATAAATTCGCCAATCTATCGGGCTCCTTGAGTTATATCCATGTCTAGGCCACTTCTTTTATAAGTGAGTAATTTTCCTTCTGGAATCTTATCACTTATAGTGACGAATCAGGCTTAATAAACAGTAGCGTCACACCTTTCTCTATTACACGTTACTTAAGCACTTTAGTAACAGTTTCATTTTAGGGTGATGAGATGGCCGGATAACGAGGCTTAAGCCAAGCGATATCTATAATAGTGGGCCTAAGGTATTTGACATGGTCTTCTGCTATTCGAGTCACCGCTGTAATTCACTCTAAGCCTATACACGCTCTAAGAATAATATATAATCCAAGCCTAAAGGCCCTTTTGTTACTCTGCCATGATTTTCTTTGATTTTCTTTACCACTCAAAATATGTTCTCCGAATAGAATATCCCGAAAGCACTCTAGGAGCGTCTTATACACGTAGACTGCGACATCGCCCGTCCATAGGCCCCTAGGAGGGGCCCGTCTCTGAATATATGTCCGTCCTAAGAAAAAGACATAAATACAAGCCCCGAGGCCCTTCTCTTACTCTGCCATGAATTTCTTTGAATTTCTTTGCCATTCAAATATGTTCTCTGGAAAAAATCTCTAGAAAGTACTTTGGGAGCGTATCGCACGTGCCGCATCACATAGTTTCACATATGAATATTAAAATAAGAAAGAAGATGAGCATAATACTATCTGCCACTGTGAGCTAGCGCCTGCTACGCTAGAAAAATACGACTATACAGTTGTCAATTGGGTGCTGTAAGTTTAAGCCGTATTTCATCGATCTTATTTCCTGATTGTTAGCAGATGGAGGCTTTCCCGTAATGAGTCCACTATTCCGAATTTTCCCAACTTGTTTTTTCACCCGGACAAATTCTATGAACGTTGTATAGTTGCCATTATCCACTTTTGCCGTCTAAATCAAAGAGTACTGCGATTCCTTTGGATTCTGAGCATACCTTGGCTTCCAAGTTCGTATACTTGAGATATGCTAAAACGAGCTGAGGCATGCTGGACCCTTCAAGGGTGCACTCAAAGTGGAGCAGTAGAGGGAAATCCGGAATATACTATAAATTTGCCAGACAAAATGTGACGATAATTATGCCAGTTGAACAACCTAACCGATTAATTCAAATTTAGATTCTTATTCATACAGAATCACTCCAGTCTCGAGAATTTTAACGGACGCTTCTGCACTGGGCACTCCACTTATAAATTCAACCTCCCTCATGCGCGCTCGCCAATAGCCCGTCAAGAAGTCTGGAAATGACAGTGAGGGACTTTCCAATGTTTGGACAAATTCGGCCAAAAGCCCTTCGAGCTCAAATATCAACGGACTTTCCTCATCTTGAATTTCCTCGATCTCTTCTGCATCTATTCCTCTGTAGTAATCGTGAATGCAGGTATGGGAGATGTCCAACCTTCGACAGGTGACAAAGCGCAGGACAGAAGTAGAGATGAGATCAATAAGACGCTCCTGGCTAGGCAGCACATGTGAGTTTGTAAGGGCCTCTATAACAATTGCAAGCCTATTTATGAGCTCGTCCAAGTCTTTATCAGACCGTGTCGGAAACATTCCGCGCAAGAACCCCGTGAGACCTGAGCAACCAGTTGAAGAACACGGACAGCAGCAGTCGTCTTGAGATTCGTCCATTAATATCGTGAACATTAATTGGATAGATTCTTGGCTTAGCTCATGCATTTGCCAAAGAAATTCTTCAAAGTCATCAAGGGAATGCAGAAGCTTTCCCACGTCATGTCCAAGGTAATGCAGAGATGGGCAGGAGTCTATCTTGCGAGTTATGCTTGCGCCTTTGTCAATGAGCCAGTTCGCTTTCTTCAAGAACACATCTAGTCTGCAAGGCGGTGAACTCATCCAGAGTTCCCTTATACACGACGTGTTGCCATCTATCTCGTCCACGTCTCGGAAACCAGAATCCCAAAGCAAGTCTGCTGACTTGAGATTGAGGCCTATGTAGTCATAGACAGACCAACTTGTTTTCTCAATAATGCCGTTAGCATCAATAGAGCTTGCCTTCAAAAGTTGATAGGCTTTGTAAGCTTTACGACTCATGAGAGTCCCAGGGCTAATACCCAGCTCCAAATGCACTTCTTCTGGCAAATGCGTCTCCACAAGAGTTTGTAGCTGCCTCCTACGGTCAGCGAGCGCGGCCACTATAAGCTCCATAATCATTTCATTGGGGTGATTACAGGCGACCTGCAGCGCCATTGGATCGATATAGAGTTTTTGAGAATTGATCAGAATCTTGATACTCTCCACGCAATTTGATTCGCATGCTGATGTGAGAGAATCCAAGTTTGGTGTGTGGCCAGACTCAAGGATCAAGGCCAGCCCAGTAGGCCATTGTACATAGGAATTAACCCATTGTTGTAAATCGACGCCTTTTCTCAAGAGTGAGATTAAATGATCACTTGATCTATAAACAAGGGGAAGCAGCTCTTCTGGGACATCGATCTCTATTTTCAGTGAGTTTTTCTATGTTCTACCTCAGGTTGTATGTAGGAACTTACCTTGGGTCTCCTTGTTGGAAAGTTGCCAAATGAGCCGAATAGTATTATCTTCAAAGATATGGTCGTCCATGCGGTAATCATTTCCCCTAATATCATAAAAAGGATTATACGAGTTTGGGTGATGCCTCCAATCGAGGGCCATATGTGTCATGAAGCCCCTGGCATTCAATAAATCAGAGCAGATATCAATAGTTCCCTGTCGCTGTCGAGATTCTCTGCAGCTATAATATACGTCAAAATGTTTGATCATCTTGTCCGCAGGAGTCTCGCCGTTGTCATTCAGGCGAGTTGACAGTGGACCCATTTGTGAGATCGCCTTGAGGAAGATTCGCCAACGAAGCCATGAATTGGCATCCCACTGCGAGCTATATAATTGCCAGCCAGTTATCGTCTAGTATATCCCTGAGTTAGCAAAGCCCACTCTATTTTGAACTCTTAATACGACGTATTCTCACATGTAAAATTGTGTTTCCGTTAGGCAGAGTATCCGACCATGAGCCTTTCCCCTCTCGAAGGAGGTCAAACAGTTTCTGTTGGGTGTTTTCCAAAATTCTGCCGACGGTGTCTGATTTCAAGACTTCTTCTGTATTGGAAAGAAGCCTGAATATAGGTGAATCCGTCGGCACAGTTGCACGGAATTCGAGATGGGGGGAGATAGCAAGACCACCAGCGCCTTTGGTGATTTCTAATGAAATTTGAATAGCATAGCCTAGAAAGCGATTACAAAGTGTCCAGCGCTTTAAAAATAGGGTGGTATGCTCATGTTGGTCATGAACTGGGCAGGCTTGGTTCAGAATTCCTGGTTGTCGAGCAAATTGTCGGTTCAAGGACGTAGACTGACTCCAGCGAGAGCACGTGCATCCGAGTAGGTCCCCAACGCGATGAGGTCGGCTTTTCGCCATCAAGAATCCTATAGATTCCGCAGCCATTTTTTGGTCATCTAGGTTGGATCGTAACAAAGCAGGCGCGACAATCTGGCGTGCGCCTACGCAAGCAATATTGGATTCCTTTAGGCTAGCAGTGAGTAGCCATAACATCAAAGAAATGGCAATTTGAACCGAGTACGCTTACATACCATTCGATCGAGATGCTGTTCAAGCATTTCTAATCTACTGTCAATACTGAGACTGTTTTGATCTAGTCGATTCGCCATGCGTAAGATATGGCTTGTATTTGAGGCGATGGATGCGGACTCAGTCACTACAAGATCTATTCTCTTATGATTGAGCGTCATCATAGAACTACATTCCTGTCAGTCAGTGGCAAGCATGTAAAGAGCTAGTGGCGCCCACTTACATGTTCAAAACTTGAAGTGATGTGTTGAGGTTAGCCTGTAGACAGCTCATTGTTTCCGTAAGTGCCATGAGTGTCTCGCGTCTGAAGGGATATAAAAGCCGACTTGTTTGCTTGTTGTGACCAGTTGAGCTGCGTGCTGACTTCGTCGCATCGCATTCTTCAAGCATCCTTCCCAATTTGTTGAGGCCTTCATGGCATTTAAGAATAGAATCAATTGCCGCAGCTGCAGACGGAGCTGTTTCACACGTGGACAATACACTCGCATTAATCAGCACGTGCTGTAGCACCTTCAAAATGCTCTCTAACGCGGTCATTTGATCTGTCACCTCGTCGATTTGCTCGTGGAATGCTTTGAATTTTCCGTAGTAAGCAATCAATCCCTGGCAAACAGTAAGGCCAAGTGATATGACGCCTACTGCACTCCCAGTCACAGAAAATGGATCAGCCATGTCTGCTTTTATATTATTATGGACTTTGAGAATGCGGTGGAAACGAGGATCAAGAGATTGAGATTAACAGTCAGACCAACCTGACCTTCAATATTAGCGGAGAATGATAAGTTAGCGCCGAGTAAAGCCTGGCCGCCTATTTTGGTTTCGGGGTGGCGCAAGTACCCTCCGGGCTCCTTTGAAATCCCAGAAAGCAGTTTGTGGCTATGTGCAGATGCTAAGAGTTTTTACGTTTCAGCGAGTCAGGAAAACTTGATCATTATGCGCCTTGGTTCGGCTGGAGAGGGCCCGAGCGACCAAGGGTGTTTCTCACCCACTTCTCACCCTGTCTATTGCGCACTCACCCTTCTCACCCCTTGTCACGCGACGCCCAAGCAGCGCTCACCCTATTCTCACCCAGGCTACACCCACCGAACCATTGGCTGTACATAAGCCACACGCCGGTGAGTTAGTATTTGGGTGGGTGACCACTAGCGAACCCTCACTGTTGTATGTTTTTACCTTTTGAACAAATGTTATATACCTAGAAGAGTCGTCTGCACAAATTAAGCCCTTTGCCGCCTTTTTTACTGTCGATCTATAAACTTGAAATCTACACAGAATGATATCTGAGAAGACCATTGAAAAGACATCACAGGGCCGTTTATGCGGCCTAGTATTCTTGTAACCAATAATCAGAAGCCAGGCTTTTTAATTTGTAAGGTTGGTTTTATCCAGGCGGTACAGTCTTGTTTAGTACCTGATATGCTTGCCCTACAGATGATACAGCGAGCACAATCTCATCTCCAGCGACAACAAAGAGTAAGCATACGGAGTAATTAATCCCAAAATGAGTATGGATAACTGACTGGCTTAAGTGTGCTAGAGAGTAATGCCGCAAGAGTAATGGTTGTTATAAATACTGCAACTAGGTCGGTTAGTTTCACTTGTTGCAAGCTATGGTGAGTGTAGAGGGCAATCCATTTGGAACCAAGCTGTATATTTTTGACATAGCGGAGGAAGATCATAACAAAATAATATCTATGCATCTTCCCCCCCTGTATCGTTATGTAGTGCAAGTTGCTCTTCCATTTGTAGCAAGCTTTGCCCTTATAACCACTTCATGGACCTTGCAAGGTAGCTTCCACCACCCACAACACCCGTGACACCCGTGAAAACAATCAATGTTCCATATCCACTACCATATCCCCATCCAACATTTCCCTCCCACGGCATGCCCTTGACAAGCGCTTCACTAAGAGGACCGGAAACCAAGTTCCCAATACCCCTTCCAGCTGCAAGAGACGCAAAGACCATGCTCGATTCGGCCGATGGCTTCTTGTTAACCACCTCACGCATAATACCGGGCCAGGTACTAGTGTAGGAGCCGGCAGAAAGCCCATATATAATAGAAAAGACGTAGAGTGGAGCTAGGGACATCGAGAATCCCCAGATGAGGAAGACGGCAAGAGTGGATGCGATAGTGTTGACCAGAATACAAATGGTGACATCAAACTTGTCGATGATAGCGCCCATAATCACGCAGCCGGCGACCGATGCTGAGTTGAAGAGGATAACAGTTAGAGCCTGGAGGGACGTCGAAGCTCCGAGCATACCGGCGTATGTTGGGAGGTAAAGCGACGGCAAGAAGAAACCAAGAGCCTCGATGGTATTGCAGACCTGAAAGAGGGCAAACGTGGATGTAAACAAGAACCGGAAGCTCGGGGCAGGTGGGCTAGGTCGACTCGCGGGGATCGGCACGCGCGGCTTCACGAAGTAGACCAGCGGTCCGGTCAGGACGAACAACACAACTGCGAAGCCACGCAGTGTGATGCGGAACCCGTACTTGCCGAGCAACTGTTCAATAACGATGGGTAGGACAGCGCCGCCGAGTCCAGTGCCGGCCCACATAACTCCGAAGGCGAGGCCTTTTCGTCGGTCAAACCACTCTTCCATCAACAGGATACAGGGGGCGTAGGCGATGCTGCCTCCGATGGCATAGAAGATGCCTTGGGATATGATGAGGTGGTTGGTATTTGTGGCTAGGGAACTGAGGCCGAGAGCGGCACACATCATTAACACACCGAGACCGCAGCCGAGGCGTTGATATCTAGGCCATTGTCTGTAGGCGGCGAAAACGAGGGGGATATCGAGATACATGATTCCCTGGATATGTCAGCGTGTTGATGCGGGACCACAAGCAGGTATGCTGTTACCATAGCGCAAGTTCCCACGACGGCGATATTTCCAGAATCTTTGAATTGGGGTATATCGCTGTAGTATGCTTGGAATACACCGTATGTGAATGCAAATCCCCAAACGAGAGCCTCCATGGCGAAACAGGCAGCTAGGAACAACCAGGCATCCATTCCGCCATCCATCGGCGGGAGTGGTGTGTCATCGTGGATATTCGATAGGTGAGTACCATAATTTGTCTCATCTGGCGGTGTCTGGACCCCCTTTTCTGTATCGCTTGCTGCCATGTGTGAGCGTGTCACTTCCTCCATTGTCAAAACCAGTCCACGAAGTAGAGCGAACAAGAAAAAAGACAGATATCTAAGATTTGGGAATGATGTCAATTATAGAAGGTAGAAACTTTTATACGTGATGTAAACTCAGATCCAAATGAAGACCGTGCGGGGAAGTCAAACGCAGGGCGTGCCCAAATGGAACGTATCATGTCATTGGGCCAATCAATCGTCAATAACGGGCCAGTCTACGCCTAACGATGACGCTAGTAGATATACTTCTTTGTTATTCATCAGTGTTCTGTGGTAGATTCTCGGCAAGCTCCACTTAGAATTCCGACCTAATCCCATTAGGGAGATTTCCGAATCTTCCAAGCTTCCACCTCTGTCCAGGTGCTCTCAGATCCATGGATCGTACGTTGTAGAACTAACCTCACTAGATAATACTCCGAAATTGCCCAGGGGGCTATGTTAAAAATTTGAGTACCAATAGTAGCTTGAGTTCA